TTTGTAATAATTGTAAATAAAGAAATGTAAATTAGCATTGTACTAGAAAATATTTCCAAACATAGGTTTTTATTTCCATTTTTCTAGCCTTTTATGAGCTGTTGAGTTATTGCTTGAAAAATTTCTCGATCTCAAAAAATCTCGAAATCATTTTCTCGATCTCGTCTCGAAAAAAAATTCTCAGTCTCTCGATTTTGAGACGATATCGAGACGAGACGAGACGAGAAATCTCGAATTTCGAGAATCTCGTGAAACACTATGCACATCAGTTAGACTAGTCAATCTGGAGGTTGAGGTCGACAAAATTAGTAACCAACCGATCTCAAGGGAAATTTGTAGATAATGATCTCCTATTTAACCCCTCAAAAGTCCCATTCGGTCCCAGGTTAATATGTTTAATATAGCTTGGGCAGTGATATAGCTTTAAATGATAATTCAATCTTGACTGAAACAAGTCATCTTTGTTAGATCGTCATCTTATTTCAGTACCGACAGGCACATTTTTGACTTGTTTCACTCAGGATTAAATTATTTTTAAAGCGATATCACTGCCCAAGCTTTATATTAAACATATTAACTAACTCATCTGAGTTGGTTACTCTGAGTTGGTACACTCTATAGGTACACGGTGACGTAGAGGTACAGCTCTCTTCTACCAATCTAACGATAGTGGGTTCGAATCCTACAGCCGGCAGTTCATCAGTCGACTATTTTTAATAAAATAAAAATAGTTTGGGTACCTAGGTCGACTCAGCCTTACATGAGTACTTGGGATTCACAATCCTGAGGTAATAATAGGCGGTTAAAGCGTAGTGCTATTCACATTACCTTCCTTGTATACCGAACGGTTCTAGCATGGCAAGCTGTACCTTGCTACTCCCAAGGCATTAAACGCTATATATACGGAAGCCATTATTATATTATTATCATTAGATACACTCTATACGATAGGATTACATCAAGATTTTACATCAAGGCCCTTAAGACTATCTTTAATTTAGCTAATTTACCTCCAACTGAGAACTCTGCAAAACTCAATTTACTCAGGACATATTTTCAGGTAACTGTAAAGATATATCTATTATAGGAAATGTTATAAGTTGTATTTTTTAGATTCAAGAATGGATTGGTAACGCATATCTACCCTTTGGAAAACCCATACCCTTTACAATATGGATAGAAGAAAGGTCAAAAAAGCAATCTGACACCTATTCAATCAACAAAAGATGTGGAGCCTCCTGACCTACTAAAATCAATTTTTTGCAATTGCAAAAAGTCAGTGCTCTAAACATTGCTCTTGTAGAAAACTGGGTCTTAAATGTTCTCCAAAGTATGGTCAGTGCTACGGAATCAGTTGCTCAAACTTTTGTATTTTAGTTGAGGACGAAAATGACGCTCAGGATGACGTCATAGCAGATTTTATTTAATAACTTTAATTTAATAATAATTTTTTAACAATAATTTTATTTAATAAATAATATATAAACGTTATTTTTAATTATTTTAAAGCTTAAATTTCTACTTGGTTGATACTATACTGTTAATGCAAAAATTATAGCTGATTGGTTTAAAAAGACTGGAAAATTTATAAAACGTATTGTAAAAAATTGCTCTATCTCTATTACTATTTATTTTAGGAAAAAAAATGATAGAGGGTAAAATATTCTAAATTTAATTCTCTAGAAAAAACATATCCTTAGTTTTTTCGAAAAAAGTTATGCAAACGGATATATTTGAATAAAAAGAAAAATTCAGGATGGTGGCTGTTTTTTTCAAACTTCCCCCACTGGGACCGAATGGGACATTTGAGAGATTAAATAGGAGATCATATTATCTACATATCCCCGTTGAGATTGGTTGGTTACTAATTTTTTCCACCTTTACATATAATACTCGGCTACGTTTACTGGCCTAAGTACCGTAATTATAAACGAATGATCTACCAGTAGATCTAAACAGTGCCCTTAAGAATAAAGTTTTTTTTAATAGCAACTGTTAAAATTGTTTTACAATCTATCAAAAATAGTAGATAAAATAGTACTTTAACGCAGGGCCGGCGGAAGGAAAATATTGAGACCGGGCGAGTACCCTATCTGGCCCCCACACCTCCTTAACAGTTATTATAACTCTCTTTTTCCTTCAGTCTGTTAGCACAGTAGTCAAGATCTGCGCAGGTCCAAGGATGAATGCTGTCTTGAGATGTCAAGACTTCACTTCGTCGCGCGCCCTGCTTGATAACGGATCTCTATTTTTTAATAAATTAGTTTATTAATAATGTATATCTATAAAGAGACCACACTGTCTCTAATACAGTCCTATACTTTAACTACAAACTAAGCATATTTATGCTACTTTAACAATAAATTTTCACTTAAAGATAATTCAAAATTCTTCTCTTCGTTCAATCTTAGTGTGCGATTGTTTTTTTTTTCTACACCGGTCTCGAAAGTGACTCACTCCTATAATTTTTTTATTTTTGAGATAAAAAAACGAGTTTTGGTATGTTAGTATATGACATATATTAGGTTTGATTGACGTGTTCAATGGTTTTTAGTCACTTCCTGTTTGACCGGAAATGACTAAAACTTTTGATTTTTAAATGCGCCCTCGGTATATTTCTACTTTATTCCAAAAGAAAATTACATACTGAGTAGAGTGGCATATCATATGTCAACTTTGGACATTTTCGCTTAAAAAAATCGTATTTTAAATTTTAATCTATAGTGCCAGGGCTGTGTTAAAAATAAACAAATTATAGGGGGAGAAACTTCTGAGACGCATTCATCGGTATATAGAGCATAAGAAATAGAATTCCAACTTCGGCAGTCTCGTTCTGGTATAAGTGATCTTTGAAAACATAACAGTATTTAATTGCAAGCAGTTGCATTATTTTTTATTATATTTTATAATTAAGAATTTACACAAATGTTCCTTTCTTTTTTACAAACAATTACATTTTAGTGCAGAATCAGTATTATGATCAGACAGTTTTGTCGGCTGCAAAATGAGGATCAGCCAATGTTTGAGATGCATTTCTTTGTGAGAAATTTTTCTTTGTGTGATTCCTTTAATGAAAAAATTCTACGATTTTGCTACCATTTTCAGTGTATTACTACATATTCAATCCGGAACAATCAAAACCACCAAAAGATTGATATCTTTCCCACTACTATTAATAAATTATGCTATTTAATTAATGAGGCAAACTTATAAGTTTTTTTTTGATAATAAGGATATCGGGATCCTCTTCAGCTTCTTGCAAATGAACATTTGCCGCATATAACTTTAGGGCATATCAGCCATTAATAACAAATAAAGGGTGTGGATAATAGAAAAAGTGCAATTTTGAGCGGTCAGTCTAAAACTGATAATTTTGCTGTCTCTTTACCCAAAACAGTTTGTTTAAAAATTTATAAAAACGAGAATTATAGAAAGAAGGGTTATTTACAAAAAGTTGTTAGCTTTTGAGTTATAAAAATGCCACGAACAAATCCGATTTATATTTTTTTATTTAATTTTGTTTAATATTCTTCCACGAAAATGAATTCGCAAATCCCAGTTTCGGATAGAGCACTCAAAAAACATATAGAAAAGAAGAAATGAAAACTATCCCAAAGCTTTCGTGCTAAGGATGTTTTTGAGCATAATTTCAGTAAACTATAATAGGATACATCTAGGATATAATAATGTTTAGTCAGATATTCTTCCCTATGTGGTGTGGTAATAGCTAATGTGTTAATGTGGAAATTGACAGTACCGATTAATTATTGAACTGGATATTCGTTACTATTTGTTTAGATTACTGTTTTTAAATATTTTAGTTGCTGTCGTGGCGCCCCTCGATTCCGGCGCCCCGGGCGGCTGCCCGGGTCGCCCGGCTATTCCGCCGGCCCTGCTTTAACGGCAAGGGTAGATTAAAATGATACTTTAACAACGAGGATAGGTTAATAAAAACTTTATTTCTTATCGCACGTTTTTTAATTGCTTCCATTTTTGAAAATTTTTGTATTCCTTTCCATAAGTTATTCGGGATTTAAATGAAAGTAGTTTGGATATGGCGTTTGTCGCCTAAGCCTGTATATCTGTTTTTAATTTACTTATTTCGTTTTGAGCTATATCTGGCTCCAATTCAATCAGCAATAGACACGAAAGAGAAAATAAAAAATATTGACTCAAAACTGACAACTAAAGAGACAGTTTTATGTATTTGTAAAATTACATAGAAACCAACGCTAACCCAGAACAATATTTTTTCTACTCGTAATAAATTCCTTGAAGTAATAATTTCGGAATATTTTTTAAGACGTAACTCGCTATAGAAAAAAATATTGTTTTATACACGACGATAAAATTGCATTATCGTCTCACGAAATTAATTGATTTTTTCGGTCTTAACTATTAATTAGTAGGGAATATCATATCGTGCAACTGCTAAGTCACTGAAGAATTGTGTTGCGAGATTTGCAATTTTTTTACATTCTGTGTTTTTGATGGGATCTCTTATTCAACGAGGTTTTCCTATAATATGACCTTTCAATAACACCTTAGTTAAGTAGTGTTCTGCTCAAGTTCAAGTTAAGTTTCAATTTCAATCTTTTCATTTTCATATCTTTCTTCGACAAAATACCTACCAACGAAGCGACTTCCGTTTAATAATGACTACTAAATATCTGTAGGACCCTGACAAATTGCACACTCCTTACAAGTACAAATACGTGGGCCAGAATAAATCACGGTACCGTCTTCATTACCGCTCGCGATTACCATCTCACAACCCATAAACAATTTATTAAACATCTTCCTCCATTTTATTTATGAATCACATTTATGAAAATTGTTCAGCGCGCATTGTTGCATATTAATTCCGCATCTCTATAACGCAATTGGTCGGTGTAATGAATAAACATGACCGTCCACGCCTATAATATGAACAAGTATCGTCTCTAACAACATTTTTGACCTTTTCTGATGATGAGAGCAAATTAAAATTGTTCGAAATGCTGGCATTAACGTCCAAAATGGAAAGATGCAAATGATGAAGGCTTGAATTTATTGTGGTAATAAATTTCAGAATTATTGTGAACTATATAAAGTAGACTACCCGGTTTGGGAGGTCTAGTTGTTCTGATCTAATCGTACCAAAATGAATATCGTGGTGAGTGTCTTCTTGTTGATGATACAAGATCTAAACTCGTATTTGAGTTAGAAATGTGTGATCTATTTGTGATGTGATTGTGTGCTTTTTGACGAGAAAGTGAATTGATTAAATATCTTTACTTGGATTTATTGGAGTTTCTTTAGATATTAATTTATTTTGATTTCTTTAAATTGTTCATATTTTCACCGATTGGACACGTTAAGAGATACAGGGTGGCTTAAGATGCGTGTTATAGTGAGTTCAGTGGTAATCCCGAAAAAAACTGAAATTTTCGGGTTTTGTTTTTATTTTTGTACTAGAGGCTATTTTGACTGTTAGGCAAAAACTACAAATTTGTACCCCAGAAGCAAACTATAATTTTCACAAAACTAAGTTTTGAGAAAAACCAATTTAAACTTTTTTTTTGAAGTTATTTCCTAATTACTCCTACCTTTCATTGTAATATTTTAAATAAATTATACCAAACTTTTTTTGAGTGACTTAACATAATTTTTAAATCAGAAAAAAAACATTCACAAGAGATATTATACAGGATGTTTCAAAAAACATGGCGAGATTCCTCACGTAAAAATAAGATTTATTTTTCATATCAACATTGGTCCGATTCTACTTTATTTTGTAGCTACAGGGTGTTAAGAGTCTATTACGCTGTACTGTTCGGGTCGCTCTCAGGGGTCGGGTAAAGCGGGTGTGTGGCTGAAAGAAATATATATTATATTTCAGAAATCTACCTAAGGCTTAGCCCGATCCTGTCGTGTTAAGCCACATCCAAAATTCCAAACACACGTGCTTTGATTAAGGCTTGATTAAGGTTTGCAGAGCTTCAGCATTTGTCATAAAATAGCGAGCAATTTGTTACAAAAGTATATAAATTATATATCAATGTAATCACAAAACTTCAATCTATTTCCCTATTGTAATGGAATTTTAAATTATGTCTTTATTTTCGAGAAAATTTAGTCCAAACATAAGGAATATTTTTTTTTAATGTTTGACCATCAAGCCAATAACTTGGAAACGGTTCGTTTGAACGACACTGTGTATTTCGATTTTTGCTTAGAATTGAAGGAAGAATTGGAATATGCAATAATATACAGGGGGTTCTACTTACAAAAATTAAACTTTGACGTGCCACGAGTTTATGACCGACCCTGTATACTAAGATTTACTACTAGTTAATAGACATTTAAAAACCCTATAACTTTTGGATTTAACTTTTTGCGGTACCTCGTATATTTTACCTAATAATCGACAGGTCCCATACATATCATCGACCCTGTATAGTCATATATGTAATCATATAATAATCAGTAATTTAAAAGTTATTATTTTATTTCTCATTTATTAAATTCTTAATTGTTTCTAAAATTTGAAAATTATTTTTAATAGATCGTAATCTTTGCAATTGTGGCGTCGGCTTTTGCCCAGTATAGACCAATACCTGTATCACCTCAACATTTCATCAGAATTTTAAGACAGGAGCAAGTAGGCCCTAATCCAGATGGATCATATCAATGGAGGTGAGTAATTTAGAATTTATAACTGGCTAGTAACCAATACAGGGTGTTTCAAAAAACATTTGCTATATATCGTGGTAAATAAGATTTATTTTTTATACCAACGTCCGATTCTGTTTCTCGTAGATACATAAATAAATAAATGCCTTTATTGTCAAAAAAATTTGTCAATTTGTAGACAAAGGTAAACTAACAAACAAAGTAAAAAAACAAGGTACACAAACAAACAAACAAAAGATAAGCTAGTTTATAGTAAAATATCAATGACCTCTAAATAAATTCATTTATTAAAGATACAGTCTTCAGTGTTTTTTAATTTATTATGATTTTCTTCCCAGTGCTTTTAGCGATTCGAATAAAATTTTGAGGGTAAAAGTTACTGTAAGTACAACATATTTTAATGCTACAAAATTGTCGGTATACATATTAACCATAAAAAATGTCTATACCTATGTGGCGGATTCATCTTTTCAAAAAAAAAAATTTGTATGGGTATTTCGCCACTGCACTGCAAGAAAATCTACAAAATAAAATAATTATTTTTTGTAAACACTTCTGCGTTAAACCTAAACGGACGCTGCTTGTCAGAAGTTATGTTTACGGTAATACCAATTTGCCTAACAAAGCAAAAAAATATGCTTAACGTGTCGGAAAGTTATCTCTTTCCGTCGTCGGAAGCAAAAAAATACAAAGAATAAAGAAAAAAACTATTTAAAACATTTAAAATCAACTATTCGAGAACACTTTACTTTTTTAAAACAGATACGTCTACAAGAAACCGTTGACGTTCTGTTAAAAAAATGATTACACATTTATACGACGACGGAAAGAGATAACTTTCCGAAACGTTAAGCATTTTTTTTGCTTTGTTAGGCAAATTTGTATTACCGTAAACATAACTTCTGACAAGCAGCGTCCGTTTAGATTTAACGCAGAAGTGTTTACAAAAAATAATTATTTTATTTTGTAGATTTTCTTGCAGTGCAGTGGCGAAATACCCATACAGGATTTTTTTGGAAATATTAACCATATACGTGCATATGGGTTATCACTGGAATATTTTTCAAAAAAATGTATAGGTACGCCACTTTTTACGACTTTTTTTTCTATTGTTAGCAACAAATTGTGTAGACCGTTTAATGTCGATTAAAAGTTTCCTCTTGATATTTTGTCGACTTCGGTCTCCTTGATGAGATAAACTTAGTTTTATTAAAGTGTAATAGCAGTCTTTATTTATTTTTGTAATGTAATGTAATTAAATAGCCAAAGTATTAACTAAGTACTAATTGATTCCTCATCAAAAAGTATGAAGAAAAGTTTCTATAAACATGGGTGAGAAAATGCATAGTTTACAGGATGTTAAAACTTTTAAAAAATAGGTCTTTTATAATTCTCTTAAATACCATTTTTTTTTTGAATTTTCTCAAATGAACAACGTGGCTCAAATTGGGGTAACGCTGCTTTTTGATGAGCCCAATGATAATCCTTTTACTAATTACTGAACTTATCTTTGGTTTCCGGAAATATGCCGAAGAAACTGTAATATTTGCTTCTTTTACTAGTTCACTATTTTAGAGGAAATAAAAAATTCAGATTCGTATTTAACAAATTGATAATGGTGTCAGAAAAACGAAACGCCGCGCTGTAAGTGACTCTTCATGCGACTAAAAGATGAATCTAAAAAAGTTTCTTTGAAAATGTGTTTATACAGTTAATACCAAATAAACTTTTAGTCACGTGATTAAGCTTGACCGGCTCAGCCTTGGCTACTTTTATATATTTTCTTTTAATCAAAATATCTTAGGAAACAAAAATAAATTAAATACAAATATATAAAGAGTTATTATTTACATCAACAAAACTCACCTTCTTAACAGCATTTAAGGGACATAAAGGGCCTTTACTACTGCTTTCCCGTTCAAAATATTCGAATAAAGTTGCGATGAGTTTTTTACCGCTATTAAGCTAACTTGTACAGGGTGGGTCAAATTCGACGCTTTTAAATGGAAACACCCTTTTCTATAGGAGATAGACGAAAACTAATATCGGTGTCTGGAGCTGAATTTTCATCAAAAACATGATAGTGAAATCAGCACATCAATATCTGTTACCGTTTCGGAGTTACGGGGTATTTTTCAAAAATGTGCATTTTTAACAAATCGCTGTAACTTTTTTGCTATGGAAAAATTTGTATTTCTATGAAGACATTTCCAAAGCACCTTTTTACGTAGAATTTAATGGTTTAAGTATAATTGTTTTAAAATTAATAATTTAAGAGTTATCAACAGAAAATTGATTTTTTATTTGGGACACCCTAAATATTTTTATTTAACTGAAAATAATTTAAAATTACCTTTTCAAAAATATAGCACACTTGATATTTTGTTATATTTCGAAATACAGAATTTTTAAAAGCTCGCCACTTTTAACTAGTAGGCTTTGGATGGCCCTTATTGATGATATGCCTTTAATGGAACACAAAAACATATTTTTCCAGCAAGACGACGCATCACCTCTGTACGCTGAAGTTATCAGCAAAGTTTTGTAGCCAATATCAAGAATAATTGGATAGCTAACCAAGATCTCAGCCGTTGGCCGACGAGACCGCCTGACTTAGTACCCATAGATCTAATCCTATGGATATATTTGCGGAAGAATAAAGATCCCTTATTCTTGCGTATAATCTAGACAAGAATTAAAAATATTTAGCAGTTATGAGAGGGTATCTTTCACCCCCACTGAGTTAATGAATACCGCGAGTAATGTTCAAAAACTGCCCCGTCTGCCCATAACAGAAGACGGTTGATATGTCGAACACCTGTAGCAAAAACTCATGTCTTGGTTTGCTACTTATTTTTATTGTTATTAGATATAGTTTAAATGTGTTGATGTTGGTTAAATATATTTTAAATTGTTATAAAATTCTGCATCTCTCATAGCAAATATTATTTTCGTTTTAATTGATGCTCACAGCTAGAATTTTTTTGCATTACAGCCGGTGCCGTTCAAAGCCTACTTATTTAAAGCGGGCGAATTTTTATATACTCTATATATCTCGAAGAGGAATCGAGCAAAATATCAACTGTGTTATATTTTTGGAAAGGTAATTTTAAATTCTTTTCAATAAAGTAAAAATATACAGGCTGACCCATATAAAAAATCAAATCTTCTGTTGATAATTCTTAAATTATTAATTTAAAAAAAATATATACTTAAACCATTAAATTCTACGTAAAAAGGTGCTTTGGAAATGTTTTCATAAAAATACAAAATTTTCCATAGGAAAAAAAAGTTACAGCGATTTGTTAAAAATGCACATTTTTGAAAAATACCCGTTATTGACAAAAATTGAGCTCCAGACACCGATATTAGTTTTTGTCTATCTCCTACTACCTGAATCCCCAGCGCGAAATTTAAATTCGAGTTAGTCAGCGTGGCGCCGGCGCCGAATATGTCCAGGGTTGGGAACTATGAATTTAAAAATCGCGCCCTCCATTACGTAACTAAAAGTCTAATTGATATGAAATATAGATATATTTTTTCTAACTCTCAAAATAAAAACATGAAAAAATAAATATGATAAATATAAGTTCCAGAGTTTATTAACAAATATATTTCAGGAAATGAAGCAATTTCTTGTATGTTTCCGAAAAATAATAATTATTATTGATAAATTTCATTTAATTCGTTAGTCAATGAAGAATCATGTTTAACAATATCATTAGCTATTTTACATGCACGTGAATAAGACCAAGAGCTAATCGTATGTTCTCTTAGTTAATGAGATGCCGCACACAACAAATTTTATCTTTATCTTCTACGGTTGAATCTGTGTCTGTGTCAATTCACATGCTCGTTAGCAATACGTTCATAAGATACGTCTGTTAACTTACGAGATGCGCCCTCAATTTTTAACGTGTTGCAATCAACTAACGAATTGCAATTATGTCTTTTATATGAATTTAAGATATTCTATTGGTGCACAAGACATCATTTAGGTAATCTTTTATTTAAATTACTTAGATATAAACTGATGCTGCTTTTTCTTTGGACATAAAATGCAAATCTGACTGGTAACATTTAAATAAAAACCATAAAATGCTTTTTAATACAATGCGAGAATGTAACTATTGCATTTTTGAATAATGTATGTAGGGATGAAAAACACAATGTAGGGTTGCCAATTTTCAAAATAAAAAATAGAGGACGACTGGGTAAAAAAGTGACACAGGCAGAAAATTTACCAAAAAATTATGTAAACGGTATGTGATTAATGTTCTTTCTTACTTTCTAAAAAATATTTATAATTCAAAATTTGTTGAAATAAAACAAACCATTTCCAACAAACCTTTTTTTAAACATAATCCAAAATAAACATTTTAAACCGTTAAACATGTTTATTGCTTCAACAAATATTTCTTGTACATAAATATTTCTTCATTTACTTTTCTGTACAAACCAGTAGGATGAGTAGCGAAAGACACAGATTATAACAATTTTTTAAAGCATTGTGGCGATAGACGAATATTTTTAGATGTTAAGTTTGGTATGTAAAAAAGAGGACTTTTTCAATATGTAAAGGAAAAGAGGACAGTGATATCAAAAAGAGGACTGTCCTCTGGAATAGAGGACGGTTAGCAACCTTAGGTTAAAATAACCTGTAAGTTTATATGTTCTATATGAATTTTTAACAAATCGCTGTAACTTAACTTTTTGCTAGGAAAATTTTTGTATTTTTATGAACACTTTTCCCAAGCACCTTTTTACGTAGAATTTAATGGTTTAAGTATATATTTTTTTTTAAATTAATAATTTAAGAGTTATCAACAGAAAATTTTATTTTTTATATGGGACACCCTGTATATTTTTAATTTATTGAAAATAATTTAAAATTACCTATCCTAAAATATAGCACACTTGATATTTTGCTCGATTCCCCTTCGAGATATTGAACGGCGCCGGCTGTAATGCAAAAAAAATTCTAGCTGCGAGCATCAATTAAAACGAAAATAATATTTGCAATGAGAGATGCAGAATTTTATAACAAATTAAACTATATTTAACGAAAATCAACACATTTTAATCTATATCTAATAATAATAAAAATAAATAGCAAACCAAGACATGAGATTTTGCTACAGGTATTCGACATATCAACCGTCCTCTGTTACGGAGAGACGGGGCCGTTTTTGAACATTTCTCGCGAAATTTATCAGTGGGGGTGAAAGATACCCCTTCATAACTCCTAAGTACTTCTAATTCCTGTCTAGATCATACGGGCAATTTAATAAGGGCCTTCATTCTTCCGCAGACATATCCATCGGATTAGATCCAGAGGCACTAAGTCCGGCGGCCTCGACGGCCAACGGCTGGAATCCTGATTATCTATTCAATTATTCTTGAAATTGGCTGCAAAAATTTCCTGATAACTTCAGCGTTCTGAGGCGGTGGTGCCTCGTCTTACTGGAAAAATATGTTTTCGACTTCCATTAGGGGCATATCATCAATAAAGGGTCCAAAGCCTACTAGTTAAATGTAGCAAACTTTTAAAAATTCTATGTTTCGAAGGGGATTATAACAAAATATCAAGTGTGCTATATTTTTGGAAAGGTAATTTTAAGTTCTTTTCAGTTAATTAAAAATATACAGGGTGTCCTAAATAAAAAATCAATTTTTCTGTTGATAAATCTTAAATTATTAAGTTTAAAAAAATTACACTTAAACCATTAAATTCTACGTAAAAAGGTGCCTAGGAAATGTTTTGATAGAAATACAAAATTTTCCATAGCAAAAAAGTTACAGCTATTTGTTAAAAATACATATTTTTGAAAAACACCCCGTAACTCTGAAACGGTAACATATATCGATGTGCGGTTTTCACCATCATGTTTTTGATGAAAATTGAGCTCCAGACTTATTTTGATTCGAAAAATATGTAGTATATAATAATAGTAGGAAAAAATTAGTCGGCAAGCACTTAACAAACTGGTAACCGTATAACGATAATAGTAGTACCTTGTATATTAATAACTAGCTTCTACGTCCCACTAGTCAACTCGCATACTCAACAATGTTGCTCTTTGTTGTCCCTTAATTTCGCAGTTCTGCACGCGCATAAACGATAATCGGTCGGATATTTTGTGTGCAATCTAAACAAAAAAAACTTGCCCGAGAGACAAACCAAGGCAAACAAAACACGCCTATGGCGTGTTTTAGTTGCTGTTACTTATTTGCAGCTATTTTTAAAAAACAAAAACAGCTGTAAAAAAAATAAAAAAAGTTCTATATTTGTGGGACACGAACCTGGGACCTTTCGATGCAACGGCCTCACCAAGGGATCCACAGCTGCTCTTGCGAAATTGGCTATAGCTAGGCGTTACTTTCCGCCGTTCATAAAAGAATATAAGGCGACAGTAAAAGGCAACATTGTTAGGTATGCGAGTTGACTAGTGGGACGTAGAAACTATTATAATAAAATATTTTTATACTTAATATTATAGTTACGAAACTGAAAATGGAATAGCCGCAGACGAACAAGGTCACGTGAAAAACTTCGGAAACCCTCAGGCAGAAGCCATGGAAGCCGCTGGTTCGTTCAGGTACACCGCTCCAGACAATACCCCCATCCAACTGACGTACATAGCCAACGAGAACGGGTTCCAACCTTCCGGAGCCCATCTACCAACCCCACCACCCATACCACTGGCCATTCTCAGGTCGCTGGAGTACAACGCAGCCCATCCTGAACAGGATGACAGTTTGCAAGGAGCTAGATATGGGAAATGAGAAATATATTGATGATGATTTTGAACGGATGAATATGGAATATGCGAAGTACGTGCTGAGATCTCTGGCTTTTATATATTTTATATAAAGTTTTATACAAATATATTTAATAAAGGAATTGATTACTACGGTAGTCCGAAAAAAAATCTTGTTTCTTTATCTTAGTTTAAGAGCCTGATTTTAGAAGTAGGGTAGAGTTAGTAGAAGTTTAGTAGGGTAGCAGTACCATACACTCTTTTCTCGAAGCAACTCACGGTACTTTTGAACCCTCTGTAACTTCCCTGTGGACAAAGGAAGAATCTTTAGTTTTAGTGATCAGTGATCACGAGGACATACTACCGGGTGGTGTATTGTCGTTGGAAACAGGAAATCCCATGCACATTTTGAACTGTCTAAATATTGGCTATCCTGTAGATTTTACAGCCACACACAAAATTCCAAACACACGTGCTTTAATTAAGGCTTGATTAAGGTTTGCAGAGCTTCAGTATTTGCCATAAAATAGCGAGCAATTTGTTACAAAACCACATAAATTATATATCAATTATATTTTCGAGAAAATTTAGTCCAAACATAAGGAATATTTTATTGATGTTTGACCATCAAAATCTTAAAAATAAAGTTGTGTAAAAATGTGCTACAATACGGATGTAGTATAAACCTTTATCTTTAATTTCCTTCTTCATTTGTGTACAAATACCTAACCAGTTTCACATAAAATGTTATATGTTGAACGCTTATTTTGTTACTTTTTCGGACTAGTGAAACGGACTTAATAATAAGCGTTCGGCATTTAACGTTTTATGTAAAATTGGCTAGATATTTTTACACAAATGAAGAAGGAAATTGAAGATCAACGATTATACTATATCCGTATTGTAGCAAATATTTAGACAACTTCTCTATTTTTAAGATTTGGATCGTCAAACATCAACAAAATATTTCCTATGTTTGGACTAAAATTTCTCGAAAATAAAGACATAATTTAAAATTCCGTTTGGTTTGGTTTGGTTTGGATAATATGATATAATACGAAAATAGATTGAAGTTTTTTGTATAGATGATATATAATTTATATGGTTTTGTAACAAATTGCTCGCTATTTTATGGCAAATGCTGAAGCTCTTCAAACCTTAATCAAGCCTTAATCAAAGCACGTGTGTTTGGAATTTTAGGTGTGGTTTAACACGGCAGGATCGGGCTAAGCCTTAGGCAGATTTCTGAAATATAATACAGGGTGGTCCGAACTGTATCCCGGAAACTTCAACAGCATATTCTGCAGATAAAAATAATTTAAAAAGTTCCTATAAATGTATGTTCTAAAATGCTTAGTTTCGGAGATACAGGGTGTAGAAGTTTCATTTTTATTTCGATTTTTCCAAATAATTTCTGAAGTAAGCTCAATATTTGAATGAAAATTGGTGTCTGGGAGTTTTTTGACATGAGAAATTTGATTTTGATATCAATATGACTCCTACTAGTAGAGGGCGCCACCTACATATTTTTTAACTTGTTTGAAGAGTAATAACTTTTCGTCCGTACCTGTATAAAACTACTGAGTGAAAAAATATACACTTGCGACGTTTTTTACGTGAAAAAGGTCTCTTGGTAAAAATCGCTACGAGTAATGGTTTTCGAGATATTTGGAATCGAAATTATCAATACCTGTCATCATTCACATAAATTAAACATGTTGACTAAATAGTTATTAGACTGAAATCATAAATTTGAAATGTTTTTGTGCTAAAAGTTCAATAGAAACTGTTTTATCATCATTTTTCGCAGAAAAAATTATGATTGATTTAAAAAAATAAAAATTTCCCAAATTTATTATTTTAGTGAAATAACCTTCTCAACGTGTTTATTTTTCGTCAATAATGACATGTATTGTCTATTTCCATTCTAAATATCTTAAGAACGGTTGCTCGTAGCGATTTTTACAAAAAGATATTTTTTACGTAAAAAGTCACAGAGATGTATATTTTTTCACTCAGTAGTTTTATACAGGTACAGACAAAAAGTTATTATGCTTCAAACAGTTAAAACACATGTAGGTGGCGCCCTCTACTAGTAGGAGTTATATTGACACCAAAATCAAATTTCTCATGTCAAAAAACTCCCAGGCACCAATTTTCATCCAAGTATTGACGTTACTTCAGAAATTATTTGGAAAAAATAGAAATAAAAATGAAACTTCTACACCCTGTATCTCTGAAAGGAAGCATTTTAGGACATACATTTATAAGAACTTTTTTAACTATTTTTATCTGCAGATATATATATTTTCTTGGCCACACACCCGCTTTACCCGGCCCTTGAGATTCTTAAAACATTAATCATTAATAGACTCTTAAAACATTAATCAAGAAGTAAAGAAAACAGATAAGAATACATTGATTTGTGATTTTTGATTTCATTCTTTAAACATAAACAATATTTTCCTTTATACTGTTTCATAAAATAATATCAAGAAATTAAAAAAAAATAAAACAACTTTTTCAAATTTGCTTTTATTGAGCACATTTCATCTTGTACAAATATATTATTAAACCAAGCATTAACCATGGCATCATTTATATACAATCACAGCAGATGTGGGTTGAGTTACGTGTCGTTTCATCCCAAACGTTGAGGCTTGTCCGAATCATCTTGTTCTGGATGAGCAGCGTTGTACTCCAGAGCCCTCAATATGGCGGGTGGAATTGGAGGAGGTGTTGGAAAATGAGCACCTGAAAATAATTTTTGTTGGCAATTGGTTTTCTTAATTATACATCTCTTGTCTTCAGTTCACTTTTTATACCGGGTGCGTCTCAAAAGTGGCTCACCCCTATAATTTTTTATTTTTTCAGATAAAAAAACGAGATTTTGTAAAACTTGGAAAATAAGTTGGTTATAATAATGGTTTTATAATTTGGAAACTCTCTATTTATTTATCTAGTAATGCTAAAACACTCTATTTTAAAGTCGATTAGAGAAAATAGTATGATTCATTGGCAAGTAATGTAAACATTTACGATCTGGAAAAATTATGATGTAAGAGGAGGCTTAGCTTGCCTACGGCAGTTCAGTAGTAGACTGGCCAGCCGGCTGTTGTGTTGTGTTTTGTCATAGAGCTGATATTTGGGGGTTGAGAGTCTTTTGACTATAAACGTTGCAAGTACTGTAAGGCAACGGGTCGTTTGACTGGAAGAAAACCTCTGGTGACGTCTTTCCTTCGAGGTTGGTCTTGAGAGTGTGAGGTCTCCCTTGTCTTCTCGATTGACACGATGCGGCGTTGGGGTAGAGAGACTAGTGAGGTATCCCAATTAGAGCTTATTCGATTGGGATGCAAATCTGTTTAGCGGCAGAGTTGCGTCCGGGGGGAAGCCCCTATACTATTTCAGGTGACACTAGCTAGTTGTTGAAGATTATTAACCAATAGATCCGAATGATATTTGAATTAGATGGAAAATATGGAATGGGATATATTGAATAGAATATATCAGTGGCTAGGGGGCGGAGTACCCCCGGGTGAGTCATACTATTTAACTATCAATTTTATCCAGATCAGTAAATGTTTGTTTTGTTATTTTTATGTACAATGAGAAAGTGCTTGCCAATGACCAACTAAATGGATATTTGAGGTGAATTTGCATTGTGAGACCCGGTTGAGTAAGCCCCAGAAATAAGCGATTTTACAATTTGGTATTTTAGTATACGACATAAAATAGGATTAAGTGACGTATTCAATTGTCTTTAGTCACTTCCTGTTTCACCGGAAATGACTACAACTTTTGGTTTTTAAATGGCACCCTCGGTATTTTCTTACTCTATTCGATAGAAAATGACATTCTGAATAGAATGACATATCATATGTCCACTTTTGACATTTTTGCTTAATTAAAAATCGTATTTTAAATTTCAATATAGAGTACCATGGCTATGTTAAAAACACTAATTCTTAATCAATGAGCCTTGGAAAAATTGATTGGATCGTCTAATGTTTTTAGTGTCTTGTCCTGGTCAGTTAGAAAATGCTCCAATCGTATTTTTAATCATATCTCAATTTTTTCAAATGGAATGAGGGTGGCTCATTAGCATATTTGGAAAAGGCATTTTTTACCAATAATTTGATATCACACACTTGGTATTTTGAGTTAAATTTTCGTTACGAACCGCATGTTATAATTTCAAATAAACCATATGCGAAAATATCAAAAGTTGACATATAATATGCCATTATATTCAGAGTGTTATTTTTTATCGAATAAAGTAAAAAAATACCGATGGTGTTATTTAAAAATCAAAAGTTGTAGTCATTTCCGGCGAAACATAAAGTGACAGAAAACAACTGAATACGTCAATCAATCATAATATTTATTTTCCTATGCTAATTTGTGCCGCAGTGTTTTGAAGCAGCTGGAACAGTTGGAACTGGAAGTGGTACAGGATAGCACCTGAACCTGTTCCAAGCCAGTTCCAAAACTAACCGGTTTCGAAAATAACAGATCCTGTTCCAAAGCATCATGACTAATTTATGTCATATAGTAACATACCAAATCTCGTTTTTTAACTGAAGAAATATAAAAGTTATAGTGGTGAGCCACTTTTGAGACGCACCCGGTATAGTATTTTACTTAAGACACCACAAAAAAAAATAAAAACACAACTAAACTATGTTTGGCAACCTTCAAGTATACTGTCATGTCAAAGAAAAACGCCTTAACTACAATAGTTGAGATACAAGTGTGCCATTAAAAAGATTAAAGTATTTTCCAACTAAATAAGAAGAGCAAAGCATCAAATATTGCTTTATTTTGAGACTTTAATGAAATATCGAGTGAAATATAGTTTCACCTCAAAGAGGTATAAATCTGGCGGGAACATGATAAAAAAACGGCGTCAGCGATGGCTAAGCAATGAAGATCTCTGTCATTTTATATATAAAATTATATGAGGAATGTAATCGATGTTCGTTTCCAAACCAACTGGACGTCGTTTTTTTATTGTACGATATTAAAATTCTCTATATACAAACATTAACAAACAAGATACCCTATGTTCGAGAAAACACACCAAAGACTTCTCCAAAATTGTCATCGATTGTCATTCATCAGCCGTCTTTGACGCCGTTTTTTTTTTATCGTATTATATATTGTTTTATTTTAACTTTTTACTTGTTCTTATTTATTGTTAATAGCGTTTACACTTTTTTCGGAAATTAAAAAAAAAACATGAAAATATGGTTGAATTTTTAGTATGTCCTAATGATGCTGTAAACAAAATTTTCATAGCCATCTTTCTGAACTAAAGCGTCTTTTCAAAAATTTTGCATTTTGGGACATCCCAACAAACAATTTTGAAAATATGAATTAGTTATATTTTTTCTAACGGAACACTCTGTATATTTATAAAACATATGATCCGTTTTGCTATGAGCTGCTCAAAAATATATATCACTTTATATTTATTTTCACTATTTACTGAAATATTTAATCGACATCAATTTCTTATTAGTAGGCCGTGATAGGTAACAAGAAATAAAAATGTTATTTTCTAAAATAGTGATCCATACGGGGTGTTCCAGAAATAAGTGCAAGTATTTTAAGGGGTGGTAGATCTGGTCAAAAGAAACATTTTTTCTCCAACTAACGACCATTATCTTGGTTTTTGGCGTGTTTATTTTAAGGCTTAATGATATAATTGATAAATATATAGGATATTTACTGTCAAAAGGAAACATAACTTTAGTTCGGATCTTCAAAAATATTCTTTTTGTAGAATAACAGACTACGCCACTGTATTCTACGTGAAAAGTTCTACAACAAACAGTTTTCACCTTCCCGATAACTTTCACAGTAACAGAGATACGGGGGTGTCTCCAATTGAAAAATTTTCAAAAAAAAAACGGTAGCTCAGGAACAAAGCGGGCTGTGAAAATTTTGTTTACAGCATCTTTCGTTTGACAAAAAAAATGAGAAGGGTTTGTGCAAACCGCACCCTTCTATCATTATATCACTCACTTCTTTCTATCTATAATAACGGAGATACCGTATGACTTGAACTTAAATGGGACACCCTGTACATAGGTAAGGTAAACAAATTTCCAAATATTTTCCAGTGAATGAGAGATGAAAATGCCATTAATTCCTAAAGTGCAAGGTTTATTGCAATTTAAATAAGATGATCTGTGTATACAGTGCATCGCAAATCATAGTGGAATCATGCCGGGAGGCACAATTTAACCTGCCATGTAGCATTTGCCTAGTCGCTGTGTGGCATCTGCCACTAAACTCGCGATTTGATTGAAGTTTGCGGTCGGTAATTGTTGTGTTCGTGCTTCTATTAACTTTTTACGTGATCGTGCATTCGTAATATTCCTTGGCTAATTAATTTTCAGTCATATTTTACCATATTAGTTATAAAAATTACGTTAATACCGCTCGTAATACTGTCGAGTTTATGGTTATTTGCAAGAGAAGTCAATAAAAAATATTACATTATTTTAATAATGTTTATAACTTTGTGTCGAAGTTTATTTCTTGAAAAAAAACTAAAGTGTTCTCTGAATAGTTAATTAGACGTTTAAAATAGTTTTTTTTTGTTTCGTTGCTATAATAGTTTAATTAGAGAAATCAGTGGAAAAAAATTCCACAGTTTTGAAAATGGTTTTAAACGATTTCTCTTGACTTTGGCTGATATGTGTCAAAAGTCCCCGAAGATAGACGATAAGCTCGAGGAGAGGGGAGGGGTTAAATGTCATTTTTATGACTTTTTAACTTATATCTCAGAAAATATGACACCTACAAAAAAATACCCACAGAAATACAGAAAATTGAAGCTCAGAAAATTCTCTAAAAAATTGGTGTGAAAAGAAAAGAGTTACAGGGTTGACAAAATTAACATTATTTCTCATATTGTATTTTCGCATTTAAAATCCAATTAAAGTCTAAATTTAACCTTTCATATTAATAATGGTAGTATTAAGGGGTCTTTATGTTCTCTTTCAAGTCTTCATTGCATCGTGACTTTTTGTCTTCCGTTGTGTCTTTAATATTCTTTATAAGACTTTTGAATTGAAGAATTTTATGAAAGTATTTCTTATTTCCGACACAACAATTAATTCAGAAACATAATAATTCACTATTATTTTATAAATGTAGTATTATTTCTTTAATATATTGTGTACATAATGTCAGTTTTTATTCTTTTAACTACACAAACATATAAGTAAAGCAAAATAAATGAACGGAAAACATTATCCATATTAACAAATAACTTGCGCAGTCAAGGAGTGATTTATGTGAACGCATCACGTCTAAAATTTATAAAATCACAGTATATACTAAAAGTTATACTTAATACTTAAAAAATCATGATATCGTACTTCTTCAACGCTATTTGAACGAAAAACGTGCAATGAAGTGAAATGTGTTTGTGCGGATTTGAAATATGCCATTTGATTTTGTATCCAAATTTATATAAAGGCATAGGTCCGGGAACAAAAATGTATAGAATCATTTTTATAGAGAATTTTGTCAGCGGTATTTTTTCGGTAGATGTCATAGTTTCCGAGATATAAGCAAAAAAGACATTTAACTTCTCCCCACTCCTCGAGCTCATCGTCTATCTTCGGGCATTTTTGACACATATCAGCCCAGGTCTAGAGGAATCGTTTAAAACCATTTTCAAGACTGTGGGATTTTTTTCCACCGATGGGCCTTTTTTAAATAATTTGACTGGGGTAGTTAGTAAAGGAAGAATGGTGATGTAATTCAAAAGAAAATATAGTATTTAAAATAGTACCTTGAGGTTGGAAACCCAGTTCATTCGCAACGTACTGAACTTGTATTGGAGTACCATCATCAGCTGTGTACTGGAAAGATCCTTGCGCCTCCATGGCTTCCGGGTTTTTTAATTGTCCTTGCTCTTGAGCAGCTATACCGTTTTCAGTTTCATAGCTAAATATAATTGTAAGAATTATCATTTCACAAATAAATTGGTACAAAAGGTATATATTATTAAAGCAACTTAAACATTATTTCGTCATCTAGGTACATCTTTTCTTGATAGTTTGTTTTTTGGTTCATTCCAATAGCTTTATTTTTATTGGAGATATTCCCTTTTGATTAAGACAGTAACAATTTACAGCAACGTTAGCACCGAAAGCATTGAAAACTGTCATTGAAAACTGTCATTGAAAACTGTGATTGAAGCACTGTCATTGAAAACTGATATTATTATTGTCTATTATTGACGCTTACTCTATGTGAGATTAGTTTTAAGTTCTGAAGTATCGGCTATTGCTGCTTCAATTGAATATGGTAGGGATCAACTTTTGAACTTAAAACCATCTCTGCTAGAGCAAGGTTATTAAAAGATAAGGTTGTCTCGTAACTTTTGGACCAATAGGAGCGGAGCTGCAACTACGTCACAGGGATGCTACAGAACGTATAAAATCATAGATAAAAGAATAACAAATAAAATGCAACCGACAAAGAGAGATAAATGGACAATACACTAAAGAAAACATACATCAAACAACTGAAAACTATTGACGCCATACACTATAAACAATAAAGTACACAATGAATATCGATTCGGAAATGCACTGTCGGACTGTGGGCAGTTTTTATCTTTTTATCTATGAGTGGTCTCATTCCTATGACGTAGTAGATGACGTTTTCGATAATGGCGGATCGAGTTACGAGACAAACTTATATTTCAATAACCTTGTTGCTAGAGTACTATTTTATAGGTCTGTTGACTAGGACCAAAAGCAAAGGTATGGTTTTAATGTAAAGAATACGAAAAAAATGTTAGTGTCTTTTTCAAAAGCGAATATCTTCAAAAATATAGAGCTTTAATGGTGCGTTTAGACTTTAGCACGCACGAGCTGAGCGTGCGCGCATGGCATTCGTTCGCCTTTCGTCTCCGTTCAAATTAAAAACTTATGTTTCGACGAATGAAGTGATCCATTTCTGCGCGCACAGCAGAGTTGTATTGGCGAAAATAATGGACGACCAAGAAATAGTCGAGGCTGCAGTCATTGTTATACACAGCTTAATTATTAAAAAGGAGAAAAATCGAAAACATCGCCGCTGGTGGCAAACCCAAATTTTTAGAAATCGATATAATTTACTGCAACAACTTAGTATCTGGAGGGCTATGATCAGTTCAAAAACTTTACAAAAATGACCAGGCTCGATTTTGAATATTTACAAAAGTTAATAACACCAAAAATTACGAACAAAAGATAGAAATTTTAGAATAGCAATTTCATTAATATCGACATATTCAATATTAATTTTATTTACAAGGTCTTGCCATGCGTTTTTTTTTATTTTTTAATAATATAAAGAATGTTTAACATCCCATAATATAGGCAACTTTTCATATTATTCAATTAATAATAACGAAGATTCATTGATCCACTCCATAATTTTAATAAAGAAAACGAAAAAAATCACAGACGCACGCACGAACGCAGACAAAACAAATGGCCGGTGCAAACTGAGCGTTCACGCACACATAAAATCCCTTTGAGCACGGACCAAAAACCGACACCAGACGGCTCACGTTCGCGGCTGCTCGCGCACAGACATTTTCAGAGTGAGCGTGTGCGCACAGCCGTTTACACTTATGCATTCGCGATAAAATTATTTTTTTAAAACGTACTCCACAGGGTGTTTTAAACTTTGACCAAAATATCAACATTATGTTTTCCCTCGTATAATTGACAGATGGCAACTTTCGTTTTTACTTTAGAAAAAGATACTAAAAAGTAAAATAATTTATTTACAAATTTCTTAGAAAAAACATCAAAATCGGTCCACTAGAACACAGTATACAGGGTGTCCCAGAAATAAGTGCAAGTATTTTAACTGGTAGTATAGTTCAACCCCAGAAACACGCTTATGAGGTTTTTTCGCAAAAAAAATTACAAATTCAAAATTTTTTGACATTTTTTTTGGAAATTTTTTTAGTTTTTAGTTAAAAAACATAATTTTTTGATAATATGGCAACATAGGTGTTAGATTAAATTTACAAGAAAGAAAATCCAGAAAAGATCCAGTGGTTCTTAAAATTTTAGCAAAAAATATTTTTTTTGTAAATTTTCAAAGTAAAATAACTCTTGACAATTTAAAAAACGATAAAGAGAAAATATGTTTCTTTTATTGAGATCTACCACCCCTTAAAATACTTGCACTTATTTCTGGGACACCCTGTATAAAACTTGTGAGTGTATTTAGGACTAAAAACCGATGTAAATCTTACGCTTCGGCAATTACCTCCAGTGATATGATCCATCAGGACTCAGATCTGATTCTTGTTTGATAATCTTAATGATCTGACCTGGTTGAATTGAAGGTGGCCTCCTTTGTCCATATACTGAGATGCTGAAAACTGCTAGAAGCAGCTATTTATAAAAAAGAAAAAGCTATTAGAAATAGTATATTGCTTTGTTAGGAGTAAAAATGACGAGGATGTACGTTTGACTACGATATACAGCCGAGGCACAAAAAGTAATTTTTACTTCGAATAGAACAAGCTATTTTTTTTCAAACGTCACAAATAATTTTTGAACAATTTCAAGCGTTTCAAACAATATAAAAATAAGATTTAAAAGTCATACCTTGTATGTAATTATATATCGATAAACTATGGTTACGGCTCGTCGAATTTGACACTTTATGTCAGTTTAATATAGCTATTTATGTAAGAAGTTGCGAAATGAATGTGTTTTAAGCATGGGACGCAAAATTGTTGAAAACGAGGCGAAAGCCGAGTTGGACAATACGTCGAGTGCTTAAAACACTTTTATTTACGCTATTATTATTATTTATGTTTAAACATTTTCTAAAATGTTCTGGTAATCGGTTACTAAGGCATTGTTTGTGCATTGTTTAATGACAAAGTTCTGTCAAGTCCAAACGTCGCCGTATTTCCTACAAAGTTTTGTGAAAAAATGAGTGATAATGATGAGTGTTTGGATAGACATAACAAGCTACTGAAACTACTGCGCTATCCACGTTAGTACCCGAAAAGTCGAAAAACTTATACGAGACCACCCTACAACAACTTTGAACGTTTCATTTTTTACTTTTAGGCACTAGTGCCTAAACAAGTGTCACTTTTAGATACTAGTGCCTAAAAGAATGTAATTTCGAATCTCAAATAAATATCAAAAACTGTCAATTTCGAAACGCTTTCAAAAAAATATAATTTAGTACTTTTATGGCGACCTAAAAGTGCTTTACTTTTATGCCTAGGCGTTAAAATGACTTTTTTTATATTGTCTAATCTAAAACAGCATTTTTTTACAAAAAAATTTTAATATTTACGTTTTTAGTATTTTAACTATTTAAAAAAACGAAGAAAGCCAATATCTATTTGGTTTTCTATACAGAATGTCCACGGAACGTCTTTACAAGAGGAAAAACTCTTTTATGTCTATTTTGAGAAAAATACGTTCTTCATAAAAATGTTTGCTTGTTTTAAAATAGTTAATCTCGTTTATCCATATCGTTCTGGAGAAAATTAAAAAAAAATAAAATACAGTTGATTTTTTCCTAAACGTCCTAACAATCAAAAGCGTTTCTAGAATAATATAATTTATTCGAGTTCATTCTTTAATAGATGGTAATTGTTAATTTTGATTAACGTCATATTTTTGCTGTCGTTAAAATATCACATTTTCCGATAACTATTATCACCCTTTCCGTAACATTGAACTAAATAATTTTTTCTACGATCGTGCAAAAAGTAGCTATTTTTTACTCTATCTACTGTATTAAAAGTCAAGTTTTTTGCATTAGTGCAAAAAAAAGTGCAAAAAATAAGTTGTTTTTGTCTTAAAACACCTTGGCATTATTAATGACGAGTTGAACTAAAGAGAAAAAATTTGTAAATTTTCGTAAAACTTTGCAAATCCTGGAAGGTAAACCAAGTACTAGTACTTGGTTTACCTAGTTTAAACCAAGTACTAGTACTTGGTTTACCTCGCAGCAACATTCCGGAAATGAATTTTAAGTGAAAAAGAAGAACCCGAAACCTCCACGAGCAGAAATGAGAATAAAATTCATAAGACTACTGGAAATGAAGTTTGTCCATCAATTAACACATTAAAATTAAAATCAACTCAAAAAAATAATATTTGTTTATGGTGTCATTATTAGTAGTAATATTATTCTGTGAATTACTGTAATTTTTTTTAATAAACATTTAAATAAGAATTTCAATTCGATCGTAGAAAAATGTTGTATGCAAACCTATTTGTTGTACTCAGCATGATTGCAGCTCAAGACGAAGACGAAATCGTCAAAAACTCATGCGTCGTGCAACAAATATGTCCTTTTTACACAATGTACAGGGTGGTCGAAATGGTCTGTTTTAACAGAGAAAACCTATTTCCTGACTAGATAGAGCAAAACCGACATAGATGTCATGGGCTCGATTTCGGAGACACGTTTAATGGCGTAAACCGCCTGTTGATATTTTCACTGCCAACTGAGATACGGAGTCTTTTTGAATTTTTTACCATTTTGAAAATTGCCCATAACTTTTTTTAATTCGCGGAATAATAAAATTCTGTAAAAACGTTTTTAAGGCACTTTTTTAAGAACAATCCAGTGGCGTGGTCAGTTTTTTTCTATGCTTGCTCTCTTTGTTAGAAATAATAAAAAATATAATTTTTTAAATGGAAATTTGCAAGCAGTTTAAGCAGAATCGTGGTTAAGAAATTATCCAACCTTTTAGAACACCCTGTATGATTTTTTAAAAAATTTCAAAATATGTAAAAAAACAAAATAAATTATGCTTGTCCAAGCGTTTTCCCGAAAGACTAACTGTTTTTAAAATAACAAATATTGTAATATTGAGGGGCGTTTTTCCTTATCGGACCTCTACACCCCACAGTCAATCCGTTTGCCAAAAATCAGCTTTAAACGTCAAGCAGTTTAAACAGAATCGTGATTACTCAATGGTCATATTTTATGAAACACCCTGTATAAATATATAAAAAATCTTAAAATATGTAAAACAACAAAATAAAATATACGTGTTTAAGAGTTTTTCCGAAAAACTCACCGGTTTTTAAATAAAAAATATTTTAATATTTGAGTGATAGTTTCACCCCCTTAGAATTCAAGTTTCGAAAAATCCCTTCTTATCGAACCTCTACACCCTAAAGTCAATCTGTTTTCCAAAAATCAGCTTTTTACGTCAAGCGCTTTAAGCAGGATCGTGATTAATCAATGACCAGATTTTTCGAAACACCCTGTATACATTTTTAAAAAATCTTAAAATATGTAAAAAACAAAATAAAATATACGTGTTTAAGCGTTTTTTCGGAAACTTGACCGTTTTTTAAATAAAAAATATTGTAATATTTGATGGGTGGTTTCACCCTCTTGGAATTGGAATTTCGAAAAATCCCTTCTTATCGAAACTCTACACCCTAGAATCAACCTGTATGCCAAAATTGAGCTTCTTACATTGAGTGGTTTGAGCAGGATCGTGATTAATCAGTATGTCAGTCACTTAAGGATTTTATTGTATATTAGTATAGATTTTTTATCTATATATCGGAAGCGGGCCTTGATTTTGTGTTGACCTATTTGCCTAATTATTTTTTTACAATTTTATATTGCATATTATTATTTATCTGAATAATTAAAGACTTTTGAAAAGATAAATTAACATTCTATATTAGTATTAGTAATCACAATTAAAATCGATACAATAAACAAAAAACAAAACTAAAAAAACGTATTTTTTGAGTGACGAATATAGTTTTCTAAAAAAAAATGTTCAAACTGAGCACCTGCTTGGTAAATACACAATAAACATCTTTTACGCACAGAGTTACAGCGATTTATTAGGCGAACTGGTGTAATAAGTCCAAAAGCTTGCCTAGTAGCCTTCTGTAATTCTTGACTCTTAATTTCCTCCATAAAAAAGTCGAAAGAAGTTAAATCATAGGACCTAGCAGGGTGAGATATGGGGCCCCTTTTTCCAATCCAATTCTCTCTAAATTCTCCATTTAATAGTTCAGTTGTAACCATGGCGTTTTAATTGTAATTGGTAATACTTAATATAGAATGTTGTGATTTACCTTTTCAAAAGTCTTTAATTATGCAGATAAATAATACTATAGAATATTAAATTGTGATAAAAAATAATTAGGCAACTAGGTCAGCACAAAATCAAGACCCGCTTCGATATAAAGATAAAAACCCTAATATTTCTCTTATTCTTAAAAATAAATACACATAACTTTATATCGTTGGAAAGGTTAGGTTAGGCCAGCATTTTTTTAAGTTCATAGCCAACTATGATTATGACCATTTAAAAAATTATATTCTTTATTATTTCTGACAAAAAGAGCAACACTAGAGAAAAACTGACTACGCCACTGGATTGTGCTTAAAAAAATGCCTTAAGAACGTTTTTACAGAATTTTATTATTCCGCGAAATACAAAAGTTATGGGCAATTTTCAAAATGGTACAAAATGTAAAAAGACCCTGTATCTCAGTTGGCAGTGAAAATATCAACAGGCGGTTTACGCCATTAAACATGTCTCAGAAATCGAGCCCATGACATCTATGTCGGTTTTGCTCTATCTAGTCAGGAAATAGGTTTTCTCTGTTAAAACAGACCAATTTCGACCACCCTGTACATTTTTAATATTATTAATATGCATACAATTTTATACAATGTAACTATTGTGCTTCTTTAACATTTTAAAACAGCAAAAAATGTGACTTCAATTAAAATTCTATTAATAACAATGAAAACAGAGTTAGATTGTGTTTTCATCTATGCGTTTTGATTATTAGGAGGAATATTTAGGAAAAATGGAACTATATTTCGTCCCATTGCTGCCTAAACTCACTAACTTACTTTTTATTACTTCCGAGAAAAATGCGTCTAAAGATGAATTGCATTGCATAAAGATGTTATAGTTAGTAACTATTCGGTATTAAAATAAAACATAAATAGCCAGAAATCGTAGTTAATGACATTTGCAATCGATTCTCCAATTCAAAACATAGTTAGTGAAATTTGGTTGTTAGGAAAAATGTTAGTTTGTTTTGTTAATTTTTGTTTTTTAATTTTTTCTAAAAAAAGTATGGAAATTTGGAAAAGTATATAAACGGCATTAACCAATTTGAAACAAGCAAAATTTTTTTAAAGAATGTATTTTTCTCAAAATGTTAATAATAATAAAAGTTTTCCTCTTGTAAAGATAGACTCCGGGGACATTACTGTACAATTTTTCCAAAATGGTTACGTACTTGTAAACTTACCAAAAATACTTTATACATTTTTATATGCTCTTAACCTTTGCACATCCGACATATACCGAATTGATATCACCAAAGCTTTAACAACTCCACCCACGAACAACCAAGCTTTTATACACCCGCGACCAATAAACGACTCATCTCCACGTTTCGTCACACGTTATTCGCCAAATCAATTTCCATCGTGAAGGTTAATTTTCAAACGATAAAATTAGAATATTTTCTGCGCTTTTTACGCCAAATGTCAGAGAATAACGATGGATGGTGAAGATGCGCCTGCATCTTGGAGGAAATTACGGGTTTAGGAGATGTTAACTATGTCTTCTCTCTGTCTAGGCCAAATATATCAAGTGGTAATGATGGGTTATCGAGATAGGAGATGTTATTATGTATCAACGCGGGCATATATTAGTTTTTTTTTATATATTTTTTTTGTTATTGTCTATGAGCTAATAAGTACATAAATAAAGTACAGTAAATAGGTAGAGACCGTACAGGTGCAATTCCAGGAATACAAACTTTATTTTGCCATGCAAAAGCGCACGGTCGACTTTTTAGGAAGTGATTACTCATTAAGGACAATTTTTTCTTTTAAGAGTCGTTTAGACTCTCAAATAATTTGAGCAATCTGGTTTGCGCAAGCCAATTTGTACAAAATTTATGCACATCTTCAAATCTATTTTTTCGTTTACATATTTAATTAGTTAGTGCTATTTGTCTGATGTATTTCATTTAATAATAATAATAATAGGTCCCGTATATAGCGTTTAACGCCTTAGGGCTCAAACTCACTGACGACCAGGTCGCAACGACCTGGCCGTCGGCTGGCCGGATGCATTGCGATTTTTTACGTTTTACAAATTAGAAAATATTGTTTCAGAAATGTTAAAATATCCGAGTTAACTAAAAAGCGAAGTTGCTATTCACAACAAACAAAAAGCATTGTGTACGCGCGACCGACAAAAACGGAGATATTCTGTTTCTTTTTTCTACTGATATGGCGCCCTTATCGACTTTAGAAGTAAACATATTAGGGCCATCGTAAAAAAAGATCGTCAGACACTGGCTCTAAATATAAGCAGGTAGAAAGTTTAGCTTCCAGTTATTTCAATGTTTACAATATAACGAAGAATTTACAACAGTAATTACTTCTATTTTTATGAATGTTTAATTTACTTTCTTAATTTTTTTTTCAAAATAGTGTACCTAGTAGAAATATAGTCTAATGAACCCTGTTTGAAAAACGTTAAATTAAATATAATATTTAAAATACAGTTGTCCTCCTTGTACATGACTACAATACAACTAAAAAAAAACTAATTTAATAAAAAAAAAAACAAGTGGTGGTAGAAAAACTTTAAATATTATTTTTTTTATTTTTTAACATCGAAACTCAAAGGTATTATTATACCTATGAGTTTACCTGTTATTACAGGTATCATACCAACCATAAGTAGAGTAGGTATATCATATAAAAATGTTTTGAGTTTTTACTAGAATCGACCCTTGATAAAAAAAGGGATTAGATTTAAGTTTACCTTTGATCCAGTCTGTATACTATTTCTTTGGATTTTCTGCACGTGTGAAAAAACTACACTAAAACACTAGATATAGTGTTCTATAAGATAGTTTCTATAAGATATTATAGAAAATAAAATATTGTGCCTTGAATTTGAGGGATTTCATCTGAAAATTATTAATTTGGAAGAAAACCGGCAACAAGCGGCAGAAAATAATAATATTTCCGTGCAGTCTTCCTGGTCGCAACGACCAACGGACGGCCAGGACGTTAGTGTGCGCTATCTCATTTGATTTAATGGTTTTAGAGGAAGGTGCGGCCTGGCCGGTGCGACCTGGTCGTCAGTGTGTTTGAGCCCTTAGGAGTAGCAAGGTACAGCTTGCTATACTAGAGCAGTTCGGTATACAAGGAAGGTAATGTGGCTAGCACTACGCTTCAACCGCCTATTATTATCTCAGGATTGTGAATCCCAAGGACTCATTTAAGGCTGAGTCGACCTAGGTACCCAAACTATTTTTATTTTAATAAAAATAGTCGGCTGATGAAATGCCGGGTGTGGGAATCGAACCCATACCCTGAGATTGGTAGACGAGAGCCTGTACCTCTACGCCACCGGGCACCTGGATTTCATTTAAATAACCTAAAAAGAAGACATAAGCGTAATATCATGTAAAAAATTCTCATTTGTTGTCGGTTTGGTACTTAAGCTATACAGGTTGAGTCTTGGGGGTGCAAATTTACGCAGTTTTGAGTGCGCAAAAAAAATATTTTTTTTTGTTTTTAGTTAAAAACATAATTTTTTGATACTATGGCAACATAGGTAGTAGATTCTTTGAATAAGAAGACTAAGGAAGGAGCATATCAAAAATCTTAGGTACACCGCGATAGGCCTCAAATATGGCCGACTTAAATTCCGGTTTATCAGTGCCGTTCTAATTTTATTTAAAAAATGTAAAACTATGATGTAGGGTAGACGTGGGGTAGACTCAATAATTTGTTATTTTATTTTACGTTGCGAATAAATGTTGGTAGTTATTAAAATTGTTATAAAAATATATAATTCTAATAAAAATAGATAAGTTATAATAAGTATTTATTAACACAAACATCCGATACGCTACTGAAGCAGGTAAGTCAAATTGACGTATCTAAATTCTTTGACATCTAATATTTGACAAGTAGTAAATAAAAGCAAAAATGCAAGAAAAAATATATAATTAGTTAATTTAAGTGAATTTCATAAATGATCGGTTTACTACACGTACCTATGTATATTATATAGTCACTTACTAGCGAAAAGTTGTTACATTATTTCACTCGATTTTTGCCGAGATCTACCACACTCTACACAACCAACTATTTTAGAGTCTTTTTCGATAAATCGCGATAGTGTTACTGTTAATTTAAGTTCTGCCACAATTTCCATCTAGATTTACTACCTTTATACAACTATCAGTAGTAGAATAAATAATAAATTACATAAAATAAGCTCCTTAAAGACTGACAAATCCACAAAATTTCAAACCAAATTCAAATGTGTCAAATGAATCGTCAAACAGAACTGTCAAGGATCCCCACCCTAGAGTGCTTTTTCCGCCCACCATGCATGAATACATGGATAGCATTATGCTCCTTCCTTAGTCCTCTTATTCAAAGTAGTAGATTAAATTTACAAGAAAGACAACCCAGAAAAGCTCCAGTGGCTCTCAAAATTTAAGCAAAAAAAAACATTTTTTGGAAATTTTCAAAGTAAATCACTCGATTATTTTGGACTTATTTGAAAAACGGTAAAGAGAAAATACGTTTCTTTTAGCGAGATCTACCAGCCCTGAAAATATATGCACTTATTTAAGACCCACCCGGTATAAATATTTCTGAAACCATCAGGTATTGTATAAACAAATATAATATTAAACTATCTTAAAAAACTCACCTAACAATTAAATAGTCCAGTAGTCCGGTCGAGCTACCAAAATCCGTGTGTTTTAGAAGTGTTAAGGTGTTACCAGTGAAATTAAGCGTGGCAGTCACTTCGAAAAATTTGGCATTTGGTCGCTACATTAAATTATACTATAATTAATTAAACGACCAGTGAGGCCTCTAACGATAGAGCTAGTGGAACTTTATATTCGCCCCATATAAACTGTATTTCGAAAATGCACAGTTTCTCAGATATTTCATTTAAAGGATTTCTGTAGCTGATTTTCTGGATATACACCCCTTTGAAAAAAATTGTTTTTTTTATTTATTAATATTTTCCACTTTTCTCACCTGGTACGGTTAGAAGACTTTTATGTAAATTTGATCCCCTTTTTATGTTATGTTGTATTTTAAAACATTGCCGAAAATTAAAAAAAAATCACCCTGTATGTAGGTACTTAAAAAATTAACTAATCTATTTGCACCGATCGATCCGATCCACGCCCAAATATCTTTCAGATCGGAATAAGTGAAAAAACCTCGATTTTGGCCGGGGAAATTTTTGGAAATTTTCGAAACACAGTTTAAATGAAGGGATTATAGGGCTCCACTAGCTGTATTCGAGATCAGGGAAGTTGGCAACTCATTAAAAGCAGGAATTATAAAATACGATCCTGTTTGGGCTGCTACAATCCTTCTTTATCCTGCTACAAATCCTAACCCAGCCACACCTACCAATTTTAAGCTATAGTTACTTTTATTTTAGTTGCTGACTTCCCAGTTGGCAACACATGAAAAGCAGGATCGCCAAAACTGGTCCCTGCTTGCGCTGCTGTACCTCTGTTGCTTCCTGCTCTAAATTTCATCCAGTTTTGGCAATCCTGCTTCTCATGTGTTGCCAACTGGAAAGTCAGCAACCAAAATAAAAGTAACTAAAGCTCAAAATTGGTAGGTGTGGCTGGGTTGGGATTTGAACCAGGATAAAGCAGGATTGTAGCAGCCCAAGCAGGATCGTATTTTATAATTCCTGCTTTCAATGAGTTGCTAACTTCCCCGATCTATCTATAATAATAATAATAATACTAATAATAACACTTTATTTTGCATGAATATCATTTACAACAAATGTAATTTACAAATAAAAAATAACAATAAAAAAAACATACAAAAAAGGAACTGAAGAAAATTAAAATTCTCTATTCGTAGATACCTCACTGTTTTTTTCTATTTTGGTAAAATTTCAACTTTAAATCGTTTTCCACGAGTCATGAGAGGGCGCCATCAGTCGTCTATCCGACGGTGCATAAATGGTTTCTTAGAATTGAAAGGTTCGGTAGATATTAAAAAAGTTGAAAAGAGAAAAATTTGCAAAAAAATATTTCTTACTTATTCCGATTTGAAATATTTTTGAGCGTGGATCGATGCAGATTGATTAGTTAATTTTTTTAGTGTACACAGTTTGGCAAAAAAAGTAGATACAGGGTGAGAAAAAAATAAAAACCGATTTTTTAATTTTCGGATTTTTTTTTAAATACAACATAACCTAAAAAGGGAATAAAAACACATTCCCAGTCTTAGACAAGGAAAGAGAGGGGACGGCTAACACGCATATTCTCCCGTGATCGGTTAGTGAAGCCAAAATTCGATCGGCGGCCATACTTTGGTGACAAGATTTCGAGGTGACACCGAGCGAATTTTTATGTTTTTTGTGACAACTGTTTTGTTTTAAATTTATAAACTGTATTGTTTAGTATGGTGAGATATTCAGCGTATGGCTGCAAAGGCCGAAGCGAGAAAAAAGTGGCTGGAATTACATTTCACAGGTAAAAATCGATACACAACTTTTGTTATGTGGTCATAAAATGTACATTTTTTCATTATAGCAGTAAAAATATGTAAAATGCTTTTAATATGTTTTGTACCAAATCCAAACCAAACTATTTTTAATAATTCCAAGTAGTATTTTCAATATCCTTTATTATAATTAATGTTTGAAACTATAAATAATGCTACTCAGCATGGATTTCTCCAGTGGCGTAGGGAATTATAATCAGAGTAATACAATTTTTGCAATAAACATTTTTTTATATATTTTACATGGAAAAAATGTATAAAGTATTGTTATCAAATATGTAAAATAATTGTAAACTATAAAAAAAATTAAAAATTCTAGTGATAAAAATTCTATAGGTATAGTTGTTATATAAAACTTAAATTTACCTGCCAAAATTTGCTGGGGTCAAACTTGTGGTGGGCTACTTGTTACTACATTATGTTTATGTAAATATTCTTTCAAAAAATTTGCTAATTTAGGTGTATAATAATAGTCTCAGTGAGTAATTAATAAAAATTTAAAAATAAATAAAATAACACAAAGCTTCTAGAATTGTTTATTTTTTTGTGGAAAATTAGGATATTCTTATGATTGAAGGTAACAAATATTAAAAATTACATTATTCATTGAATCCGTACGCAAGTGTGAAGGGGAATGGCTAGATTCATTATTATACCGCATGGTCGTAAAAAAACGACGTCCAGTTGGCTTGTAAATGACGATCGACGACATTCCCCATATAATTTTACATATAAAATGACAGTGATCTTCATTTCATAGCCATCGCTGACGCCGTCTTTATTCGATGTCGTTTTGTATAGTTTTTATGTCATTTTATATGTAGAATTATATAGGGAATATTATCGATCGTAATTTACAAGCCAATTGGACGTCGTTTTTTTTCGATTATACGGTAAAATAATGAATCTAGTCAATTCCCTTCACACTTGCTTACGGATTCAATGAATAATGTAATTTTTAATATTCATTCATCATACAGTATATATGTATATACACGTTTAAAACATATGTTATTACATTATTTTTTATTTAATTACACATTATACACACGTTAATAAATAAATAATTGTCTTGATAATCAGTCCACTGTGACTGTTAAATAAATTTTGCATTATCGACTGAGATATTCTAATATTATAAAGGTGAGACTATAAAATACAAAATCGTATATGCATTACTCAAAAATTAACGATATATTAGTTTACGTTTTAATAAATATTTTGTACCGTCTAGGTACAAGCTAATTTCTGATGCTACGCCATTGAAGAATTTCCCGTGGTGACAACTTGCCTCACTTTTAGCTGCCGTGTTCCTGTCCCCTCTCTTTCCTTGTCTAAGTTCCCAGTTGTTTCTATGACTTCTCTCTGCCTAGAAAAAATATACCAAGAGGTAATAGTCTAAGAGCTGGCTACACAAAAAACCTTATCATCGTTACATGGCTAATTTTTTGTGTGAAGTATCCTTTTGTGTAGCCATTATGAAATAGTCATTTCTGCCAGCGCAATCCCGGGGCTTAAAGCGGGGGCGGCCAATCGAAAGGGTGAAATTTTGACACTAAAAATATTATAAGATACATGAGTTATAATTGCGAAAATAGCTTTTATTCATTATTAAGAAACCTGGAAAATTGTTGGCAGACATTTTTCTAGTCGCTAAAATGCCGACAGACAACGTGAAAGAGGCATGAAATTTTAAAAATTATTAAAAAATGAAATTTGAAGAATGAAAAAAATTATGGCATATTTGCATGCCGATTGGTGAAATGTCATATTTATTTATTTTAAAAGCCGTATGCAAAAGGGCAGACAAAAAGATCGTGGCTCAATCAGGTGCAGACAGTTATCAAAAGCGCGATATTACTCTAGCGCTTTATTCAGGGAACGCTGGCCGTCTCATCCATTCAAGTATAGATAAGTCATATAATATAGATTATATTATAAATATATTTTTTTATTATTTCAATAACGATTTTTTTGTCTGCCCTTTAGCATACGGCTTTTTAAATTAATTAACAATAAACATGACATTCCACCAACCGACATGCATGTATGCGATGATTTTCTTTTGTCAAAATTCTATGCCTCTTTCGCGTTGTCTGCCGGCATTTCAGCCACGAGAAAAATGTCTGTCCGCAATTTTACACGTTTCCTAATAATAAATAAAAGCTATTTGGCAATTATAACTCGCGTACCTTATACTATTTTTAGTGTCAAAATTTCACCCTTTCGATTGGCCGCCGCCTGTTTAAGCCCCGGGATCGCGCTGGCAGACATGACTATTTCACAATGGCTACACAAAAGGATAATTCACACAAAAAATTAGCCATGTAACGATGATAAGGTTTTTTATGTAGCCAGCTTTCGGTCTATAATGATGGGTTATCGAGATAGGAGATGTTATTATGTATCAACTCGGGAATATATTAGTTTTTTATATAATGTTTATTGTTTTTGTCTATGAAATAGCAAGGAGACCGTACAGGTACTATTATATGTATTAATTTAACTTTATTTAGCCATATATTTATAATGCTACTATACTGCCTGACAACAATAAAAAGACAACTTTTATCAAAATGCATTTATTTCTACCTTATAGAAACTCATAAATATCACAACCTCTGTAGGTTTCATAATAACAATACATAAATACAATAATATATAGTATAAAATAAGCCTGCTAGTCCCATCTAAATCACCCTCTAAATCCTGCACCTGGTCTGGTTTCGCCGCCATCTTCTTCAGGATGAGCCGCATTCCATTCCAGAGATTTCAAAATTTCTGGAGGTATAGGTGGAGGAACAGGCAAGTGATTACCTAAACAAGATTAACAGCAATTAAGTTAAATCCATCTACCAGGTTTTGCATTGACGTTGAAAACATAGGAAATCTCTGGAAATATTGGCTGCCCTGTTGATTTTATGTCGAAGTCGTAAATAGCTTTTAAAGGTCTAAATTTGGACACTTTTGGACAAGTCGATTTTAACTAATTTAAGAAAAACTGTATGTATTTTTAAATTATAACTGAAGATTTAACAATGCAAAACCAGGCAAATACCAACATACCTTAACTTGACAACCTATGAATTTGTGAATGCCAAACTCTATTTTCTCTAAATTATGACTTTTGCCTTAGATATTCGAAAAAGTTTTAAATTACAAAATGTATTTTGAGAACAATAACCGCAGGTGTTATTAGGTAGTATACAGTACAAGAAATTATTATTTGACAATGGTAAAATGATAGGTTGACAATTTAAGTTATATTGACATTTGTCTGGTTTTGGATTGTTACCTGTTCAGTTTTAATTTAAAGATGATTCAGTTCTTCTTAAATTAGTTAAAATCGGCTTGTCTAAAATTGTTTAAATTTGGCATGTGTATTCACTTTGCTGTAAAATCAATAGAGGAACCAATATTTGGACAGTTCAAAATTTACATTGAATTTACTATATTTCCAACGATGATGCACCACCCGGTATAATAAATTTAGATACAACTATAGGTTAAAATCTCTTGAAAATACTTGTATATACCACTGCATTGATCCAACGAAGATCAATTTGCCAGTCGTATTTTACTAATAAAATAAATTTGTACAGGGTGGGTCAAATTCGACGCTTTTAAATGGAAACACCCTTTTCTATAGGAGATAGACAAAAACTAATATCGGTGTCTGGAGCTCAATTTTTGTCAAAAACATGATGGTGAAAACCGCATATCTATATCTGTTATCGTTTCGGAGTTACGGGGTGTTTTTAGAAAATATGCATTTTTAACAAATCGCTGTAACTTTTTTGCTATGAAAAATTTTGTATTTTTATGAAAACATTTCCAAAGCACCATTTTACGTAGAATTTAATGGTTTAAGTATAATTTTTTTAAAATTAATAATTTAAGAATTATCAACAGAAAATTTGATTTTTTATATGGGACACCCTGTATATTTTTAATTTATTGAAAATAATTTAAAATTACCTTTCCAAAATATAACACACTTGATATTTTGCTCGATTCCTCCTCGAGATATAGAGTATATAAAAATAAGCCCGCTTTAAACAAGTAGGCTTTGAACGGTACCGGCTGTAATGCAAAAAAATCTAGCTGTGAGCATCAATTAAAACGAAAATAATATTTGCTATGAGAGGTGCAGAATTTTTCAAACCAAACCAAACAATTTAAAATATATTTAACCAACATCAGCACAGTTAAACTATATCTAATAACAATAAAAATAAATAGCAAACCAAGACATGAGATTTTGCTACAGGTGTTCGACATATCGACCATCTTCTGTTATGGACAGACGGGGTAGTTTTTGAACATTTCTCGCGGAATTCATTAACTCAGTGGGGGTGAACCCTCTCTTAACTGCTAAGTATTTTTAATTATTGTCTAGATTATACGGAAGAATTAGGAACCTTTATTCTTCCGCAATATATCCATAGGATTAGATCCATGGGCACTAAGTCAGACGGCCTCGAAAGCCAACGGCTGGGATCTTGGTTAGCTATTCAATTATTCTTGAAATTGGCTGCAAAAATTTGCAGATAACTTCAGCGTTAGAGGCGGTGCATGCGTCGTCTTGCTGGAAAAATAGGTTTTCGAGTTCCATTAAGGGCAAATCATCAATAAGGGGTCCAAAGCCTACTAGTTAAAAGTGGCGAACTTTTAAAAATTCTGTATTTCGAAGAGGATTATAACAAAATATCAAGTGTGCTATATTTTTGGAAAGGTAATTTTAAATTCTTTTCAGTTAATTAAAAATATAGACGGTGTCCCAAATAAAAAATCAATTTTTCTGTTGATAGCTCTTAAATTATTAATTTAAAAAAAAATTATAGTTAAACCATTAAATTCTACGTAAAAAGGTGCTTTGGAAATTTTTCATAGAAATACAAAATTTTCCATAGCAAAAAAGTTACAGCGATTCGTTAAAAATGCACATTTTTGAAAAACACCCCGTAACTCCGAAACGCTAACAGATATTGATGTGCGGTTTTCACCATCATGTTTTTGATGAAAATTGAGCTCCAGACACCAATAATAGTTTTCGTCTATCTCCTATAGAAACAGGTGTTTCCATTTAAAAGCGTCGAATTTGACCCACCCTGTACAAAGGACAAAAAAATGCTTAAGGTTTCGGGAGATATATCTCCTCCCGTCGTCAGAAGCAAAATAAAACACAAAGAACAACGAAGAAACTTTTTAAAATACCTAAATACAACTATTCAAGATCACTTTAGTTTTTTGTAGATACTAATTTATACCTTGTGGTTGAAATCCACCCTCATTGGCTATATATTGGATTTGAATTGGAGTACCATCCGGTGCCGTATATTTAAAGGATCCCTGAGCTTCTTCGATTGGATCTTGAGAATTGGCGTTTTTCAATTGGCCAGATTCCTGAGCGGCAATACCATTTTCTGCTTCGAAACTATAAAAAATATTGTTTCCTTCAATATAATAATATTTAATAACATATTATTTAATATTGTTTTTTTTTAATTTTTTTATAGTATTTTATAGTTAAATTAAGTTCGTACCTCCATTGATAAGATCCATCTATTCCTACTTCATTGGTTTGACTTAGAATTCTAATTTCTTGACCACTTCCTTGCGGTGGACCAAAACCACGTTGAGGTCCAGCCCATACTGCACATGTTATTGTTAACAAATAAATAATCTAGAAAATAAAAATAAACAAAAATAGTTTATTTAAATTTTACAATAAATGACAAAAATTAACTTTTCTTTATACATGAATGTAAAATTAAATCAAGGCACAGACAAATTAGTTGGTGACAAAGGTGAATGATTTTTATTCATATAAATTTAATAATAATACATTGGTTGTACAAAGTTATTTGATTGGTACAAATTAAAAATTTTTGGTTTGAAAACTTATTTTTGAAAAATCAATTTTATTATATCCTAATATTTTAGGCACCGCTTTAAAATACAATATGATCGAGAAAAAACAGTCAGCCCTCTCACTTCACTTGTAAAATTATATGGAAAATGTCATTAATGTTCATTTCCAGGCTAACTGGACGCCGTTTTTTTTCGATCATATGGTACAACCATCTTGTATTAAATATGTTCACAAAAAAGTTTTAAAGAGTAGGACCAAGTGCTGTAAAAATGAAACGTTTTTTTAAACCTTAGTTTATTTCATAGTTACAACTATACCGGGTGAGTCTCAATAGTGGCTCACCCCTATAACTTTTTTATTTTTTTTATTTAACTAATAAATAATAACTTTTTTATTTATTTAAAAAAAACGAGATTTGGTATGTTAGTATATGACGTAAATTAGGATTGATTGACGTATTCAATTGTTTTGGGTCACTTCCGGTTTCACCGGAAATGACAACAACTTTTGATTTTTAAACGACACCCCCGGTATTTTTTTACTTTATTCGATAGAAAGTGTCACTCTGAATAGAATGACATATCATATGTCAAATTTTGACATTTTCGCATATGGTTTATTTGAAATTATAACTTGCGGTTCGTAACGAAAATTTGACTCGAAATACCGAGTTCAAATTATTCGTAAAAAAATGCTTTTTCCAAATATGCTAATGAGCCACCCTCGTTCCTTTTGAAAAATTGAGATATGATTAAAAATACGATTTTGGCATTTTCTAACTAGCCAGGACAAAACACTAAAAACATTAGACGAACAAATCTATTTGTCCAAGGCTACTTGATGAAGAATTAGTGTTTCTAACATAGCCATGGCACTCTAGACTGAATTTTAAAATACAATTTTTTATTTAGCGAGAATGTCAAAAGTTGACATAATATGATATGTCATTCTATTCAGAATGCCATATTCTATCAAATAAAGTAAAAAAATACCGAGGGTGCCATTTAAAAATCAAAAGTTGTAGTCATTTCCAGTTAAACAGGAAGTGACCAAAAACAATTGAATACGTCAATCAATCCTAATTTATGTCATATACTAAAATACCAAATCTCGTTTTTTTATCTGAAAAAATAAAAAAGTTATAGGATTTAGCCACTTTTGAGACGCACCCGGTAAGAGCCACAATTAAAGGCGGTTCTAGTTAAGTAAGAGAGTATATGAAACTAGAAAGTTAGAAACTAGACATAAAAATCTCAAATAATAAATCTTTTTCATTAGTAGAATTCAAATAAAAACAATCTTAACTAATAAAGGACATCTAAATGTAATTCAAATCGAAATGCAGTAAAATTACACTGTCGCAAAACATTTATAAACTCAAAGTGTAAAACAATTTTATTAAATTAAAAATAAAGAAAAATGTGTAGTTAATAAGTGACATTAAAATATTAATAGTGCCACTTAAGGGTACAACAAAATAGTTATTTATGTATCAACCAAATTATAAGGGTGTTACCTAGCGCAAAGTTTCTGTCCCGAGGGACAACTATTGCCAGAGGTTATAACACTTTATAATTCCCGTGACACATAAATCATTTTATTTCTTACTTAATTTAGTATATTTAGTCCAATTTTCAAACGACACAAATGTTACATTTATTAATCCTCTGATATACTTTGTATTCACGCTGCTGGTACGAATTTTGTTTGTTGCCAGGTTACTATTGTATTAAATGACCTGTTTATAAATTGACGGTTGTTGTCAATGGATTTCGGTTTGTTGTCAAAAAACGCCTTTTGCACGAATTTGGTACACGTTCGAGTATGTTACCATTAAAATGGAGAAAATACTAAAAAAAGCTGAAGAAACACGACAAGTATTACTTCCACAGAAAATGAACCCATTTACCAAAAAGAATATAAAAAATTCCTTCAGAGGTTGGGACAGAAAAATATTGTAGCAGGAGATGTCGAACCAAATTAAATATTTTAAAGATTTACTATTAAAGGTTTTTAGTTTTAGTATAAAAATATTGCCAGGAAATTCAGATTGTCAAAATTTCTGTTTATGTTTTTGTCTGGTTATTTGTAATAATTTTTGTATATTGATTGTATATAATAAAAAAACGGACTTACCAACGAGTGCATTATTGTCGCTTGTAGTTGAAACACTGATGTGACATCGTACAATTCAGAAGCCATTTATACCAACTATCACCTGACATCTTCCTTTTTACGATTTTGTAAGCAATTTTCATTCATCCGTACCTACCCACAACGCAGCGTACATTCATGCGCATATTTTATTGAAGAATTTTGCAAGATGATCAATAGAATGCACCCTGTCGATACTTTTATAGCTGTAAGACGCACATTTTTATCTGTTAAAAAATTTAGTTGGTAGAAGCCCACGTAAGTATAGTGTGTTTTACGTCCGACTCTAATAAGTCATAATAATTCTATTTGAAATTATTGGATAATGTTATAATGAATAATGTATATTTAAAAACTTAATTTTAAATTCTTTATTGGTTAAAGAGACATAAGTATGTTTATAGTTTTTAAACATATTTAATACTCAAGTTATACAAGATCGCAATAAAACCGTTGCAACAGATCGTCATTTCTGCTTTTACCGAACAAATTTGATATTTAGGCTCAAAATATAATTAATCAGAATTTAGACCTTTTAAATGGAATAACAGCGCTTTCAGATGGAGCGGGCCGTCCGCGCGGACCGTCCGCGACTTCGAGCAAGTAGCATGGGCCTGATGAATAAAGAGAAGCAATTGCTTCTTCTATAGAACTATCTTTGTTGGTTGTTTACAAATCGTATAAGTCTATTTCAAGAAATTTAAGTAAAAGCATTTGCTTAACTTTTATTCACAAGACCCCATGAGTTTATATAAACAATTTCACATGGGCCGCGTATTCTCTGTCCGGATGATTTCGTCCGACGGCCATATACAAAAACACTCGGAAACTTCGGCAGCATATTCTGCAGAAAAAAAATAAGTAAAAAATTTCGTATAAGTGTCGTATGTCCTAAAATGATTAGTTTCGGAAATACAGGGTATAGAAGTTTCATATTTATTTATTTCGATTTTTTCCAAATAATTTATGAAGTAAAGTCAATATTTGGATGAAAATTGGTGCCTGGGAGTTTCTTGATATGAGAAATTTGATTTTGATGTCAATATGACTCCTACTTGTAGAGGGCGCCACCTACATATTTTTTAACTGATTTGAAGAGTAATAACTTTTCGTTCGTACCTGTATAAAACTACTGAGTAAAAAAATATACATTTACGACGTTTTTTACGTGAAAAAGGTCTCTTGGTAAAAATCGCTACGAGTAATGGTTTTCGAGATATTTGGAATTGAAATTATCATTACCTGTCATCATTGACATAAATTAAACATGTTGACTAAACTGTTAATAGACTGAAATCATAAATTTGAAATGTTTTTGTGCGAAAAGTTCAACAAAAACTGATTTATCATCATTTTGTGCAGAAAAACTTATGATTAATTTAAAAAAATAAAAATTTCCTAAATTTATTATTTCAGTGAAATAACTATCTACTCATAACGTGTTTATTTTTCATTAATAATGACATGTATTGTCTATTTCCATTCTAAATATCTTAAGAACGGTTGCTCGTAGCGATTTTTACAAAGATATATTTTTTACGTTAAAAGTTACAGAGATATATATTTTTTCGCTCGGTATACAGGTACGGACAAAAAGTTATTACGCTTCAAAACAGGTAAAACACAAATTATTTAGAAAAAATCGAAATAAAAATTAAACTTCTACACCCTGTATCTCTGAAAGTAAGCATTTTAGGACATACATTTATTCGATCTTGGTTAGCTATTCAATTATTCTCGAAATTGGTTGCAAAAATGTGCTGATAACTTCAGCATTCTGAGGCGGTACCTTGTCTCGCTGGAAAAATACGTTTTTGTTTTCGATTTTTTCGAATATACAGGGTGTCCCAGAAATGAGTGCAAATATTTTAAGGGGTGGTAGATCTGGTCAAAATAAACATATATTCTTTTTACCATTTTTAAAATAAATTGAAAATAACCGAGTTACTTAAATTGGAAAATGTAAAAAAATAATCGCAACATATTGAGAACCGCCGCAGATATCGCCAACTACATCTAATTACCCGGACCAAGCCCGGATTTCAGTTAATTCGACGCACTGTGTTGCCATATGGACAAGAAAGTATATGTTTAAAAGTAAGTCATAAAATCACAACACCTGAGGAGTTTGCAGATATGCATGAGAGGGCTACTTACCGTAATATGCAGAAGTCTGTAATATTGGACGCAACCAACATTGTCCGGTCTGTTCTAGGACAATAACTAAAAAAGGCATAGTCGCTTGCTTATCGGCCGCACTATGCTTGACATATTTCCAGAAACCTGAGATAAAAAAAAGATGTAAATAACTTTATATACAGGGTGAGTTTCCTACGATGTTCTCTATGGGCATCTCGGAAACTACTGGAGATAGAGAGTCGGTTAAATGGGGAAAGAATTCCAGTTTTGTGGGGTCATAAATATGCGCCTTTCAGATTTTTGAAAAAGTTCATGGCTTACTAGATATTTCGAAAAAAACAAATTTCGGTTATTTTAAAAATTGTTCCTAATTCCATTATAAGCTATTTTAGACAAAAAGTTTTCAGATAAAAGTTTTCAGATAAAAGTTGTAGATAATCAGATCCTTAATGAGATTGTTTCCTCCGTTTTTTTCTAAAGCCTGTCATTTTTGACATATGATACAAATATAAGTTTTTTTAAATGGAAACCATAGTTGGCCATGACTTCCTAAAAAGCGCCATTTTTTAAGCTTTTTAGCGATATAAGCTATAATATGTTTATATATATATATATATATATATATATATATATATATATATATATATATATATATATATATATATATATATATATATATATATATATATATATATATATATATATAAGTTATAGCCAATTCTTATTTTTCTTGACTAATTTCACTTAGTTAGCCATAGAAACAAGTTCAATCGTCGTTGCTCTCAGAAATGTGAAATTGTGTCACATCCAATCTTTGTAAATTAAAATAAACAAAAATTGTAAATAAAAATTTTTCAAATGAAGAAAAGCGTGTAGGATTATTGGTTCAACTTTTCTTGGCCATACAGGATACGTTGACCGGTGAAAGTTACTTACGTTTTTTACAGAACGGTTTTCAATGGTGTTCAAATTTTGTTGCGATTTATAACTTATAAAAAGACAAAATATGTTATTAAACGGCTCTTTACAATTTAGATTACACAAACTAAAAGTCAAAAAAATAATATCACTACGTACACTTTAAGTTATTTTTAGAAAATGTTCAAAAATCCGCAATTATTTTGAGTACATAAATGCATCTTCTTAAAACTGAATTTCTAGCTATTGTCACAGAACAACCGGTCGACTTAATTAAACTTCTCCTGTTCCGCCTCTTCGAGTGCCTCTCTTAATTCATAAGTTTTTTTGTAAACCTTGTTGTTAACCATACCGCATAAAAAAATCTAGAATGAATAGGTCAGGTGACCGAGGAGACCCATGCAATTGGTCCACCTCCCTGAGTCTACATAATTATGATATAAATAATTTTTTAAATAACATTTCTTTCATTGTGGGGGGGGGTTGGTGCGTCATAATGAAAGTCATGTTGGAACCACTGTATTAATGCGCGAGTATCTAAATTTATCTTTTCTAACATGTCTTGAAAACCGTTTTCTAAAAAACGTAACGTTCACCGGTCAACATATCCTCGCAACTGTATGGCCAAGAAAAGTTGAACCAATAATTCTACACGCTGTTCTTCATTTAAAAAACTCTTATTTACATTTTTGGTTTATGTTAATTTACAAAGATTGGATGTGACAATTTCACATTTCTGAGAGCAACGACGATTGAACTTGTTTCCATGTCTAACTAAGTGAAATTAGTCAAGAAAGATAAGAATTGGTTATAACTCAGTAATTTTGTGAAAGAAACATATTATAGCTTATATCGTTGAAAAGCTTAAAAAACGGCGCTTTTTATGAAGTCATGGCCAACTATGGTTTCCATTTAAAAAAACATATGTTTGTGTCATATGTCAAAAATGACAGGCTTTAAAAAAATCGGGGAACACAATCTTATTAGGGATGTGATTATCTACAACTTTTATCTGAAAACTTTTTGTCTAAAATAGATTATGAAGGAATTAGGGACAATTTTTAAAATAGCCAAAATTTGTTTTTTTCGAAATATCTAGTAAGCCATGAACATTTTCGAAAATCTGAAAAGCGCATATAAAAAAGCGCATATTATAATAAAACTGCAATTCTTTCCTTATTTAACTGACTCTCTATCTCCAGTATAGTTTCCGAGATACCCATAAAGAACATCGTAGGAAACTCACCCTGTATTTATAATTAATTTATTTTTGTTTTCTAAAATACTTTGATTAAAAGAAAATATGTAAAAGTGGGCAACGCTGTGCCGCTCAAGCTTAAACACGTGACTAATAGTTTATTTGGTATGAACTGTATATAAGCTTATATTAATTCAGTAAGAAATAATTTATTTTATGACCTATCGTTTAAAATATTTCATAAAAATCCGGAATTTCCAGTAAATAATATACTCACATCCGTCTATTTTATGTAATTCTTAATAAACTTTATAAAACAATGCAGATATTCCAATGAGGATTTAGGTCAAACCCATTATAAATCGCATCTCGCTATTTTTTATTACGATTATTCCAGAAATATTTATTACAAACGATGAACTTCTTCTCCATTAAATCTAGATTCTTCTTCAAAATCGTGATCTACGATTCTGGCATTTACATAAGCCAAGACAATTATTATAGCGAGAATTTATATGATTATATTCTTGCTTGGTTCTTTTATAATGGTCGGCATTCAGTTGACCGATCCTACAATGTTTAATAATTTTCCAATAAAAATTATAAATAACGCGCTTATATGGTACATCTGTCTATTGTTAATTGTTGATAAATGTCGAGATGGCCGGATTGGACGTTATTCTTATTAATTTAAAGGTTTTATAGGTAGTTACGACATAAATGGTTAAAGTATAACTATAATATTTACGATAACAGTACTATGGGACGATACCATAAAAGGATTAAAATGCTACTGTGATAACGATCAACAAGTTTAAATTATCTCACCAGATAATTTTATGCAAAAGATATATTAGATTTTTTTGAAGAGGCGTTAAAGTTCTACTTTTGGCTAGAATTTCGTTTCATTTATAATAATAGTAATTTAAAAAGTTATTTGCAAAAATCTACCTTCAAATTAGTAAAATTTATAATACGGCCCAGAGAAGCTACAATTAAATTACCAGCAAAAATGTGGTTGTGGCATTGTCAAATTCGATGTCACATTTTGTTCACAAAAATTTGAAGGTACCAAATAGACAATGCTCAGTACTAGGCCCTGTTTTGTTTCTTCATTTTATTAACGATATTGCTAACATAAACATCAGTGGTAAAATAATGTCTTTTTACGGACGACACTAGCTTCACTTGAAGCAACAAGAATGTCACGGCACTTCGTAGGATTATATCAAATGACTTAATCACCATTAAATCTTGGTGCGATTCGAACCTCCTGCATGAGTCTCAACATTTCTAAAACTAAAGCTTTGTCGTTTAAAAACTCGCTGCAGCCTTTTGTACTTAACAACACCACCATTGACGTCGTAAAATCTGTAAAATTCTTAGGGTTTGTTGTAGACAATTCTCTGAAATGGGACATGCATATCGACGCTTTCTCGAAAAAAGTTCTGCCTGTTTTGCATTAAAATCTGTTTCTAAGGAGCTTAACTTGTCAGTGGTTAGAACTGTTTATTATGCACTTTTTGAGTCGCTCCTCAGATATGCTCTTCCATTCTGGGGTACGTGTTGTGCGACTCAATTTGACCGCATTTTTAAGCTCCAGAAGAGTTCGATATTCACTGGGACTAAACAGCAGAACTCATTGCCAGGACTTTTTTCAAAAATTAAAAATATTAACTCTTCCTTCCTTATTTATATTTGAATACGTTTGCCGTAAGCATGTATCAGATTCTCAAGAAAGACCATCTCACACTTATCCACTCATGAACGCGGAGCAAGATCTTTATCTACCTATCCCACGCTCAGAGTTAGTTAAAAGTTCAATATCATACAACTCGAAAAATATGCACAATGACCTGCCATTTGAAATCAAATTCATAACATCATTTTTTTCATTTCGCAAAGCGTTGAAATCTTATTTACTAGACAAGGCTTTCTACGCCGTAAATGACTTATATTTTGATAATCGAATTTGATCTTGTAAACACTGGTCTAATGTTTGCTATTACTATATTTACCAATGACATCGATATGAATTTATTTAGAGTTCATTGATATTTACTATAAATTTACTAAAAATTTTTGAATCTTATTTATATTTTTTTATTCTTTGACATTGTAAACATTTATAAATGTTTATTTTAAACAATAAGACTGACAATGTAATTTGTATAATGTTTTGTATTCTCTTTTGTTTGTTTGTTTACTTTGTTTGTTTACTTTACTTTTGTCTACAAATTGTAAAATTTTTTGACAATAAAGGCATTTATTTATTTATTTATTTATTTAGAGTAATTTTGAATCTTGGTTTTATTTGCGCCACTGAATTTTACTTGGAAATTTTTATGGAGCTCGATTTTCACCTTTTCGATAAGTTATAATGGCCGAGATATAAGGGAGTCGAAAAATGCAACAATTTCGCCCTGTATTTCAGGAACTAAGGGGGCTAGGACAAATATGTGTACCATTTTTAGTTTCATAAAAAAGTAGCATAGTAATGTGAAAATCACATCTTTGTACTTCTGCTCATAAACGATAAACACTGTAAAACACGCGAAAATGGGTCATCCTGTAGAAAGAACCACAAAACTTAATTTAATATAAGTGGTGTTTTTATGTTATTTATGCTTTTATGTTAATTTTTTTATTGTTTGTTATATTGGTTATTCTGAAAATAAATTGTTTTGTTTTAAGTGGTTCTATTCCGCATCTGTACCTACAATAAATTAATAATATGATACTAGTTTAGGCTACGCTCACACGGACCACTTTCCAACGACAAAACAGTGGTTAAGCTGTCGCAGCTATCGACGACGTTACAACCACAACAGGGCCGTCCTGAGGGGTGGAGCAGAGGAGCAGTTGCTCCAGTCGGCCAAATTTGAGGGCGGCCGTTGCGGTGCAATTGACCAAATTCTAATTCTATTCTATTAAATTTTGTTACATTTTGACCAAATTCGGTACGGCACTACTACATTTTGGAAAAATTGTCATTTTCGGTACGAAATTTCCAACAGTATAAATAATGCAACTAGTAAACTGCTTCAGAATGAGAAACTCGACATCATCGGACTGACGACCATTTCAGACAAATATTAGTGGATGCTGCAGAGCTGGCAGAAGATCTGGAAATTGAAGCAGTTTTTACTAATGACAATAGAGCTCGTCCCAGAAAAAAAACTAGACAGTTTTTGTATGAATCAGTGGATGAGCCAATTTTAGATCCACAGGAAAAGTTTAAAATCGAATTTTTCTTTGTTGTCCTGGATACAATCCATGAGGCTCTCCAGGAAAGGTTTGACCTGTTAAAAGCTCACTCGGACTATTTTTCGTTTTTATACGACTTCACAGTTCTCAGGAATATCAACCGAGAGGAAATAACAAAGCATTGTATGGATCTTTATTTCCATTTAACGGACGGAAACAAACATGATATTAATGGCCTAGAGCTTCGGGACGAGATTTAGCTCTAATTGCTCAAATACCACCAGATAATGCCGAAAACTTCAGTTGTCCAAAACAAACACTAAAATATTTAAAAATTCACGATCTGATTGGAAACTTTCCAAATATTTACATCTCCATAAGAATCTTATTAACGCTGCCGGTTTCAGTGGCAACCGGATAGGGAAGTTTTTCTAAACTCAAAATAATTGAGAATTACCTGAGATCAGGTATGACACAAGAACGATTAAGTCGATTACCTTTAATATCTATTGAGCACGAAATAGCGAACAGTCAACATCGACGATTTTACAGCGCTTTCAGATGGAGCGGAGCGTCCGCGACTTCGAGCAAGTACCATGAGTTTATATGAACAATTTCACATGGGTCGCGTTTGCTCCGTCCGGATGAGCTATCTTGAAAAAAACATCCGCGCGGACGGTCCGCTCCATCTGAAAGCTTGCCATAAAATAGGGAGCAATTTGTTACAAAAAACAAACCATATAAATTATATATCACTGTAATCACAAAACTTCAGTCTATTTCCTTATTGTAACGGAATTTTAAATTATCTCTTTATTTTCGAGAAAATTTAGTCCAAACATAAGGTATATTTTCTTGATGTTTGACCATCAGAATCTTGAAAATGAAGAAGTTATCTAAGAGTGTGCTATAATAATATAGATATAGTATAATCCTTTATCTTTAATTTCCTTCTTCATTTGTGTAAAAATACTTAGCCAGTTTTACGTAAAACGTTAAATGCCGAACGCTTATTTTGCTACTTTTTCGACTAGTAAAATGGACTCTAGACTTAAATCATTTGAACTTTATGTTGAATTTGACTTAAGATTTAAATCATTTTGATTTTAGAAATGACTTGTCTTTTTAAAAGTGACTTGTTGCAGGTCTGACTAGAATACAATATACAGGGTTTCCGAGAAATAAGTGCAAGTATTTTAACTGGTAGTATAGTTCGACCCCAGAAACCCGCCTATGAAGTTTTTTCCGCGAAATTTTTTTTGCAAAATTCGAAATTTTTCGAAATTTTTTTTGGGATTTTTTTAGTTTTTATTTAAAAAAAATAATTTCTTCATAATATGGCAACATAGGTAGTAGGTTAAATTTACAAGGAAGAAAATCCAGAAAAAATTTGGTGCGTCTCAAAATTTTAGCAAACAATATTTTTTTTGGAAATGTTCAAAGTAAAACAACTCCGTTATTTTGGACTTATTTGAAAAACGATAAAGAGAAAATATGTTTCTCTTATCGAGATCTACCACCCCTTAAAATACTTGCACTTATTTTTGGGACACCTTGTATAAAACTTCAAAATACATTAAAATTTTAAGGTGCTCGTTTTTCGTGCTGTTGAGTAGATATCTTTAATTTTGTAATAACTTCATTACAACCTACAACAAGATAATTACTTATAGACGGAAAAGCCATTTTAATTATTCCTTTGCTATAAAAACTTTGTACCGATCGTTATCTGAACTCAAGAGCAGACATTTTACTCCTTACCCGACATTTTTCGATGGAAAAATTATGAGAGAATCGCCATTTAATCGAAGTTTTATCTTCTAGGCGAATATTATGCTAAAGAGACCTTTTTTTATTCATCGTTTAAGTTCATCTTCTCGTGAATGGTATTTACTTTTCCTTGCAGCGTATAAATATGCGAGAGGGCATCAGGATGGCTTTGTATTGTACTGTCTTTGTGTTGTCATTAACGGAACATGATTTGGCTGGTGAGTAAAAGTTTTTTTTTATTCAAATTTATTGCGTATGTTGCGTCTGTAGCAAAAATATCATAAATGAATGTACGTACGTTAAGGAAGTATTAAATATGTTACATAATAAAAATTATATATTTTTTTTAAATATAAAATAGATAGATTTGAATAAAATGCATTTCAGTCAATAATAGTATTCGTGGTTTCAGAATTATATTATTTTTTTATTCAGTTTCCGGCAATATTGCGTTAGTAGCTCCTAAAATAAAAAAACCTGGAGTTTTTGTTTAAGGGCAAACCTAAAGTATGTACAAGGATGTATTTCAGGAAAATATTTTAACTTCTATAGGGTGGCTCAAAAAAGGGTGAGTGGATTGGGAGTTTTTTTTTTAAATTGGATATCCTGTATATTATTGTATTTTTGGCTTCCTTTCAGATCATTTTACATAATCCTATGATATGGGTAAAGATATTTCAATAGTTTCAGAGATATTAATAAATAAATAAAAAATATATTTTTTCAACCTTCTTAAAAAAATTATTAAAAATACAAGAACTGTCCTGAAATCAAAACTATATTAGGTATTTACTTTAGATGGTCTGTACTTACTTTGCTATAAATATGGTTATCGTAAATAATACAGGGTGTTTAAAATTCTGCGGCAAACTTTCTGAAATATAAAATAATTTCTTTGTTTTTTTTTAATGGAAAGCCCTGAATATTATTTTCTTATTAGATGGAGAGTTAAAAAAATAGACATCACTAAACGTTCTCTAACCCAGTGTGAGTACATATTATCAAAGCAAACCTTTGAAGGAAGGTTAAAGGACAATAACTCACAATCTTTAAGTTGTTTATTTTAAATTTTTTTAATGCTTAAAAAAGCAAGGGGGGCGCCATGTTTCGGGAATTGAAAATATTCCCATCTTCAGGCCCAAAGGCAAAAGTCACTTAGGAAGTACAACCACTCAGAATCAATAAAACCAATTAGAGCCGTTAACATTTAAAACAACTCATTCATTTTAACCTTAAATTATATAACTCTTCAAGAAGGGTAATACCTTTTAATTAATACCTTTTAAATTCCCGAAACATGTCGCCCCCCTTGCTTTTTAAGCATAAAAAAAATTAAATAAACAACTTAAAGATTGTGAGTTCCCTCCATCAAAGGTTTGCTTTGATAAAATAAACATTTCTTGTATTTAAAGTATTTCAAAATTTTTAATGATATCACAGATACCCCTACGGCAGTATTATTTCATAGTGGCTCTTTCAACGGTAAAATACCCACGAATATATGCAAAACCGTTAAAAATTTTGAAATACTCTAAATACAAAAAATGTTCATTTTTTAATTCTCCATCTATTGAAAAAATAACATGTTCATGGTGTTCATTCACATAGGTATTCAATTAAAAAAAAAACAAGAAATATTATTTTATATTTTAGAAAGTTTGGCGTAGAATTTTGAACATCTTGTATGATTTACAATAACCCTATTTTTAACAAGTTTAAGCCCAGAACATCTAAAGTAAATACCTAATATAGTTTTGATTTCAGGACAGTTCTTCTATTTTTAATAACTTTTTTAGAAAGACTGAAAAAAAAATATTTTTTATTTATTTAGTAATATCTCTGAAACTATCAAAACATATTTACTCATATCTTAAGATTATAAAAGTGATCTGAAAGGAAGCCAAAAATGCAATAATATTCAGGGTGTTCCATTTAAAAAAAAATCATCCCGATCCACTCACACTTTTTCGAGCCACTCTATAGAAGTTAAAATATTTTCCTAAAATACATCCTAGTTCATACTTTAGGTTTGCACTTAAACCAAATTTCAAAGTTTTTTATTCTAAGAGCTACAGATGCCCGACGTACTATTGCCGGACCCTGTAGAAATATGATTTTTTTTTGTGTTAACAAATCCAAAGATGCTGCATATTTAAGCTTCAATAACGGTGTTTCATAGAAACGTAGTAATTTACGCGTTCGACGTCTTCTTATACATATTATAATTATGTTAAAACATTTTATTTAGATAACGATAGCGAGCATAGTGGGTGTTGCTCAGGCAGCTCAACTAACCGGAAGGGAACCCATACCAATCGTCAGTCAAGATGTCGAAGTCAACTTTGACGGTACCTACAAATCCTCGTACGAAACTGGTAACGGTATAGCAGTCCAGGAGACTGGACATTTGAAAAATGCCGGAAACAAAGACGCTGAAGCGGAGGAAGTACAAGGTTCATTTCAGTACACTGCACCCGATGGTAAATTTATACTTTTTTTTAATTATATATGGTAGATGTAGATGTCGGTGGAGATTGTATACCGCGATCTTATAGATCTATTGTGTCCCCCTTTCTTGAGTTATAAATCATCATACAGTTTCAGGCCTTTTTTACAAAATCCAGTATCTAAAACGGTTTTACTGAGGTTAGTTCTCCATCTCCATATCAATCGTACCAAATTTTATTTTTTTTATTTAGCGTATGGCTTACATCACAGTATCTTAAGTTATAGGACACAGAATGGTATAAACAACAAAAAAAATGTATATAAAAAAACTGCATAAACAACAAAAAAAATATGTAGATAAAAAAAACTGCATAAACAAAGAAAAAAGAACATACACAACAAAAAAATAGGCTAATTTGTCTCATAAACAGATATCCAGTCTTCGTATATAATCAATTGCCTCCTGAATAGCCATAAGGAAATCTTCTGAGTTGCCCATATACCTATGCTCTTATTGGGCAGTCTTGCACTATATGTTTGACAGTCTGCCTGTCAGCTCCACAGTCGCATGCGGCTGAAGGGACTTTTCCCCACCTATTTAGAGAGTCGGCACATCTTCCGCAGTTAGTTCTGATGCGGTTAAGAGTTGTCCATGTTCGACGGGGAAGGTCGAATACTGCAGGTTCATTAATAACGTACGGTAGACCATGGTACATTGGAGCTGCCTCATTTTCCCATTTCTCTCTCCATTGCTCATTTATATCAAAATTATTTTGGTGCAGCTCATGTGCAGTCTTCAAAGGAGGGTGTCTTGATCGTAGTCGATTTCCCTGGTTGTGTGGTACGTCATCATGGACCTGCAGCTGAGGGTTATTCATTATTTTAGTAAACTCTCTGACCAAGGCATGTTCTCGGCGCAAATTGGGAGGAGCTATGTTGTTAAGAGTGGGCAGCCATATTGTAGGTGTTGGTCGAATTGTCCCTGATATAGTGCGCATAGTTTGGTTTAATTGAGTATCAACCATACGGGTGTGTTTGCTATTAAGCCACACTGGAGCACAGTATTCTGCTAGAGGATACTCCAAAATCTCAAGGATCTCAGGGTGGATGCTCATGAGCCCCAAGTTGTGCCACATAATTTTTGAAGTATGTTGTTACGTGTAATAACTTTGCCGTCATTCTTGTCAAGTGTTCTTTAAATGTAAGCGTCCTATCCAGAGTAAGTCCGAGATATTTTGGATGTTTATTGTGAGTGAGTAGTTTGTTGCCCATGTACACTCGCAATTCTCTCTTTGCCATCTTATTATTAAGATGAAAGGCAGATACTTCAGTGTTTACGATACTTGGTTGGAGTCTCCATGTTTTAAAATACTCGCTAATGGTTGCTATGTCTCTGGTAAGTACAACTTCAGCATCCTCCATCCTCTTGTGCGCCGTTGCCAATGTCTAGTCGTCTGCATAACCAAATTTTCGTGATTCAGTTGCAGGCATGTCCGCGATGTATAGACTGAAAAGTATGGGGGCAAGAACCGACCCCTGAGGAAGACCGTCATTCAGTTTCATAGTTTTGCTTCTGTTATTCCCCATTATAACCTGGAATGTTCTATTTGACAGCATATTGTTAATGAGGTTGGATATTCTTACACAAGGAATGACGCGAGTGAGTTTATATATTAGGCCCTGTCTCCAGACGGTGTCATATGCTGCTGTCAGGTCTATAAATGCGGCAGCGACTACATGTTTCTTTTGAAATCCGGCCTCTATAAATGTTGTCAGTGATAAGACTTGATCTGTGCAGCTACGATGCGGGCGAAAGCCTGCTTATTCAATGGTAATGCTGTCTAAAATTCTTTGACTGATTCTGTTGAGTAGCACTCTCTCGAACAGTTTATAAACCATACTTAGCAGGGCGATGGGACGGCAGTTCTCTGGCCCATCACTTGTTTTCCCTGGTTTTAGTATTGCAATGATTTTTGTACGCTTAAGTGAGTGAGGAATATGTCCTGTGCGAAAGATGTTCGTGAAAAATTTTGCCAGCAATTGCTTCGTATAGGGTCCACAATGTTTGAGGAACTCTGGGTGGATCCCATCAAATCCTGGTGCTTTTCTCAATTTAATTTCTTTTAGAGCCGTTGTGATTTCGCCAATTTTAATATCTCTCGAATACTCGGAGTCTGCAGCGCAGGCTTCCCTCAGGGCCTTGAGTTCTCTTTTAACTTTAGTTATATGTGTTCGATCTCGAGGGGCTCTGGACGTAACGACTATAGGAGCAGCAACACTGTTAGGTGATACTCTATCATCTCCGCGTTCAAAAGGCTTGGCGCGTCCGAGCTTACGCAGCAGAGACCATGCCTGTCGACTTGATTTTTTGAAGTCAAGATTTTCAACAGTTTCTGTCCATTTTTGGCGTCTATATATATTGATGTTGTGTAATAGATCGTCAGCTATTTCGCGATCTCCGCTTTCAAGAAATTCTGCGTATAAATCATTACAAGTTTCGTTCCATCCAGGTATATATTCCTTACGATATCTCCTAGGAATGGCCACCTTCGCTGAGCTAATAACCGCTCCCACAAACCGTTCGTAGTTTTTGCTAACTGGAGGAATCCAATGTAGGGTATAGTCCAGTTGTTCAGAAAATTTTTCCCAGTTGGCCTTTCCAAGGTTCCATCTCGGTCGTGGGTGTGACCTGATTATCGGTAGGGATAGTCCTATAGTAATCGTACCAAAGTTTATGCACGAATGGTTGTCGTCTCGGCGCCCTCAGCGCTGACGTGCTTTTGTGTTTCTCCTTGCTACTTTTGGGCAGGTTTTCATATTCTCATGACTCCTGTTACACAGATGCATGCCAGTCTCTGTATTTTGCACAGGTTTTGCATTTACGTTGCTTTAGTTTTGTATACCAAGCTACTACTGCATAAGTAGGCATGGATTACTATCATGGTATTCATCCAGCCCAAAATATATTTTTCCTCTATTCTTCTATATCATGGGGGCCTTTGTCGCTTGTCTCGAAATGTTTCTGGATATTCGGCGATTAAAATATTTCACAAAGATAAGTTGTTATTCCCGTCAGATTTCCCGTCATTCTTTCTTTTTACCGGCTAACCCAAGACACCAGAAAAATTTAAACATATTTCTGTAAATCCGGACGTATTGAAACCCTAGATGCAACTAACCCGAGTTTATTTTATTTATAACAATGACTAAACAATACCAATAACACCCGAGACCAAATTGTTACTATACCTCTCAACAACTTCCTCCACACATTTTTCTTAACTTAGCTGCTTGAAGAGAAAATAATATTTTTGATAATTTTTTTGACTGCGCCTGTGGTGTACGCTGCTTATTTAGGTGGTAACATACTAATTATTTACAAAAAACGTATTAAAATGTTAACAAAAGGTACCAAACTAGTATCGACGTATAGCACATATCAAGTACATAAAATGTTAGAAGAATAATAATTATTAAATTTAATAAAAAAACACTAATAAGGTAGAGTGGACTGTTTATTTACCTATGAAACGTAACATCCTACGTACTCATCTCTTCTTATCGTTGCGGCATTTACACTTGAAAGCTGAACAATTCACCATTATAATAAAGTTTATACAAAGTTCACTACACAAAACTATTAAAAATCGCTAAAATTGTCGCTGATAACACATCCGTTCCTCTAAAAATGGGGTCTAACAACACAAATTCTGCTGCAGCCCGTATATGGGCGTTACGTGTCCTTGTATTCTTTTAGTCATTGATATTTGGAGATTGCATATTTTCTTTTAGGATCTCCAATACTGATACAGTACATAGCAGACGAAAATGGGTTCCAAGCTCAAGGATCTCATCTGCCCATCGCACCCACACCTCCACCCATCCCGGTAGCCATTTTGCGTGCCCTGGAATGGAACGCGGCTCATCCAGAACAGGAAGAACCATCCTCCAGGAAGTTCTAGTTCGATGGACTTTGTGCTTACAATAAAGGCCTGTGTTATAATTCTTTGTATATAATATGTTTCTACTGGGTTTTGTGCCATGTACAAAAATAAATTGTTTAATAAAATTAATATTTTTTAATTTAACTTCTTTGTTTTTGTGCATTTAAGCTTGATTTTCATGCATCCGTTATACGTTGGTCCGACGGTGCTCTGATTGGTCATAGCGTTTTCGCGCCACTTTTCATCCGTAAATATTTTACTTCAGCCCGTCAACGGACCCGTTCATACGATAACGGACGTTTAGACACTTTTTTGACAAATTTAATCTAACAATAATAAAAATATAAGTAAGTAAAATAGCAAAATCGTTCTGGAAACGAAAATATAAAATAACCAACTTATATCCGATAAACGGAGGCATGAAAATGCAATAAATTTAAAAACTGCGTTATTTTCTAACCAATCAAAGTCTTTAAATTCCACCAATAAAATTAATATCGTATCAACGTATCGTCGGACAACGGATGCATGAAAATCAAGCTTTTTCATTTTATAATCGTTTTTTTTTAATTTTACGACTTGAGAGTTCCGGGAACATGTTTATAAGCCTCCCCCCACCCAAAAAAAATATTGAAAATTTTGAATTTCTCGAAAAAATATTTGATTTTTTTTCGACTTAGATGAACGAAAAGTCAAAAAAATCTAGTGGTATCTGAAAATTTAACCAAAAAAGTAATTTAATTTTATTTAAAGTAAAATAACTGGACCATTTTAGAGATATTTGAAAATACAAAACAAAGAAAAATACTAATAAAATTTCATATTTTCGCCAACTGCATTATTAAGGCATAATAAGTTTGATGCGCCTCCATAACTTAATGTGACAAAAAACATTTTTTGAAAGTTAGTTTTGAAAAAATATTTTTTTTCTTCAAAAAGTATGCACAGTGGCGATTTTTTACAAGAGACAAAAAATGTAGTAAATACTAGAGGGACCATTTTACGAAAAGAAAATATATACTAAAATTTATATAGGGGTGGGGACAGTTTTCACCCTTCCCGTACTTTTTCTTGAATTTTGTGTAAGTCAAATGTTAGAGCAGTTAGCAAAAATATAACTAAGGGGATAACCAAAATATGCCTGCACCCAAAATCTCATTCAAATCGGAATAACGGTTCTTAAAATATCTGAAAAAATGCGTTTAATTTTTTAAAGTTTGATGTCCTCTAGCGGACAAACGAAGCACTTTTGTATAGAGGTAAATTGTGTTCTATATCTACGGAATATTGGGACACCCTGTATAAGTATTCCTTTTCTATGTTGAACACTAGAGTATTGAAAAATATGTCGATTTTATAAATTACAAAGCCAAAACTTGTAAACTTTCAAGAAGATAATGAAAAAACAATAAAATAACTAATAATTCATTCATTGTTGGTCGCTCCTTATATGCAAGTATCCCTTATCTACTTTTAACACTGTAGTATTGAAAAATAGAAATTTTTTATATTGAAAAATATGCGGATTTCATAAATATCAAAGTCAAAACTTGTAGATTCTCAGACAGAAAAAGAAAAGCAAAAAAAATCTTATGTCGATACCAATGTATTACAAACAATTTCAATTCATTATGAATCGTAATTTTTAAATTTCAAATTAGATGCCATTTATGAAATATAGCCATACAGAGCTTGTATTTGCTAAACCCCTAGAGCTAGAGAGTAACAACAATAAAAGAACAGTTGATATATAAATTATTGGCTAAAAACAGGTGGCCATGATATTTAGAAAATAATAAGGTGTGTCTTCACTAATTTATTCAAATAGGTTACATTTTACAAATAGGTTATCATTTTGTAATGTAACATGCTCTTCTAAATTAATTTTTTTATAATTTTTATTTTTTTTAATTAATTTTATAATTAATTAAAATACATCAGATCCTTGAAAAATATACGTTTTTCTTTTCTTTTATAAAAGAATAGTATCACAGCAGAGATTTTTCACATAAAGCACGTAAGATGAAACTTAAATATGTAAACAAAACAAAATATACAGGGACCGGCAATAGTGGGCCGGGCATCTATAGCTCCTTGAATAAAAAACATGGAAATTTTGTTTAAGTGCAAACCTAAAGTATGTACTAAGATGTATTTCAGGAAAATATTTTAACTTCTATAGGGTGGCCCAAAAAGTGTGAGTGGATTAGGATGATTTTTTTTAAATGGAACACCCTGTATATTATTGCATTTTTGGCTTCCCTTCAGACCACTTTACATAATCCTAGGATATGAGTAAACATATTTAGATAGTTTCAGAAATATTAATAAATAAATAAAAAAATATATATTTTTCAGCTTTTCTTAAAAAAACAATATTAAAAATACAAGAACTGCAATGTAATCAACTGTAATCAAAACTACATTAGGTATTTAGTTTAGATGGTCTTTACTTATTTTACTATAAATATGGTAATCGTAAATCATACAGGACGTTAAAAATTCTACACATAACTTTCTAAAATTTAAAATAATTTTTCTTCGTTATTTTAAATGGAACACCCTGTATATTATTTTTTCAGCAGATGGAGAATTTTTTCTTTCGCAGATATTTGCGGTTTTATATTTCATGTGGCATTTTCTACAGTAAATTTTTATCAAAGCCACCCAATAATTTTTCTCTCGTATTTTACCATTCAAAGAGCCATATGAAGAAATACTGCATGTATCTGCGAAACCATTAAAAATTTCGAAGTACTTTAAATACAAGAAATGTTCATTTTTTAATTCTCCATCTACTAAAAAATAATATACAGGGCGTTCCATTAAAAAAAACAAAGAAAAAATATTTTATATTTTAGAAAGTTCGGCGTAGAATTTTGAACATCCTGTATGATTTAAGACTGCGATATTTATAGCAAAGTAAGTTTAGACTATCTAATGGAAATACCTAATATAGTTTTGGTTTCAGGACAGTTCTAGTATTTTTAATATTTTTTTTAAGAAAGGCTGAAAATATAGATTTTTTATTTATTTATTAATATCTCTGAAACTATCGAAAAATATTTACTCATATCATAGGATTATGTAAAGTGGCCTGAACGGAAGCCAAAAATACAATAATAAACAAGGTGTCCCATTTAAAAGAAATTATCCCGATCTACGCACACTTTTTTGAGCCACCCTATAGAAGTTAAAATATTTTCCTGAAATACATCCTCGTACATACTTTAGGTTTACACTTAAACAAAATTTCCAAGCTTTTTATTCTAGGAGCTACATATGCCCGACGCACTATTGCATTACCCTGTATATATTATTAATATCTTTGATAATAAACTTTTTCAATAAATAAGTGTATACAGGGTCCGGCAATAGTGCGTCGGGCATCTGTAGCTCCTAGAATAAAAAACTTGAGAATTTTGTTTAAGTGCAGACCTAAAGTATGTACCAGGATGTATTTCGGGAAAATATTTTAACTTCTATAGGGTGGCTCAAAAAAGTGTGAGTGGACCTGGATGATTTTTTTTAAATGGAACACCCTGTATATTATTGCATTTTTGGCTTCCTTTCAGATCACTTTACATAACCCCAAGATATGTTTCGATAGTTTCAGAGATATTAAAAAATAAATCAAAAATATATATTTTTCAGCCCTTCTTAAAAAAATTATTAAAAATATAAAAACTGTCCTGAAATCAAAACTATATTAGATATTTACATTAGATGGTCTGTTCTCACTTTGCTATAAATATGATAATCGTAAATCATACAGGATGTTCAATATTCTAGGCCAAACTTTCTAAAATATAAAATATTTTATCTTTGTTTTTTTAAATGGAACACCCTGTATATTATTTTTCTATTAGATGGAGAGTAAAAAAATGAACATTTTTTGTATTTAGAGTATTTCAAAATTCTTAACGATTTCGCAAATACACGCAGTTATTATTTCATATGGCGCTTTCAATGGTAAAATATGAGAGAAAAATCATTGGTTGGCTTTGATAAAAATTTACTGTGGAAATGCCATATGAAATATAAAACCGCAAATATCTGCGAAACCGTTCAAAATTTTGAAATACAAAAAAATTTTCATTTTTTAATTCTCCGTCTATTGAAAAAATAATATACAGGGTGTTCCATTTAAAAAAACGAAGAAAAATTATTTTATATTTTAGTAAGTTTGGCGTAGAATTTTGAACATCCTGTATAATTTAAGATTTTCATATTTATAGCAAAGTAAGAACAGACCATCTAATGCAAATACCTAATGTAGTTTTGATTTCAGAAAAGTTCTTGTATTTTTAATAATTTTTTTTAAGAAGGGCTGAAAAATATATATTTTTGATTTATTTTTTAATATCTTTGAAACTATCTAAATATATTTATTCATATCTTAGGGTTATGTAACGTGATCTGAAAGGAAGCCAAAAATGCAATAATATACAGGGTGTTCCATTTAAAAAAAATCATCCAGGTCCACTCACACTTTTTTGAGCCACCCTATAGAAGTTAAAATATTTTCCTGAAATACATCCTGGTACATACTTTAGGTTTGCACTTAAACAAAATTCTCAAGTTTTTTATTCTAGGAGCTACAGATGCCCGACGCACTATTGCCGGACCCTGTATATGATTAATATCTTTGATAATAAACTTTTTCAATAAATAAGTGGCAATCAAGTTTTTTCTGCCTTGGGTGCGTTCGTATTTTAGAAATAAGATTTGAATTTTACAAATAGGATTATGTGCTTTCAGTGTTATTTTAAAACGTAGAATGTGAACGTGTATAGTGTAACTTATTTTTAATTGTAAAATTATTGTATTTTTATCTGATGATGCTCGTATGAGCAAAACACGTGTCAGAGTTTAGTTTAATATAAAAGATGAGACCGAGACTTTGAGTTTTTTCTTCTGTTTTTAATTTATAAATGGGGTCTCTTTGAGAAGAATGGACGCCTTCTTCAAATTACTGGATAATTAAAACAAAAAGAAATATATATTTTAAATTATATTATTTTTTTTTTGTATTACAAAAATATCTTTTTGGTTTCCTAACAAATTTTGTACTTAGTTTTGCAACTCTGGAATAGGATGAGCTGCGATCCAGTCAAGTGCCCTCTGGATAGCTGCTGGAATTGGTGGTGGAGTGGGTGGGGTGTTGGTGTCTACTGGTGGAACGGGAAGATGGTTTCCTTGAGCTTGGAATCTGGAAAAATAATAAAAATATAATAAATACCTTTCCAATTAAAAATGAGAGTTCCCATCTCACAGTTATACGAGGGAACACAAAATGTTGTTTTTAGTGGGCTTGTTTTTAGTTTGGGCTTGAATCCCGTGCAGTTGGTGAAAGTTTGGAACACCTTGCGGAATATGTTAATAAACCAAGGAATTTGAAAATCATTTTTTCATCTAGGTCCATCTTTTTTCAACTATTTATTTTTGGTTTATCTCATTAGTTTTTTTTTTTTATTTTGGAGATATTCTGAAGAAGACACGAACATTTTTTAGTAATTTTTACATTAAAATCATGCCTTTGCTTTTGGTCCAAGTTAACATACCTATGAAATAGTGTTTATAGTTTATGTAAAGTCACTGTTATTGAAAAATCATATTTTTATTGTCTGTTGGATGTTAGGCAGTCTGTTGGATGATGTCAGGCCTTAGCAAAGATGGTTTTAAGTCCAGAAGTTGTATCCGCTATAGCTGCTTTAATAGAAGATGATAGAGATCAAAATTACCTCGTTAACAGATTTAGGGGTGCACGAAGTACAGTGCAGTCGCTTCCTTGAGACAAGTTCATATGCTAGACACCCAGATATCTTCGTATAAAAACTTCAAATCCATACGATCGACTTATTGTAAGTTTATCACTAAAAAACCGCCGTTTGTCAGCTTTTCACATTTGTAATGAATTGCACTTAAGAACGTACATGTAAGTAAACGGACTGTAAGAAGATGATTAAACGAAGCAAATAATATTATGTCAAGAAGGCCTGCTTTCACGGGACCACAACATACTAGGTCTGTTGGCTAAGCCTAAAAGCAAAGGTACAAGTAAAGGTAAAAGCAAAGGTTTTAATGTAGAAATTACGAAAAAAATGTTAGTGTTTTCTTCAAAAGCAAATATCTCCAAGAAAAATAAAGCTATTGAGATCAACCAATAAACAAACTATCGAAAAATTACGTACTTGACGTAAATGATTTGTGAATTCCTTGCAGTCTTAATATATTCTACAGGATAGTATTTACAATCAAACCTTCACCAAAATATCAATATTTTGTTTCTCTCGTACAATTGACAGAACTTTAATTTTTTAGAAAGAGATCGAAAAACTCAAATAATTTAGCTACATGTTGCTTAAAAAATCATCAAAATCGGCATCACAAAATATATTTAACTTTAAAATTCATCAAAATTTTAAGATGCCCGTTTTTCGTGCCTGTGAGTGTAGAAAGAGGATACACACAATAGGTCTTACAGTGTGGCAGCGTCTCCCGCACAGGACAGTCACTTATTATTGGACAAAGAACAAAAATAGAAGAAATAACCTACCCAAGTTCATTAGCAATGTAGTTTACTTGGATGGGAGTACCATCTTCGGCGGTATAGGAGAAGGAACCTTGAATCTCGGAAGCTTCGGCGTCTTTAACTCCGGGATTCTTCAGTATTCCGGAAGCTTGGGCTTGAATCCCGTTTCCTGATTCGAAGGAGTTCGAAAAAGAACCGTCTGGACTGCTGTCTTGGTTTTGACTGATGATGGGAATGGGTGTGGTAGCTGAGTAGACGACAGCTACCAAAGCAAAGGCTACAACCTGAAAATAATAAATATTGATTCTTATTAACTTATTTTTAAAGAACATAAAATTTTACACATAACAATTAATTGTCGTACTTTTTTCAGATCTATTTTATAAATTTTTGAAGATTTTTTGAGATTTTTTGAGAACTGAAAACAAAATAAAAATAGAAATAAAAATAATTGGGAAAATCAGAGCTACTCTAAATATTTTTATTTTTCCACAATGCTATAAACATTCTAAAAGTAGTGATTTTACAAGAAATTTCTTGTAAAAATCAGTTTTATATCATCACTTTTATTTTGAGTGGTAAATATAGGAAATCGTACTGATTTTTTTAACTTTTGACAAAATCGCTAAAAGTAAGGTTGTGTCTCCTATGTACTCCATTTAAACTACTTACATATCAGATCAAACTAAGACATGCCTTTAAAAGAATATAAAATTTTACATTCGACAAGAAGCATTGTTTCACTTGTTTCAGACTTTTAGTATTATTTTTTAAACGATATATTTATCTATGAAATGATTTTTGTAAATTAAGTCACAGGAATTTAACTGATTTGAAAACATATTCCGAGTTCACACATTTCATACGAAAAAGCTTTCGCTAGTTGATTCAAAATGACGACAGTGCGTAAGGCAGTATTTCAAATTGCCAAAATTTCGACAATAGAATTTACAGAAAGCTTATTACGTAAAACTCGGACGTAAAAGAAGAATATGGATCAGAAAATGGATTAACTCCATATATAGTGGTTAGTGGTGCATTAATACATAATGTAATACCCTTGTTTATATATTCTTAATACATATATAAGGGTAATATCTAAGCTATAGTTAGGATATCCAAGAGATTACAAAAAAATAAGGGTGGATGCAAACCAATTTAATTTAAATTAATTTTTTAAGTTAGAAATTACTCTTCTTTAACTAATTTTTTTATTTTGGATTCTGTGTGTTCCATATACCAGCATATTTGACTCTTTTGTACCAGACCTTCTTTAATGTTTATTTTAACTGTAAATATAGGGACCACATCAGATTTTGTTAAAAAGAATTATTAAAAATAGAGAAAAAAACTACTGATAAATATACCTGGTGAGTCTTAAATAAGTGCAAATATTGTCAGGGCTGGTAGATCTCGATAAAAGAAACATATTTCCTCTTTACCGTTTTTCAAATAAGTTCAAAATAACCGAATTATTCAAGTTTTTTAATTGCTTCCATTTTTGAAAAGTTATTCGGGATTTAAATGGAAGTAGTTTGGATATGGCGTTTGTCGCCTCAGCCTGAATATCTGTTGGCAACAATGACTAAAGAATCCAAGATCAAATTGTGACAATGCCATCAAACAGTGCCGTGGCACATATTTTTGTTAACCTAGCTGTTTGAAGCAATATTTATATTTTTTGATAATTGTTTTGACTACGCCTAATTAATTACGAAAAAAACGTATTAAAATGTTAACAAAAGGTACAAAACTAGTATCGACGTATAGTACATATCAAGTACATATAGATATTAATTGAAATTGAAGAATAATTATCGAATTCAATAAGAAAACGCTAAAAGGTTGGAGTGGACTGTTTATTTACCTATGAAACGTAACTCCTGGCTCTTTCTTATCGCCGCTCTTTTACACTTGAAAGCTGAACAACTAATCACCATTATAATAAAGTTTATACAAAGTTTACTACTCACAAACTATTAAAAACCGCTAAAATTGTCGCTGGTGACCAAATGATGACTCATTGTTTGCCACCAAAACAAAAAAAAAGGTCACAAATTCTGCTGCAGCCCGTATGGGGGCGTTACATATCCTTATATTCTTTAGTCATTGGTTGGCAATGTACTTATTTCGTTTTGAGCTATTATATAATTCAATCAGCAATCGACACGAAAGAGAATTAAAAAATATTGACTCAAAACTGACAACTAAAGAGACAGCTTTATTTATTTGTCAAATTACATAGAAACCAACGCCAACACAGCACAATATCTTTTCTACTCGTAATAAATTCCTTGAAATAATAATTTCTGAATTTCTTTTAAAACGTAACTCGCTATGGAAAAAAATATTGTTTTATACACGACGACAAAATTATTGGATTAACGTCTCCCGAAATTTTTTCTAAAATCTTTTCTGTCGATGATTAAATACCATTTTATGGTCTTGTATAAAAAATAGCTATTTTTTGACACTATTAAAAAAAATATTTAATTTCGGAAAAAAATCATAACGGATATAAAAAAATGCAGAAAAGAATGAATGCTATTGCAAAATCTACTTACAAATGATTTCATCTTCTGATAATAAGTTTCTTGTACCGAATCACAGATCGATATGAGGTCTGCATTTGCAAATTCTTTTTTTATACACCGAAAAGTGAATCTGTTGCCTCATCCCATCGTTTAAAGGTCGGACGAAAAATGAGTCTTTCATGGTCAAGTTAGAATTTTTGGGAGGTACAGTTTAACACGTTTCTAACGGTACAAGTAGTTTTGGCATATCGGTGCAATGGTACAACTGTATTTTGGTAATTAATTGTTGTCAATTTTAGCGGGTTATAGCGCTGAAATTAAAGAATCCATCCATACATATATAAAAGCTCAAAGGTTTTTTTTGTTACATCCATCCTGCCGAAACCGCTTCACCAATCTTGATGATTCTTTAAGTGAGAAGAGTGTATTAGTGCTCTTGAAAAATAAAAAAAATCAGGGGAGTATATCAAGAAAAGCGACAATTGAAAACTTCAAATATTCAATTGAAAACTTTATATGTCAGAGCTATTTATTATAGTAATGCAGTTTATATGGGACCATAGGTGGGGTTCTATCCTAGAGGGTACATAATTATTTCACTATTTATGTTTGTCAGAAACATGATTACGAAAAACTTTTTTTTTAGTTTTTAGCTAAAAACCATAATTTCTTGATAATATTGCAACATAGAATAAGAGCACTAATAATATACTCTTTATGCCTTATTTGTTTTTCCTAGAAGGATGATTTGAAGAAGAAATATTTCGTTCATATTATTGATGTCACTAAACAAACCCTTGTATAAAATGTTATACTTCTAGATATACAGCAAACATTTATTCCTTATTCTACTCCCTAAGGGCATGAATTTCATAAATTCGCTATGTCCAAATAATTAGCTCATGTCTTTTAAATGATTCCTTGTGCAAATTTTTATGGGCATAATCCAGAGATCACGAAGGTTTATATAAATTTTTACTAAATTTACCCATTCGGTTGAAGAATTTAAAAAATCTTTTGAAATTCTTTCTTCTAGACCAGATAGTAAGGAATTTTCATACAACAAATTGTTCGACATAATTTTACACTCCAAGAGGATGAATTTCCTAAAATCGCTTTGCGTAGCTAATTCACTAATCACTAATGTCATTTAAACGAACCTTTGTGCTAATATTTATGTATCTAAAGCTGGCGGTATGATTTGACCCCCTAAAATAACTGACACACCACTGACAATGACAAATAATTTATTTCTGGAGGTATTGTGTGTAGGTGTTGTTCAGGTATATTTTAGTATTTAGTCATTTACACAAAGAAATAGCCATTAAACAATATAAAAATACTTCATAACAAATCTAGACATATGTACCTTTCATTTAAAAAAAGAATCATCAAGCTTGGTGAAGCGGTTTCGGCAAGATGGATGTAACAAAAAAAACCTTTGCATGAGCTTTTATACAGGATGGGCTACTGAAAACTTACAATGGCTATAATTTTTAAATCAAAAAAGATATAAAAAAAATAAAAAATACTGTTTCTATAATATCGAGGGGGAATACATATGACGTATTTTTTGAACCACCCTGACCTACCCCTTAGGCGGCACCCCTACTCACTTGAAAATCTTAAATGGCAACACCCCACTTGTGGCGTCTTTTTGGAAAGCCCGTGAAAAATGCTAAACGATGATCATAAAGTTTTTAGGGTGAAATTGAAAAACTACTCCTTACACGAAAAATTAGGTGGACAATAATAAAAAAAGCGATTTTTTCAGCATAAGTTACAAATTGGGACCCATCTAAATGGGGCAAATGAAATATTTTTCAAACCACCCCGACCCACCCCTAGGTGCCACCCTCTCACTTCTAATCTCAAGATAGCGATACCCCAGCTGTGACACTTCTTTGGAAAGCTAATTGAAATTACTAAACGATGGTCATACAGACTTCAACGTAATTACAGGAAAGCAGAGATAAGAAATGTAGGTGTAACAATTTGAAAGAAATTTAAAATGATAATTTATTTTAACAATTGCTCAAAATGACAGCCGTTTTGTTCCATACAAAAATACAAACGATTTTCAAATCCTTCTCTCACTTTTTGGAAAGTCTCTTGGAATATTTCGACATGCTTCAGATATCCTCTGCCGCAATTCTTGCAACGAACCTGGTTGGCTCCATCTTGCTGAAAGTGTATGAGGTCTTCATTAATAATTAACTTTCCTTCCAAATCTCTTTGATTTTCAACCGCAAAATGTTCAGCATTTCCACATAACCATCACAGTCAAATTTTCGTCGATGAAAAATGGACCTATAATTTTATCGTCTAGTATTCCGCACCAAACATTGAGCTTTTGACGATGTTGGGTGTCTTCTTCAACAACAATATGCGGATTCTCTTCGCTCCAGTATCTGCAGTTCTGCTTATTCATATTTCCGTTTAAAAAAAATGAGCACTCATCACTAAAACAAATATTTTTAGTGAGTGAAGGTTCAATTCGAATTTCCTCCGTCATTAGTTCACAGAACTGAATCCTTCTATCTGGATCGTCGTCACCAAGTTCCTGCAGAATCTTAATTTTGTAGGGATGGAATTTGTGCATTCTCAATACTCTTCTGACAGTTGTTCGAGGTATACCTGTGATTGATGCCAACTGGCGTGTTGATGCTTCTGGATTGGCCGATACCTGACCAATAACTTCCATCTGCAGTTCTTCATTCAGCACCCTGGACCCTGTCCTTTTTTTATTTTTAACCGATCCAGTTTATTGGAACTTTAGAATCAAATCTCTAACATAAACGTGACTTACGTTTTTGTCCGATTTGTCTTATTGAAAGCACGGCTCAAATAGCACATACCTTCAGCACCATAAAAAAAACTATTTGAATTCTTTCTTCCACAGTATAAACCATTTTTCTTTCAAATAAGCGAATCAAATAAAGGTTTAAAATACCACTAAATTTGCAAACGATTGAAAATCGATAGAAGACAGTGCAAAAACGCAAAGATATTCCGTTTTAAGATTCCTGTTTGTTGAAAGTAAAAAAATAGATGATAAGGAAGAATTTGCGTTATCTCAAAATTAGGCTGAACGATTAGTAAAACATCTTTTCGTTGCCTTTTTATTATCTACATTTTTTATTTTTAGCTTCAAAATGACAATGGTTTCAAAATGGCATTGATGAGATTAGAAGTGAGGGGGTGGCACCTAGGGGTGGTCGGAGTAGTTTAAAAAATCGCTTTAGCTCGGTCCTAATTTGTAACTTATGCTGCAAAAATTACTTTTTTCATTAATGTCCACCTAATTTTTGGTGTAAGGAGGTAGTTTTTCAATTTCACCCTAAAATCTTTATGATCATCATTTAGATGATCATTCCTACCACAATATTGACAAAAAACTTTCACTTCATCTCACTTCCATATTAAGCGGTACGAAGTTAGCCGGATCCCAGCTTGTCTCTTATAAATCTTACAAAAAATATATATTAAATTGGTCAATTCTCTAATATAAATATTTTTAATACTTAGAGCTACAGAAAAAATAATTTAATTTTTGAATTTGCTTAAAGAAAATTATAGTTAAGACAAAAAATTCGTAGGAGAATTATTATCTTTGTTTTGGCTCTAGGACTATTATTTAAGGTGTTAAAATAAATAAAATCTAAATCAACTTGCCTTGAATCATTTAGCATTTTTCATGGGCTTTCCAAAAAGGCGCCACAAGTGGGGTGTTGCCATTTAAGATTTTCAAGTGAGTAGGGTTGCCGCCTAAGGGGTAGATCGGGGTGGTTCAAAAAATACGTCATATGTATTCCCCCTCGATATTATAGAAACGGTATTTTTTATTTTTTTGATCTCTTTTTTGGTTTAAAAATTATAGCCATTGTAAGTTTTCAGTGGCCCACCCTGTATATGTATGTATGTGTGTATGTATGTATTTATGTATGGATATGGCTGGATGTTACATATGTAAAAAAGTGGTAATAAATGTAACAAATATAACAATCTGGAAATTTGTAATATTTACCCATATCTTCATGAGTACCCAGGAGGTTATATAAAAGCCGGTGCTCCTGGGTTAAGTACAGAATGACTTGGTAAAATACAAGAAGTGCCAAAAGTTTTTAAAATATTTTTTTGAGATTTCAATATTTTTATTGTAGGTAGAATTTTGATTTCATGCCTGATTAATTTTTTCACATAGACTTTAATATTGAAAAATATACAGGCGCAGGAGTTAAAACGCGAATACTAAAAATCCAGCAAAGATGACCAGCTGATTGTGTATAAGCTGTGGCATCAGTATAGCAATAATTTATGCTAATTCTAAAAAAATTATAAATGTTTAATTCATTTGCTAATTTGTTAAATACTAATTTTTAAGACTATTATGTAAATTAAATTGTTGATAATTTAACATTAAAATCCACTACATATATAAATTGTAATTTAAATGCCAAAAAGTGTTGCAAATGTCGAGTAGCTTATTAATAAAATTATCGCCTCTGGTGCATATTTGTTCTTTTTCGTTTTTTTTTATAACAAAACGTGATCTCGATCAAGGTGAATACAAGACGTATTCTATAACTTAATCTATAAAAGTATTCTATAAAAGTAATCCAAAAATGAATTGTATTTTTAAATACATGTAATTATCTAATAGGCAGAGAGAAAGATATACAGGGTGAGCCTTAAGTGAGTACAAATATTTTTTTTGCCTCGCCACAGAAACTCATTTTTGCTCCTAATAAAACAATATACTATTTTTGCTCTTATATGGCTAAAACATTATGACATCCGGATTTTTTGCGTATTTTTGGGAAGGCTTGCCCCCCGGGGTAGACAAGTTTTTATCTGGTAACTCTAACCTTGCATAGAGTGTATTTGTTCGTGAAGTGAAAGATTTGTTACCACCTATACTTTTTACCGAATAACATTGGAAAAGTAAAGACAGTGTTGATGTAACAAGATATTGACTAAGGCGAGACAAAGAGTATGCATTGATATGCATTTATTAAGAAATTTGGAAACACAGGTTGCTATTTTTAGATGTGCTAAACGATAAAGGATAAAAATCGAGTCTATTGTTTCTAAAATTTGATAATAATTTTAAGAAAGTATGTATCCTACCTTTTTTGTCTTCTTTGGTAGTATTTTAGAATATTTATCAAAATATAAAAAAATAATATTTCATAAATTATTAATTTTTTAATGTAAACTATTTCTAGTACTAATTCTTTGGTAACTATGGATATATTTTATCAGATTATTTATTATGTATTTTTTAATAAGTTACAAAAATAATAAGTTTGCTTGTGTATTCTTGGGATTGCGATGAACAGCAATCCATTTCATTAGTTTCTTCAATGGAAAACTGGTCTTGGTAAAGAAATATTGGTATCAACTGGGGTTATCGGAAGGTGTGCTATTGTAATCTGAAAAAATAGTTTTTTACAATGTTAGTGATTTGCTATTTTATTAATCACAATTATATATTTTACCCTCGATTTTACCTAATTTAATATTTAATATTATTACTGTTAGTTATTATTACTATTAGTCCAATTAATCTACATCAATTTTAAATTAAAAAGATAATGGTGTGATATACTGTATGATGAGCTATAACTCAAGAAAGGGGACAGAATAGATCTTTAAGGTCGTGGTGATTGCCCCCCTCTTACTCATTCTACTCATTAGATACCTAATATGCACTATTTAACTCACCTATATTTATTGGTGGTGAATGATACCTAAACGGAGGTATCGTCATGAGTGGTGTAAAATAAATTTCTTTGAATATCTTCTGCTTCCAAATCCTCTTTACCAGAGTTTTTCTAACTTCTTTACCTTTGTTCTCCAATTTTTTCAGCACTAATGACATTGCCTGTTTTGTACGATTAGGAGTAAAGATCATCCTGTCTGAAGCAGGGTCTTCAATTGAGACAGATAAAGTTCAAATCTAAAAATGAGTTTTACTGAGTTAGTTTTTTTTATCAGTTCAACAAATATAATACTAATCTAAATATCTACCGGGTGCGTCTCAAATGTGGCTCATCACTATAACTTTTCTATTTTTTCAGATAAAAAATCTGGCTTTGGTATATTGGTCACAAATTAGGATTGATTGACGTATTCAATTATTTTTGGTCACTTTCTTTGTCACCGGAAATGACTACAACTTTCGATGTTTAAATGGCACCCGGTATTTTGTTACTTTATTCGATAGAAAATGGCACTCTGAATAGAATGATATATAATATGTCAACTTTTGACATTTTCGAATATGGTTTATTTGAAATTGCAACATACGATTCATAACGACAATTTGACTCGAAATACCAAGTGTTTGGTAACAAATTATTCCAAAAAAAAATATTTTTCCAAATATGCTAACGAACCACCCCCCATCCATTTGAAAAAATGGAGATATGATTAAAAATACGATTTGGGCATCTTTTATCATATGTCAAAAGTTGACATATGATATGTCAATCTATTCAAAGTGTCATTTTCTATCGAATAAAGTAACAAAATAACGAGGGTGCCATTTAAAAATCAAAAGTTGTAGTCATTTCCGGTGACACAGGAAGTGACCAAAAACAATTGAATACGTCTCTCGATCAATCCTAAGTTATGTACTAACATAACAAATCTCGATTTTTTATCTAAAAAAAATAGAAAAGTTATAGGGGTATGCCACTGCTCAGACGCACACATGATTTGTTATTAAAATATTGGAAAAATTCACGGAAAAAAAACATATACAGAAAATTAATTTTTAAATAATTTAGGTCTGGAACTACGTCATCTTCTGCAATTGACAGCTCAAGTCAAATACGTTTATAGCTGATTTGTAATAATTGATGTCCACTGTAAATCAGTGATATTCTAAAAATTAAAAGTTAGAATTTTAAAATAGAAATTAATGGAAAAAATAGTGCGAAATAGTATATTCTAATCTAGAAAGATATTGAAATATGTAAAAAAATACATAAACAAAGAAAAAATATATATAGATACCAAAAATGACAAAATCCCTCATATTGATTGGTCTCAATTAGTGTTTTAAATGGAAATATTGGAAATTTCCAAACGTGTCTCGGAAATATTGGAAATATTGGGAATATTGGAAATATTTTTAAAAATACTTAAATCTTGTCATTAACGATTCAAACCCGATGTTTATTAATATATCTTTCATATTTTGTAACCCTATAAACATTAAACTTACTATAGAACAGTATTTACAAACATATAATATGGTGAATATATCGAGTTTGAGGATTCACCAACTTACGAGTTGCAACCTCGAAATGCGAGGTTGCAACTCGTAAGTTGGTGAATCCGCTACGGGGAAGTCCCGAGCTCGTAAGTCGTAGAGTAGTAAAAATTCGCTGGTCTTCAATTTTGACCAATTTAGAAAGTGTGTACAATACTAGGTTCAGTTTACAAGGAGTTGCAGTTAGTCAAGAAGCAACACAAATGATTGATAAAAATGTTAAGCAGTGGATATTAGATGATGAAGTATTTTGGGCCCAAATTTCCAACGTAGTTAACATTTTTGAACCTATTGGCAAATGTTTGAAAATTGTAGAAGGAGATTATAGAACTATTCATTTTGCTGTAAAAGCATTTTGTGATATTAGAAGGGTAATTGAGAATAATCTTGCATTGTCCTCACTTGACGACAAAGAAAAATCCGAATTGTTGGAACAAAAGAGAAAAATTTGCTATTAAACCCATTCATTATGCTGCAGAATTACTAAATCCAAAATCACAAGGTTCTAAACTTGATGAAACCCAAATTCTTTCTGCCATATAATGCATACTTAATATATAAAAAAAAAAACTCAATATAAAGGAGCAAGAAATAATAGATGAAATAGCAGATACCGTTGTAGAAGTGGCAAGATATTTGGAAATATGGAAAAGTAGTTTTGATAACCCAGTCTCCTGGTGGAAAGGACTGTGTTCTTCATCTTTATTATCACAAGTAGTTTCACGAATGTTGATGATGCCAGCATCTTCGGCTGCCACGGAACGCAGTTTTAGCATTTATAGTCATATTCATTCAAAAAAGAGAAACAGGCTTACTAATGATAGAGCCGCTAAGCTACTCTATGTATCCCACAATGAAAACTTGCTGAAGAAAATAGGAAACGGCAATAGATCAATTGTTATTTCCGATACTATTGAAGATTTTGAGGAAGTAGACTGGCAAGAAGATGTTATTGAGTGTGATGCTGATGACAGCGATTAAGATATGCCTCTTGCTCGACTAGTGTGTCAAAACTCTTTATTTGTGTTTATGTATAAGCATTTTGTGTTTTGCGATGTTTTGTTATGAGTTGTTCAGCGGTACGAAGTTAGCCGGATCCCAGCTTGTCTCTTATAAATCTTACAAAAAATATATATTAAATTGGTCAATTTTCTAATAAAAATATTTTTAATACTTAGAGCTACAGAAAAAATAATTTAATTTTTGAATTTGCTTAAAGAAAATTATACTTAAGACAAAAAATTCGTAGAAGAATTATTATCTTTTCTCTAGGCTCTAGGACTATTATTTAAGGTGTTAAAATACATAAAATCTAATTCAACTTACCTTGACACTGGCCGAAAACGAACTGAAATAAATGTGGTATCAAGATCAAGTACTAACAGCTTTCGATAACTGTACAATACGTTTTTTTAAGAACTTTGTAATTTGGAAGATTGAAAAGTTCGATGTACTTGATACAGTTAAACCGCTATAAATAATTTTGATATACTTAATATTATACCGGGTGTTTTTCAAAAGTGGCTCATCCCTAAGTCTTTTTTATTTTTTCAGATAAAGAAACCAAAATGTGGTATGTTAGTTTATGACATAGGTCGTTATTGATAGACGTATTCATTTATTTTCAATTACTCTCTGTTTTACCGGAACTGAGTACAGCTTTTAAATGGTATCCTAGGTATTTTTTGTTATTTTATTTCTTTGAACTTGACATTCTGAATAGAATGAGATATATGTCAACTTTTGACATTTTCAGTTAAAAAAATAGCATTTTAATTTTCAATCCACAGAATGTCCCCGGATTTTCTTTACAAGATGAAAAACTGTATTATTATTGACATTTTGAGAAAAGTGCATTCGTCATAAAAATGTTTGCTTTTTCTAAAATGAATAATCGAAAAATAAAAAGGCGTGGCTATCATCATTTAGATTTCATTCTTTGATAGATGGTTATTATTCATTTCCATTAGCATCATATTCTTTGATGTTTTTTTACTTCAATTTTATTACGATAAAAACGCGATTTGATTTTTAGGACCAAAAATTCAACCATATTTTCACGTTTTTCTTAATTTTCTCTAAAACGGTATAAAAATTTGGGCTCAACTTTCGTTTAGCTGAAATCTGTTATATAAAAAATGACTTTATATATGCATTCTAGAAGGCGTCAGGAGTACAAATATATTCATTTCATTTTTCGGACTTTCATATAGCCGAAATCTGTTACATCAAAACTAGTCTTCGGGGTGTGTTTTAGACATTTTTCTGTTTAGAATCAGAAAAAAGTGTCTGCGGAAATTATTTATTTTTATTTTACATAAAAAAAATGCTTTGACTTTAGAAAAGCCGAAATCAGTTACATGAAAAATGAGCTTATATTTGTTTTATATGAGCCTTTACGAGCAAAGAAATACAAAAAAATTCCTGCGGAAATATGTCAATGTCATTTTGTGCACTTTGTTTTTCATACATTTTTCAGTTTAGAAGCTTACCGGACGTGACCCGGCAGCGAATAGGGGTGCTGGGTGGGGTAAAACATCTTTTGGAGGAATAACAATTCTTGCAGAATAAATAATATAGGTTCTTGTAAACTATAAGTACCTCAGAATGTTGCACTTATTCATGTTTTTTACTAAAGCTTTACGTAAATAGGGCTGATCTAAAACAAAAAATCATTGGATCATGCAGTTTTCTGTTATATTTTAATAATTAACTGTGATTTTGCAAAAATATTATTAGATTGGTTAGGATTTGGGTTGCTTTGGTTAGCATTTCTTTGTGGAGGGTGTTAAGCTGTGGTTTTTATATTTTAATAATTAACTGTGATTTTGTAAAAACATTATTAGATTTATTATTAGATTGGTTAGCATTTTAGACACTGTTAAATGATTTTTTTTTTGGTTCAAAAGTGATAAAAACATATTTTTTATGTATTTATGCTTACAAAAATGGAAAATGAAAATCAAGCATTTCCGCAGGAAATTTTTTATTTTCCTGAGTTTGTAAACGCTTCTAAAAGGCAAAAATATATTTATTTTTTATATAACTGATTTCAGGTATTCTAAAGTATATAAAATTTCCTCAGAAAATGGATACAGTTTAGTTCCGCAGGAAAATTTTTATTTTCCTCAATTCGTGAATGCTTCTAAAATGCAAAAATATATTTATTTTTTATATAACTGATTTCAGCTATTCTAAAGTATATAAAATTTCCTCAGAAAATGGATACAGTTTAGTTCCGCAGGAAATTTTTTATTTTCCTCAATTCGTGAATGATTCTGAAAGGCAAAAATATATTTATTTTTTATATAACTGATTTCAGCTATTCTAAAGTCTATTAAATTTCCTCAGAAAATGGATACAGTTTATTTCCGCAGGAAAATTTTTATTTTCCTCAATTCGTGAATGCTTCTAAAAGGCAAAAATATATTTATTTTTTATATAACTGATTTCAGCTATTCTAAAGTCTAATAAATTTCCTTAGAAAATCAAAACAGCTTATTTCCGCAGGAAAATTTTTGTGTTTATATGTTCAGAAAAATATTAAAAATAAATCGCAAAATGTATTTTTTACAGTAGCTTTTTAAAGGCAAAAAATTATTTTTTTTTCTAATAACTGATTTCAGCTAAACGAAAGTTGACCCAAAATTTGGAAAAGTATAAACGGGATTACCCATTTTAGAACAAGGAATTGGCACAAAGATTAACATATCAAATCTTGCTTTTTTATCTGAAAAAATAAATAAAGTTATATGGGTGAGCCACTGTTAAAAAACACCCGGTATAAAAAAATTTCCGAATATGTACTACTAACGAGCACTTATATTTATTAATTAGGTGATACATTTTAAGTTACAAGAACTAAAAAAATAAAGAAAAATTCTAATTTTATATAATAAAAATTATAAATTTATTGATTTTTTTTAATTAAAAGGTTAACTAGTTATTGGACGTCTTCTAATTTCAGGGTCAATGAAGACTCAATCTGTAATCCTTTCATTCTAACGGTGTTTCAACTGGGTGTTTAACATATGTCTGCATATGATGCAAATTTTGGCACAATGTCGGATAATCGACATACTTTCACTCGGTTTATTATTAATATAAATACCTTTTTATGTACTTCTAACGCCTAATCAATGATGTAACACTCGATGCTGTCTGAAGCCCCGTCTACACATTCCGTTTTACTTGTCAGTCTCAGCTGTTTAGTCAAAACGCATCAAACGCTTGAATTAGAGACTGAAAACCGCCTAAAGAACTCACGGAATTATTTAGTTGGTTGTTTTGCTTTTACTGAAAAAACTGGTGAAATTAACAAAAAATAATAATATGGATATACAGGTTGAGACTTACATAAATGCAAATATTTTCAGGGCTGGTAGATCTTGATAAAAGAAACATATTTTCTCTTTACCATTTTCCAGATAAGTCCAAAATAACCGAGTTATTTAAGTTTGAAAATTAAAAAAAAATTATTCTTTTTGAAAAAAAATTGAGAGTCACCGGATTTTTTCTGTATTTGCATCCCTTTTAATGCCGTAACCATGGAGTAAAGCCGTAACTATGGTAATATCAGAGATTAAGAAATTACACCGTGGGAAAATTGGCGGTGAACAGGCAGTTCTCAAAAGTTTTCAAAAAATATACAGAAAAATTTAAAAGAAAATGCACGATTTTTTACATCTTTTTTTGCAAAAAAACCTCATAGACGTGTTCTAGGGTCGAAATATACCACCCCTGAAAATATTTGCACTTATTTAAGACTCACCCTGTATAACATCGTCTTAAATGAGCGGCTTAATAAAAATCTAATAGTTTTACATTTCACAAAATAATGTAATTTTTACAAAATTGTTTAGAAATATTTCATGATTATTACCAAACTATAGGTACTATTCTGATAATTAGCTTTAGGCCAGTAAATATAGCCGAGTATTATATGTAAAGGTGAAAAAAATTAGTAACCAACCGAAGGGAATGTGTAGATAATGATCTCCTATTTAAACCCTCAAAAGTCCCATTCGGTCCCAGTGGGGGAAGATTGAAAAAAACCGCCGCCATCTCGGATTTTTTCGTTTTTTTCAAATATTTCCGTTTGGAAAAATCTCGGCTTTTTTCGAAAAAACTAAAGATTTTTTTTTTGTAGAGAATTAAATTTAGAATATGTTACCTTCAATCGTTTTTTTTTTCTAAAATAAATAATAATAGAGATAGAATATTTTTTACTATACGTTTTATAAATTTTCCAGTTTTTTTAAACCAATCAGCTATAATTTTTGCGTTAATAGTATACTGTTAATATAAATAAACCAAGTATAAATTTAAGCATTAAAACAATTAAAAATAACGTTTAAATATTATTTATTAAATAAAATTACTGTTAAAAAAATTATTATTAAATTAAAGTTATTAAATAAAATCTGCTATAACGTCATCCTGAGTGTCATTTTCGTCCTCAACTAAAATACAAACGTTTGTGCAACTGATTCTGTAGCACTGACCACACTTTGAAGAACATTTAAGACCTAGTTTTCAACAAGAGCAATTTTTAGAGCATTGACTCTCTTTGCAAATGCAAAACATTAATTTCAATAGGTCAGGAAGCGCCACATTTCTATTGATTGAATAGGTGTCATTTGCCTTTTTGATCTTTCTTCCATCCATATTGTAAAGAGTCTGTTACCCTATTTATTAAAGGTCTGTAAGGGCTTGTCTTGATGAAATCCTATTGTATAGATTGTATAGAGTGTATCTCAGATGGTTAATATGTTTAATAAAGCCTGGGCAGTGATAAAGCTTTTAAGAGATAATTTAATCCTGACTGAAACAAGTCATCTTTGTTAGCATTTTTTTCTAAAAATACGTCGAGGTATTGACAAAGATCGTAATCTTTTTTCAGTACTGACAGGCACATTTTTGACTTGTTTTACCTTAACCTCCAGATTGGCTGACTTACTTTTCCTGTTTACAAGTGCAATTTAAACCATTAACACAATTTTGTAGTAAAATTCCATGTTTTTTGTCAACTTTACTCAACACATTTACTACAATTGATAAATCTGCAGATAAAACATTCAGTGTATGCACTAGATTTTAGTCTAGCTTATGTGACAGATCTTCAATACGCTGATGACTGCGCTTTTATTCCAAAAATATTACAGAAATTACAAGAGTAGCTGAACTCATATATCTGGGCATACGAGGCTTTGGGCCTTAAGCTGAACATTGATAAAACTAAAATCATGTTTACTCTTCCGGAAAAGCATAACAATGATATAAAAACCGTAGAAGAGCTATTGGAATATGTAGCGGAATTCAATTACCTCGGCAGTTTGAGTTCGGAAAAGGCCAATATCGATTCTGAAATATGACACAGAATTAGCAGCGCCTCAAGAGCGTTCTGGAAATTAAGACTGGGTTTTACAATCATGACTTGAGTACAAAAACGAAACTTACAGTGTACCGAGCAATAATAGTCGCTACCATGTTATATGGAAGCGAAACCTAGATGCCGTACAGACACCTTAGACTACTCTTAAGAATCAAATGGTATTACCATGTCTCAAACGTATCGGTTCTTGAAAAAGCTAGCTAGGAGAGTGCTGAAGTCGTGATTACCAAATCCCGCTTAAGATGGGCTGGCCACGTATGCAGGATAGAAGAAAACAGTCTACCGAAATCTCTTCTTTACGGTGAGCTTGTAGACGGTAATAGAAAAACGGGTGGACAACTTAAAAGGTACAAGGATATTTTCCATGAAAACTTAAAGGAGACAAGCATGCAGAATTAGTAGGAGGAAGCAGCACACAATAGAACGTAATGGAGAAGAATCGTAAACTCAGGTAACAACGACAACTAAAAAGTAAAGAGGCAGCAAAGTAACGAGATTTTTGAATGTCAGGAGTGGGGAAGAGAGATAACATCACATATCGGGCTTTTCAGACACAGAAAAGCTCATGAAAGAAAACGCCTTCCGTAATCAACTTCTGATGCCTGTCAAATAATCGTCACGGAGTAATGGCAGTAGTAGTATACGAGTAGTATGCCTAAAAATAGTTTTGATGTTTTTATTAATTTTTATGATTCTCTACACCACATGATATTTTTTCACACTGAGCTTGACTTTTTCTAACATTGTCAGTAGCATAAAAAACCTTTTTAAGAAAAACAAACATTATTAATTATAAAAAATTTGTTATAATAATGAATAATATATGTAATTTTTTACAGTTGTCATTAAATAATGCCAAATATCTATTGCGACTTATAAAATTATTAAACTAAATATAATTATTCCACTATGAAAATTAGAGACGCTGTTGTAATGAACCAATCTATTTTTCATTAAACTCAAAAAGATAATTAAAAGCAATTAGTTCTTATTGAAGTTTCTTCTAATTCCTTCAAATATGCCTGTACCTATTAATTAGCATACTATCTTTGTAGTAAAATTTGCCCTCCAGAAATACTACTACACTAAGCGTAATAACATTTATAGTTTTTTTCAAGATGCAGGTAAATATTTATATTTGTAATATTATTACATATACAGGGTTAGTCTTAAATACGTGTAAATATTTTCAGGGCCGGTATAGATCTCGATAAAAGAAACATATTTTCTCTTTACTGCTTTTCAAATAAATGCAAAATAACCGAGATATTTTACTTTGAAAAATTCCAAAAAAATTAGGGAAGCACTAAAATTTTGAGAACCACTGAATCTTTACTAGCTTTTCTTTCTTGTAAATTTAATCTACTACCTATGGTGTCATATCACCGTATTATCACGAAATTATGTTTTTTAACTAAAAAAAATTCAAAAAATTCCGAATTTAAAAAAAAATCGCGTTTCTGGGGTTGTTGTATCCCTACCTAAATTAATTAGATTATAATATTAGTTTTACGAAAGTTTTTATCTGTTTTAAGTTACGCCACTGTTAAAATTTGGTTGTGCATCATCAAAAGACGATATGCATCAAGTTTTTCCCACTATCAAGGGCTTCTAAAAATATTCATTACCCTTAAAAGCAATTAACCGTCGAACCAAACTCTTAGACAAACATTGTAACGTCTAGACTTTAGTTATCTTTTTCTTGAAGAATCGAAACCTTAATGACTTTAACTTTACTCTAAAAATATTAAAAAGTATAGTGTACGCCTCTGGCTATTGGGAAGTCGGAGACTGTATTTAAGGAACTAAAGGAGGACCCTCCGGACACACATACTCATTCGGCACTCATTCATTCACTTACTCAAGTTCACTCTCAATCACTCTTCCCAGACAGATGTAGCCTTAACAAACATACTCTATTTTTGACAGTCTCTTTTATTTTCGACGCATTCTTGACAGTTACATTCGGCAATTTCTATATTTACTTGTAAAACTAATTGTAAAAGTTTCCTAAAAATAAAGTACAAAGTATTTAAGAAAAAGTGTTATAAAAAAAGGCAGCAATCAGTAGAAGAATATCAACATTAAAAGAAGCAGTTTCATCCTCAACATAAGAAGAAATTTCAATATTGGCAGAGTTCTTAACAAGGTGGAAATATACCATCCCTAAAAATATTTGCACGTTTTTAAGACTCACCCTGTATAATCATTTTTATTATCAATATTATCTATAGACAATTATAAATAATTAAATATACCGGATGCGTCTCAAAAGCGGCACACCCCTATAACTTTTTTATTTTTTGAGATAAAAAAAACAACATTTGGTATGTTACAATATGACATAAATTAGGATTGTTTGACGTTTTAAATTGTATTCAGGTACATCCTGTTTCACCGGAAATGACTACAACTTTTGATTTTTAAATGACACCCTCGGTATTTTTTGCTTTATTCGATAGAAAATGATACTTTGGATAGAATGACATATCTTATGTCAACTTTTGATATATTTGCTTTAAAAAAACGTCGTATTTTAAATTTCAATCTAGAGTGTTATGGCTGTATTAAAAGCACTAATTTTTAATCAACGAGCCTTGCAAAAATATATTTGATCGTCTAATGTTTTTAGTGTCTTGTCCTGGCCGGTTAAAATCAAATCGTATTTTTAATCATATCTTAATTTTTTTGAAATGGAACGAGGAAATGGACTCATTAGCAAATTTGGAAAAACCATTTTTACGTATAATTTGGTACTACACACATTTGGTCAAATTGTCGTTATTAACCGCATGTTACAATTTCAAAGAAACCATATGCAAAAATGTCAGAAGTTGACATACGATATGTTATTCTATTCGGAGTGTTATTGGTCGCGTTCATCAGGACAAGTTGATCAGTGAGCAATATACCATCGATTGGTTGTCCTGCTGAACGTGCTTTTTAGATCAAAATCATAAGTAATGCATATTAAATTGTTTTCACCCATTTTTGGCACAAATCGAGGGGATTAGTCAACCAAGAACAATAAACAAAATGCTTTGTTTTCGTTTTCCAAAACATTTTGTGACATTTGGCGTATGTGACGGTTAATCCATCATGCATCGGTAGCGTAGCGTATTTTAAATCTGATGGAAAAAATGGCGACTGATCCCAGAGCGCTCACAACTAATCGGCGCGTTCAGCAGAAAATTAGTGATCGCTACGGTAGCGCTACGTCCTGATGAACGCGACCATTGTCTATAGAATAAAGTCAAAAAAATACCGAGGGAGCCTTTTAAAAACCAAAAGCTGTAGTCATTTCCGGTGAAACCGGAACTGACCGAAAACAATATTGAATACGTCGATTAGGTTGTAATCCTAATTTATGTTATATACTGACATACCAAATTTCGTTTTTTTATATGAAAAAAATAAAAAAGTTATAGGGGTGAGCCACTTTTGAGACGCACCGGTATAGTAAACTATCTCTAACTCGAACTTCTTTAAGTCGAAATATTCAATAAGCAATAATATAGGTAATTAAATGAAAAAATGTATTTCAATAATTTTTGCATTTTAATAATAATGTATAACTTCTTTATAGAACTTCAATTGGAAAAGTACTATCTACCCCGAAAAGAAGTTGCTGTATTTGAGCGGATTATACACAAAACTAAACACCAAATACACATTTTTCTACTACGTTCGACAATTCTTTTTTATATCCATGACCACCATAACAGAACTAAGCCTCTTGATAGACATCTGCATGCCAAACGACCTGACCAAGAAGATAGATGGAGTTATGTTCTTCATAGAGGAAACGGCCTTTGTCTTCAAGCTCATCTTGTTCATGTGGAATATCAATGAATTAAATGCCATAGAGAATATGCTGGAAGACTTCAATTCTTATAATTTAAAATTTTCAGACTTAGAAAACATAAAAGAGAATCTTAAAGAGATAACATACCTAAGGAAAACATACCGCACAAGTTGCTTTGTATGTTCTGCGTTTTATGCTGTGCCTCCGTTACTAAGAAAAGATGTGAAATATGCTTTGCCATATTCCACATACTTGCCATACGATATAACTAATAATTTTACCTATGTTCCGACTTTTATATACCAAGTAGGGTCAGTTCTAGTGTCAGCTCATTTAAACACTATGATCGATATGATCAATATTAAGCTGGTTACTTTGGGATCTTGTTTATTGCAAGTTCTGATGAATAAATTGAAGGATATTGGTATTAATTTGGATGAAGATGATTCTGTGAAGTACAGAGAATGTCTTATTTTGCATAATAAGATTTTGAGGTAGGCTTACTAATAAATCAAGCAAACAATGTACAGGGTATCCCATTTTAGTTGAAATCATACGGTGTATCTCCGTTACTAGTACAGAGAGGAGGATGCAGTTTGCACAAATCTATCCCACTTTTTTTATCAAACGGAAGTTGCAGTAAACAAAATTTTTATAACCTTCTTCGTTTCTGAGCTACAGGGTCCTTTTGCGATTTTGCAATTAGGGACACTCCTTGTATTTTTGTTATTGTGTAAGGTATCGGGAAGGTGAAAACTGTTTCTTGTAGAAGTTTTTACATCAAATACAGTGGCGTAGTCTAATTTTCTACAAAAAAACACCTGTATATAAACATACGAATCATATGATCTGACTTGCTATGAGCTTTTCAAAAATATGTAACTCTGTTATATTTATTTTCATTATTTACTGCAATATTTAGAAGACATAATTTTTTTATTAGTAAGCCGTGATAGATAATAAAAAAAAATTATTTGGGACTAAAATATTTGCTTTTAAGCTGTTACCACTGAATCTCTGAATATGTTTTTCTGTTTTTTTTATGACGAGATTTATTATAACGGGATAGGTTTGCAAATATCTAAAAGCTTGCCTGCTAGCATTTTCCAAGTTTTCGACAGTGTTGTAGAACACCAAACGTAGAAAAATCCAACTTTAAAAAAAAACAAATTCTAGATCTAGTTTTTATAAATTTTGTGCATGTTTTATTATTTATCTCGAAAACTATTCGATATTGGTATAGGGTAGTATAATAAAAAAATGAGATATGGAAGTAGTTTCGAAAAAATATAGGGGAAGGTGTCCTAAAATGACATACTTTTTATTTCAGACCTGTTTTTGCAGAAGCCATTCGAAATATCGAACTGGGAAAAAAGTTACATATTCCTTTGAATAATCTTTATTGATAAACTGAACGAAAATATTCCATCTCTATAAAAATCTTGTGAAAAATAAAATTAAGAAAACGTTACACTATGTCATTTTACAACAAGTATGTATGTAAAATGACACATGCATGAGGTTTAAAATGACATATGCTTATAACAAATGATAATAACAACATAACACAAAAATAAGGAAAAAGAAAGTAACTAAATAAAAAGTTAATCTTGGCAAACTTCACAAATGAACTTCTTTTGTTTCGGGGACACTCCGGCACATTCACAATGTGCCCAATTCTTGCATTTCATACAACTAATCCAGGCCTCCCTGGACCGCGAATTTCTAAACAAATCTTTGCAGTAAAAACAAGCTACATCATTCTCACTGTCCTCGGTTGCAAACGGATCTTCTTCATCAGTTTCTGTTTGTGTAATGGAACATGACTGACTTAAAATGTTCCTTTTGCATTGACGAACATTTCCCCGTATTTTCTTTTCTTCTTTCTTCTTCAGTTCTTCCAAATTAGGAGTAATTGTTAAAACTTCGGTTATTGTTTTCCTAGTCATCCTTTTTCTAGTGCCACTTGCTTTAGGCACTGGAGAAATTTCCTGCAGGGTAATTATTTTTTTTAAAGGTGGATTATTTTCCTCGTCTTCTCTAGCGTCGATTTTTTCATTGCTAATTTCATCTTGATCTTGTTGCATCGTTTCTTTCAGAACACCACTGTTTTCTATTTGATTACTGACTGATGTTTCTGGCCGATTAAATGTTTTTTCTTCTATGTTGCTTGGCTCCAGCAACCTATCTGTGGTCTCAGCTGCCTCGAAGAAATCGTCTGCGAAGATATTTGTGTTGAATAGACGAATGCCCGTTTTCAAAAATCCGCTTGTAGCGTTTCTTATCGTTGCTGCTTTTCCATAAGCAGAAGTGAACAGTTCGCCGATTTGATTCTGTGTAATTAATAAAATTAATAAAATGTCTTCAGAGGACCATAAAAACAGACATCGAGCGGCTGCATATGATGTGTGCAATGCGCAGGAAAGCACAACATAATTATTCCATTGTTTTTGGCAAATGTCAATGCGTTTAGTGATTTATGGCTCGAGTGCCCATCCAAAGGTAACAAAACTTTTGATTCGAGAGAAGCCTTAACAAAGTTCTGGAAATGCTTCAGCCACAAAACAAAGGTATCAGCTGTCATCCATCCAGTTTCGTGAAATAATCCAAAGGACCCTGGAGGTAAAGCATCTAGAAGCCCCTCCTTTGTATTTTTCCTGAGGAAAATCAGAGCTGGCGGCACAAAATTTTCTATACCATTCATGCAGCAGACACATGTTATATGTTGACCTCTCTCAGCGCTAGTTATCGACCCAACTTGTTTCTTTCCCGTTTTCGCAAAAATTTTTGGAGGCCTCTGCACTCTGGATAGACTACTTTCGACCATATTATAAATGCGGTCGACATCAATTTTCTCCTTTTCCAGTGTCATTTCAAGGATATTAAAAATTTTTTGTATTTGTGGCCTATTAAATGCCATAGCTCTAGCAGCAGACACAGCTTCAGGCTGCCGTAGGTATATTTCAGGATGTCGACTACGAAATCCTCTGAACCACTCTCGGCCAGCGCTGCTTCTTTCGTAAATCTATTTGGAATGTGATTTTTAGTAGCAAATTCAAACGCAAGTTTTTTTATATCTGTAGTAGTAATCTCAAATAATCTAGACTCTAGTAACAATATATGCTCAACAAAGTCTCTTTCTTCAGCCTCACTAAATGTGGTTGAAAATCGCCCCAAAACTTTTACACAACCTTTGGCTCGTTTGTTAACATCATTTGCTCTTCGCCTTAACGTGGCCTGAGGGACATTAAAGAGTTTGGCTGCTCTCAACCATCCCATTTGACCAGATTTAACAGCATTAATAGCATTTCGCATTGATTTTTCGTCCCAGGACTATCTGCTTGATGTCCTTTCCCGTTTACCCACCATAGTGTCACTAAATAAAAATAAAAAATGATACCTTTTAAATTCAAATTTATTTACGCAGTGTGGTTGTAAAATGGCATAGTGTGTCATTCTACATTCATGCATACCTATGTCATTTTACCCACAATAACACGTGGTCTCTGTTTTTACGTGATTTTTTTATCTCATCTAGAACGACAATTCTACGTATGTACATCTATAGTACAGACTTATAGTTACATTTTATTGTAATGTCACCTTAAAACAAACACTATTTGGTAATGAAAACACACTTGCAGCACAGCAGGTTAAAAGTTTGTATGCTAGTAAAAACAATTTTTTGAAGTTAACTGCTTCTTGGGATAACCGAAAACCAAACTGAGCGCCAACGTGAAGTTTGATTGCGTTTTGCTACATAAAACCGCAACTATATGCTAGATGGCACCAGTAGTTCCAAAATAATGGGCGGTATGTCATTTTAGGACACTTTCCCCTAATAATATACCTGGTGTTCAATTTAAAATAACAAAGATGTTACCACTTTTAGTATCAAGCTTTAATTTTTAGGACTTAATTTATTACAGTTGAGGGTTGGAACCTTTGGTGTTACACAGCAAAATAAAATTACACTAAATCACCACAATACACAAAAACACTTTTACTGTTACACTGGACGCGCGTTTCACTAACCACATTAGCATCACCAGCAGATGATTATAAACTAAAGTACAATCTACAAGTTGAGCGTTTATATACTCGCCCAGTAGGTACCGAGTGGGCGTGGCAAAATCTAGCCAACCGACTCAGAGCCCACTGAGCGTAACAGTTAATTTCCGCCACTAGAGTAGTAGGAACAAAGAACTTGAAGGAATTGGACCGTTGACTCTGTTCATACTATCTTTACATTTATTAATTCTGATGCTTTCGTATGCATATAATTGCCTGTAATTTGAGACTTATTATATGATTAACCATATATTTTCAAGTTTTTCTTAATTTTCTCTAAAACGGTATGAAAATTTGGAAAAGTATTAATGGGATTAACCATTTTAGAACAAGCAAAAATTTTTATGAAGAATGCATTTTCTCAAAATGTAAAAAAAGTTTTTCCTCTTGTAAAGAAAATCCGGGGATATACTGTATAATGGACAATTTACGTGACCAAGGGCAATAATTATAATATTAATTTGATCATGTGTCATTTCAGATTTGTGGAAAAAATTGAAAAACTTTACTGCTACATAACGTTTGCACAACTATCAGCTAGTGCAACAGTAATTTGTTTTAGTGCATTTGGTTTAGCAATAGTGAGTAATATTTTTTAAAAACTTATAGAATTATATTCTAAAAACATTATAAATAAATAAAATATAAAAATCTGAGTATCTAATTAAAAATTGTATTTCAGGTCCCAGTGGGTAGTGGAGAATTTGATTTATTCTTGATTTATTTGATCAACATGATCACACAGGTTGCCCTCTACTGCTGGGCAGGACATAACATGAGAGCACTGGTAATGTACAAAAAAAACAGTTCAAAAAAAAATAATATCTATTTTTTATGTTGAAAGAGCGAGGATTTAAGTACTGCTTGTTATATGTCAAAATGGTACAAGACCGACACAAAAACGAAGAAAATGATGATTTTGTTCATGGAAAGGACCAAAAGACCATTGACCTTGACGGCAGCTAAAATGTTTCCCATGACATTGACAACATTGACATCTGTAAGATGTATTTTACTTGTTATATAGGGTAAATCTTTAACCAAACTGTTTTAGGGTTGTAATATTTCGATCACATAAACGCGGCTATGAGGTTTATTACGTAAAAAAAAATATTGAAATTTTGTATTTTTCTAAAAATATTTTGTCATTTTTTTTAGTATTTAGTTAAAAAATATAATATATATATATATCTTGTTATTATAGTAATAGAGGTAGTTGATTACCTTTAGAGGAACAAAAAAAAACAGAAAAAAATGTTGGTTCTCAATTATCAATTTATGAAAAAAATAATTTTTTTCTTAAATTTCAAAGAGCACATATTTTACACTCCAGATCTACCAGTCCTGAAAACATTTGCAGTTATTTAAGATTCATCCTGTGTATATCAGCCAAAGAGTAAATAACACCTTATGTTTTTATTTTTAGATTTTGCGATCATCATATTCGTATTTTGCCGTACTTCAGAGAGTATATAGTGACCACTAAACCTACTACATACACAATAAGAAATGTAGCAAATATGTAATAAATAATAATATTTATAGGTTTAATTAATGCAGAAATTGAATAATTCACATTTTTCATAACAGTTTAGGGCACCTTCTTTAAATTCTTCTAAATAACCATGTAGTTTACCCATTTTATAAAATAACAGTATACAGCTTGTAATACTTAAGAGTTTTATTCAACACAAATACCTACCTACTAAATGTCTAATAGAGTTTTATTTTATTAAAGTTAAATTACATTGGACGCAAATTCGTATTATGCTAGAATTTTTATATTTCAATAAATTATTTTTTGTAGACCTCACAAAAGTATTAATTTTTGCGAAGTGGTTGACAATATAAGCCATAATTATTAATGATATTACATTGTAGGAATGTACATATTATTTACAACGTTTGAAATTGTTCAAAAAATTATTTGTGGCATTTGAAAAGAAATAGCATCTCTCCAAAAAAATCCTATATGAGTATTTCGCCACTGCACTGCAAGAAAATACTACTTGTCAGAAGTTACGTTTACAGTTATACAAATTTGTCTAACAAAGAAAAAATGCTTAACGTTTCGGAAAGTTTATCTCTTTCCGTCGTCGGAAGCAAAAAAAATAGAAAGAATAAAGAAAAAAACTATTTAAAATATTTAAATTCCACTATTCGAGAACATTTTACTTTTTTAAAACAGATACAGCAAAATAAAACACTAAATCACCACAATACATCAAAACACTTTTACTTTTACACTGGACGCGCGTTTCGCTAACCATGTTAGCATCATCAGCAGATGATTATAAACTGTGAAACTGATTGAGTTTATAATCATCTGCTGATGATGCTAACATGGTTAGCGAAACGCGCATCCAGTGTAAAAGAAAAGTGTTTTGGTGTATTGTGGTGACTTAGTGTTTTATTTTGCTGTGTAACACCAAAGGTTCCAACCCTTAACTGTAATAAAACAGATGCGTCTGCAAGAAACCGTTGACGTTCTGTTAAAATGACATTATCAAGACATTATATCAAGTTAAACTTCAAAATTAACAATTACTACCTGATAACAATTACTTAATAAGGTAAAATCAAAAAACCCCAAACTTTCTGTATGATTATTTTTAAATTTTACGTATGTTTATTTATATTATGTTCTTTAAAATCAAAGAAGCAATTACCATACATTACTAACATCTACAGATGCATGAGCAATACATTTATTTTTATTAGATTGAATTAAAAAATCCTTTTTTGTTTCTCTTAAGGGGGCTACAGACGTTCATGCGGGTGTACTTGTGCAAGTGTACTTGTATAAGAATTTTGAACGTGTGTAGGAACAAACTTGTACAAGTATTTCGACTTGTTCAAGTGGCATAGACTTGTACGAATTTTCTTCATGCCCCAGTGATTTGCGCAAGTATGCACGAACGTATGTATCAAACTTGCGCAAGCCTGAAGTTGATTCTAGTAGTTTTTTGCTTGGTTCTTATTTGTTTGTTACCAGAAGATAAAAATGGCTAGTGAACATGAAAAAGTATGCGGGAGGTATTGGTGGAGTTCATTAGTATATATAGAGAATCTCTTTGTTTATGGCAAGTAAAATCAAAAGACTATCATAATAAATACAAAAGAGAGGCTGCATGTAAAAGTTTAATTAAAAAATTGCAAGAAATTGATAAAACTGCAAACCGCGATTTGATTGTAAAAAAATAAACAGTTTAAGAACAAATATTTAGCAGGGTAAAACTTCAATTCGTTTAAAATATTAGTATGTGAATAAATATTCCTTTTTAGAAGGCAGTTTTTCCATCAAAATCGACGGGTTTTCTTTTTGTTTAAGCAGAATAACGAACATCGCAAGAGCTAGCGCGTCTTCTTCGTCCATTTTTACCTACTAAAACTAGACTAAAACTATTCAAGTGCGCTTGCATTGTGTGGAGTCAATGCGAACTTGTACAGGTACGTTTGCACAAGTACACTTGTCAAGTATGCATGAACGTCTGTAGCCGCCTTTAGAGGCTATCAAAATAACGACGGTTTCTTGTAGACGTGTCTGTTTTAAAAAAGTAAAGTGTTCTCGAATAGTTAAATTTAAATATTTTAAATAGTTTTTTTCTTTATTCTTCGTATTTTTTTTTGCTTCCGACAACGGAAAGAGATAAACTTTCCGAAACGTTAAGCATTTTTTCTTTGTTAGGAAAATTTGGTATTACTGTAAACATAACTTCTGACAAGTAGTATTTTCTTGCAGTGCAGTGGCGAAATACCCATATAGAATTTTTTTTGGAGAGATGGATCCGCCACATAGGAATAGACATTTTTTAAGAAAGAGCATGTTCTATTCGGAGTAAAAATGACTTTTTGTGCCTCGTCTGTAAAGTAAAACGTACAGCCTCGCCACAAAAAGTCTCAATTTTATTCCTAATAAAACAATATATATCATTATGAATATATCAAATTACTAAAAAAGGAGCATATGTATATGTAAATTTAAGTGACTATTGAAATGTGTATTAAAACTACGTCATATTACCAATTATCCCAATTATGACATTCAAATGTATCAAATAATGGAATGCCAACAAAGAATATAAAGCACACAACTGCACGTGTCACTTCATAGAGAATTGTTAATTTGGTAATTTGCCCTCAATATTCACAAAAGATATTTATCTAGTTCTGTCTATTTTATAATTGCTCTACAGACAATTAGTTTAAAATCATTATATTATATTTCGTTTAGTGCAGCAAATTCAAATTCTTACATGATGCAGGTAATTATTTATCTTTAAAAATAATTTTGTACAATCAAAAAACATATATGACAGCATGTAACTGCCATACTGAAAAAAAAAACAAATTCTAATGCTATAAACGAGCAATTAGCTAATTTGAACTGTTTCAGAATTTTAACTGGAGAAAAACACTTGAATTTGAAAGAAAACTTCTACACATTAGTGGATTATACACCAAAATGAACACAAGCTACATAACATTTTACTATGTTCGAAAAATCTTCTTCTTCTTGGTAACACTGTTAACAGAACTCTCCTTACTTATAGTTGTATTCACTACAAAAGATATCAGACACGTTATAGATGCAGTAATGTTACTTATCGAAGAATCAGCATTTATAGTTAAATTTATCTTTTTCTTGCTGAATTTTGATATACTAAGAGATATAGAACAAATGCTTCATGAATTTAACTCTTATAAACTAGAATCATCTGATATTAAGCAGATAAGCGAAAATTTGAAGCTAATGACATTTCTAAGGAAGGTATATCGTGGGAGTTGCTTGCTTGGATCAGTTTTTTACTCAGTTCCTCCATTACTGAATAAGCAAATCGTGTATGCCCTGCCTATAACTGCCTATTTGCCATACAACATCGATTCTGATTTCAAGTATATATCGACTTTTATTGGGGAAGTCATAGCTATTTTGGTATCAGCTCACTTGAATACTCTGGTTGATGTAATTAATGTGAGACTCGTTACTTTGGCTTCTTGTTTGTTGCAAGTTTTGATGAATAAATTTGAAATTATCGGCAGTAAGATGAAGAAGAATTATACTGAAGAATTCAGGAATTGTCTTGTTTTTCACAACAAGATATTAAGGTAATTTATGATTGAATTTTATTAGGGATGTGCAAACGATACATCATGTTTATCATTGATGTTCTACTTTATAATAATAATAAAATGTATTAATTTTTATTATTAACTGTATTCAAATTCAAAGTAATGTTTACAAATAAAAACAATATAATTACAGTTTCAGATCTTGCTTGGCGCAGTCTAGCTTAGTAGCTACTCAACTAAACCAAGAAGATCCGTAAACAAACCTAAGAAACTAAGCGAATTATAAAAATTAATATATTTTTTGTTTTTACTCTTGGCTTTAGGTCGTTGGGGTTGCAAAGATGTTTCTAGATTTTGTTCATTATTTTTTTATTTTATGACGACGTTTCGACAGTATATGTCTTTTTCAAGCCTCTTGAACGTAGATTCTTACAGGGACTCGATCGTACTTTGCAACCCCAACGACCTAAAGCCAAGAGTAAAAACAAAAAATATATAGTATACAGGTCAAAGAAACGAAACAAAAAAAAAATTAATATATCTGTTATTGAAATTGGTACTACTTCTGTAAACTATCAATGTACCAATTTGTTTTGATCGACGTTTTTGAAGATAGAGAACCATCTATTTATAAATATTTAGTACTTTTAAGTTATCGGTCCATTTTAAGGAAAGTTTGAAACAATATTTATGGATGGCACCAAATGACATTATTTATCTGATCAGTAAAATAGAATCCCACCAAAAACATAAAATGTAAAAAAATGCCAAATCTCAGAACACGGATCTTCTACTTCTTTTTACCACCAGAAGTTGTAAGATTTCATATAAAACCAAGTTAGCTATTTCAGTTAGTGTTTATGGAAGCAGCTGTTCAACAACTTTGTTATAAATTGATATCTATTCCATAACCATACGATCGAAAAAAAGGAGGCAAAGACGGCTGGTGAATGACAATGATAATTTTGGCGAGTTCAAGCCCTAGACTTACTAGTTATTACTTGGCCCGTACTCTTCTGTGTTTTTTAAGGGCACTTACTTTCAGTTGGCCTTAAGAAGAATGCAATTTATTTTCATATTGAGTAAAGATGATTTTTAAATAGTGTAGATTAAAATTCGAGAAAAAATATGTTTGAAATAGATGTATGTGCCTGGAAATGTTCTATGCTTCTCTTATCTTTCTATAATTAGTGTCAATTTATAATTAGGTGCTTATGGAAACACCGATTCAACAACCTGTCTATGGAGACACTAAAAGGGGCCCTACACGTAACGATTGGATCTGCATGCCAAATCGCACCGTTCATATGTTAAAACCAAATCGATAGCAATCCTTTGACACTACATGTTCAGATTTTATGAAAGATAATTTCGTCAGTCTATAATCTAGTACAGTTCCTGCCAAATATGTGGTATGTGCAGTTAAGTTAATTCAGCATGTTCAAAGATCGCAGATCTTATCTTTTCGATGAGATCTTTATCGAAATTGTCACTACACGTTGAGATTTGGATTGAATCGAAGGACTGTACAGTTCAAATCTCTCAGATATCGTTACGGGTAGGGCCCTTTTTACTAAAACAAGTAGAAGAGAAATAATTATCGGCACTACTGGATCTGTGGTTGATTCTTTGAAAACATCGTTAAAATATTAGCTTTTCAATAGAACACGTTTTTAGATGTTTAATGAGACTAATTTTACTTCTACATATATGTTGCAGTTTGTTAGGTCTCTTTCAAGAGCATCATAAACCTAACCGTCTTAAACTACAGTGTAAAGAAAATTATTTGCTATGGGGTGGGTTTAAACGATCAACAAGAATTGTTAAACACATCTTTTAGTGCCCCTGTTGTAAACTCCTTAAACCCAACCCCGCTCATAGCAAATCTTTTTTTTACACTGTTAGACGGTTGGTTTTAAGTAACTCTTGAAAAAGACATAACAAACCGAAACATATCTATAGATAAAATTACTCTCATTAAATTTAAACATCTGCGTGTTTTATCAAAATACTACAAATTAAAATAATTGACGTAGTTTTGCATGAGATCTCACAACTTTTGGTAGTAGAAGAACTGCCGTTACGAGACTTAGCATGCTTTACGTTTTATGTTTTAGATGATATGTTGTTTCCTTTTGTATGTTATTGTCCATCGATTTTGTATAATAATTAATGTATTAATATTAGGTTTATAGAGGAAATTGAAAAGTTTTACCGTTACATATCGTTTGCCCAACTAACTGCTAGTGCCACAGTGATTTGTTTTAGTGCATTTGGATTAGCTTCAGTATGTGTATAGTCGAAGAAAAATTGCGTAATAGTTGGCCAGGAATAAAGACCATTCTCATTATTATTATTATAAAAGTTTAATGTAAAAAATATCATCGATCGTCATTTCCAAGCCAAGTTGAAATGCTATTTATCTAGACGAGAGTTACTAGGGATATTATCTTATATACTACCTGTGATACCACATTATATCGTTATATATTTTGATGGTATTATATTAATCTTATAAATACAGGAATGTTATCAGATTTTAGATAAAAATATTCTCTAAATGGTAATTTACCAGACTGCATAATTTATATTTTAGGTCCCTTTTGGAAGTGGTGAATTTGGAATTTGTTTAATTTATTTGGTAAATATGATAACACAAGTTGCTCTTTACTGTTGGGTTGGACATAACATGCGTGCTTTGGTAATAATTCATTGACATTAAATATTTAATTTTTTCATTAACATTAAGTATATTGTAGAGTGAAAATGTGGGTAGAGCTTGCTATATGTCTCAATGGTATGAAACAGATATTGATACTAGAAAAATGATGATTGTCTTTATGGAAAGAGCTAAACGACCTGTTACTTTAACTGCAGCTAAAATGTTTCCAATGACAATGACAACTTTAACTTCAGTGGGTATATAGCATAGACAAACAAATAAAAAGAGACTGGCAAATTAAATGGCAAAGGGAGGGACAACGTTCCCGTAGCGCAACTCAGAACGCAAAATTTCGTTCTATTTATGTTGATCTGAGCATTGCGTCTATTGGGACCACTATCTCATTCTAATATAAAAAGAGAGAAAGAAGCAGCCATATTAAAACGTAATTTCTAAATAGAAATTAGAACAATCGTCTTTCGTTTTCGTCATCATGACAACCAAGATGACAACATCATGACAATTCGTCATGTTTGTTAATTTTTCTTTTGGTGATTTACCTTTTTTTCTAAACTTTCCATTTTATTGACTTATGAATATGGATAGGGAACAAATTCCTTTGTTCCATATAGGTATTTATATTTTGTTACTTATAATTTTAGGTTATACTATTTGTTATTTTATTTGCTGCAGGAGCCAGTATTATCTATTTTTTGGCACATTGGCTAAATTACCGCCGCGCCGGCGAGACAATTGCTATAGTTATAGCTCTAGCAATGAAAACACGCTGTAAGCTGTAAGGCACCAAAACAAAGAAAACACGATGTAAGCGTGTTTTCATTTCTTTGGTTTGTGTTTGGCTCGGGTTGAGTTGGTTTGGTATTGGTTGGTTTTGTATGGGTTGGTTAGGGCTTGGTCGGGTTGGTTTGGGTTGGTTTTGCTGTTTTTTTTCCTTTTTATCTGTTTGATTGATATTTTGGTTTAAACAAGAGTGAAACAAAAGCAACCAAAACACCCTTAAGACTCTCTTGTTTCACTCTGTTGTTGTTGTTTTTTTAGTTTTCCCATTCACACATTACCAACACATTTTTATTATTAAAAATAGCTATTTTTTTCAAAATAAAAATAAAAAACAGAAAAAGAAAATTCAGTGGAACTGGCAACATTGCTTTTCCTTTTGTCGCTGCCATGTTAAATCAAGTGTTAAAATTCTCCATAACGTCAAATACGTATCAAAAAGTACTAAAATTAAATTAAAATATTTTAAAATTCTGTGCATAATCTCCATTTATTTTTATTTAAAACTGCTACTAAAAATGCTTACTTTTTGATAAAAAAAAAGAAACTTGTAAAAATCGTGTGTCAGGATAGTTCACCGGACCCAGTAAGTAGTTATATTTATCATCTAATTAAGAAAAAAGTAGAAGTAGTAGTGTCAAAAATATTTCGAACCTCTCTTAACATAACAAATTAATACAATTAATTTTTTTTTAATTTTTTGGGTAGGTAGTTTATAGCTGGTTTATAGCAACCAGAAACTTAATATACCTATTTTACTTTTGTTTTAGGATTAAAACTGGACTTGAAAATGGTTCAGGATCATGATTCTCGTAAAGTCTTGTTATGTTATTAGGCAGTTTTGTTATTAAATTAGGCAGTTTTTTCGAAAATGAGATTTTTAATGCCCTAAAAATTGGCCGATCGTTTCCTGCATCAGTCAGTTCTTCTGCATTTAAAATTCGGAAGTGGGTTGAATAAACACTGTTATTTTTTGTTATTATATTATAAAAATTTATCATATTATATATCATTATATCATAATAATGGCTAATTTAAATTTTCCTCCACCCAGAATGTGCGGCAATGTCTTACGATACGTTTTATACCTATCTCTTTCTTTTTCATATCAAGCACACAATAAAGAAAGATAACAATAAAGACGTACGTCCCATCATGGTCCTGCTAATTGGTTTCAAAATTGTTATTCTGAGTTGCGCTACGGGAACGCGATCCCACTCTTTACCATGAGATTTGTCAGTCTCTTTTTATTTGTTTGTCTATGGTATATAGGTTAAATTTCGTTAATGGTTTTCGGTACCCTTTTTTATGTTTTGCCTATATTTTCGTTATTACGGAACACGATTTCTGAAATATATCTGTCATTATTTTCCCCAAATTAACTAGAGCAAAAATGACATTTGCTCATTTGTCAAATAGTCATAAAAGCTCATTTGTGAAGTATTTTTCAACAACCTCCATTGAAAAGATAAATCAAGCATAAAATAAAAATTCTATAAGAATATTGTAATTAAAAAACACAATATTTGACAGTTCTACTTTATTATTAAGTTGTTCCGAATTTTAACGATATTTTTAAGGAACCATTTCTTAGCTGGTTAACCACCTAGTTTTAAACGGAATAAAGTCATAATAGTTTTCTGGATAATTTGAAACTTCATTTTCTTTATAAACTACTTTCCTTAAAAGTAAATACCTAGATCTAAAAAAATCCACACATTGATTTTTTTAAATACCAGTTTATAATCTACAGAGACAAATATAAGGGTGGTATTTTATTTGAGTGCATTTTTTTAGTGACAGTGGTGTTTAACTTAATACTTTGATAATATTATTTTTGGTATTAAAAATAATTCATGTTTCTTTTAGATTTTACGATCTTCATACTCATATTTTGCATTACTTCAACAAGTATATAGTGAGAAATAATAAATAAAAAACATTATAAATAGCGTATAATGATAAAATTATTATATTGAATTAAAGTATGGCTTAAATTAATATGAATAGATTGCCTATGCTTTGCATAAATATGTGTTTTGTAGTTTTATTTTTAATGTCTTTTTGATGGAAATGAGGTGAACAATATACATATCTAATATCACATTTTAATTTCATTGGAGAGATTGTTTAGTATGCTATCCTACTGGAAGATGTGCTCCTTGTGGATGAAATCCATTCTCATCAGCAGTATACACCAGTCTGATTATTTGTCCATCGGGTGCTGTATACTGATATTGGCCTAAAATTAATTATTTATTATTGAATAAAAAATGTAACAATGGCAATATAAAATTTGTATTTGTCATATCTTTTCAAATAGTAATAAGTAGTAAATAGTTCTAATAGTTCTAAGAACGTGTTTTTACAAGTCAAGTGAAATGATTATGTCAAAGGAATTCAACTGACTTGAAAGCATATTCCTAGTGTTTCATATTAAAAAACTTCTCCTAGTTGATTCAAAATAGCGACAGTGCGTAAGGCCGTACTTCAAACTGCTAAAATGTTGGCAATATAATTGACAGAAAGCTTACTGCGTAAAAAACTAAACATAACGGAAGATGGATTAGCCGTAGATCGAACAATAACTTCTATTATGCCGCTAATAATTTAATGTCTACTTAAGCTACAGTCTACAATTAGGAAATTTTAGAGATTACGAAAAAAATTAAGAGTGGATGCAAACCAATTTAATCTTTAAACCGATTCCAGACATCCTGGACTGTTGTTCGAAATGTACCCATGGTATTGGAGACATAACGTGGAATTCGGCCATCCCCAATTAAAGCCACAATACGAGCAACATCCGTTACAGATAATGGCATTTTTTAATTTGACAACCGTTTTTCTCATATTGCAAATACTCATAAAACCGTTTTCGCCTATGCCGCCTTGATTATTTACACATAAAACTCTCTGCCTTTTCCGAGATGAATTCTGAATTTTTCCGAGACGTTCGTTTTAAAACAGCATATCTCCAATACAAAAAGAGATAATGTGGTGATTAAAAAAATAAAATGTTCACAAAGGTTGAGGCTACATTGTGATTTAATTTAGCAATAGCTACTACCGCAGCTACACCCTACAGGGTGTTACAAAGTTCGGGCAAAAAACTTCGTCTTATTGTTGTGCCCTGTATATGCTCAAAATAAATTCGGAATAAAAAATTCTGACGTAGCATCCGTTAAAAAGGAATTAATTTACAATTTAAAAGAAAAATCATCAAAATCTAATGAGTGGTTCGCGAGAAATCCAACTTTGAAATTGCGTCTAGTTTTTAGTGGCCGGTTTTTTTTGCCGGTGAGTTTATGTACTTTTCCTCAATCTGGAACTGGGAACTGGAACATTTGGCAGAGTAAAGTTTTTTTAATTATATCAGGAGGAAAAATGTCTGGATTTTCGTTATTAAAAGTTAGTTTAGAAATTAGAAATACATATTCGAGAATGTTGGTAGCCGAGCTGACGAATGCTCTTAATAAAGCGGATTTTTGCGATGTAATGCAACTTTTCTAGACGTCTAGCTTAAAAAGTTCCTGTATTTTTTCCAAAAAGAGTTGAAAACTTTTTAAAATGTTTTTGATATTATAATAATAGTGTTATAGTGTGTTTTGTTTTATTTGTTTTTGTCAAATAAAAATGACAAATATTTTTTTTTAAATTAATTTAATTTTGGTTTGTTAAAAAAAAACGAAATATTCTAAATTGTTTTTTTTAAAGCTATATGTAAGCTAACTTGATATTTTATTACAAGTGAACAGATGCCTCCCAAAAGTGAATTTTAGGAAATGGACATGTTCGAGACCATGTCCTAAACTGAAACTTACCTTTGAAAGGCACACCTGCTATAAAATAACAATTATTTAGCTTACATATAGTTTTTAAAAAAATCATTTAAAATATATTTCTCAATACTGAGTGAAATTAATACTCAGATATGAGTACTAATCAGTTAAGTGTAACACAAATTTAAGTAAAAGTCACTCAATAAAAAGTTCTTGAACTCAACAGTTAGTGAGTTCACTCATTCAAAGTGAATAAATTATCAAAATCGATCAAAATCCTACTCAAGGTGAACCATAATGAGTAAGAAAGGAGTCTTTCGTCTAATCTCGATTGAGTGAAAACACTCAGTGTTTTCACTCTGAGAATTGAAGATTCACTCAGTTCTGTAGAGTGGAAATTTCACTCAATCGGGTGTGGACAGAAATTGAGAAAGTATTAAGTGAAATCTGAGTGAAATTTCACTTATTTTTTTACAGTGTAAGACTGTCATATTATATTAATAGGAAATGGATTCCAGTGACTTGACTCGTGTAAGCGCATCTTCAATAATATATAAATCAATTTTGACACATTCACCTGCATATAACAATCGAATTTAATACATAATCAAAATATAATCACTTTCATTTCTATGCCTCTAGCTATTACATGAGCGTACTTTTAAAATATCGAAGGGGATATAATGTCACTTGTTTGTTTGTTTATCAGTTATCTAATAAGTATCATCACTTTCTCGCTTATTTAATTAGTAAGTCCAGACCTTACTTTATGTAACTATTTTGCTGCTATTATACATACAGGGTGTCCCAATATTCCGTGGACATAAATCTACTTCGTATTTTTGAAAACAAAATAGGTTCATTAGACACAATTTATTTCTATACAAAAGTACTTCGTTTGTCTGCTAGAGTGCATCAAACTTTAAAAAGATAAACACATTTTTTCAGATATTTTAAGAGCCGTTCGTTATTCGGATTTGAATGAGATTTTGGGTGTCTATGTTTTGCTAAGTGCTTTAACATTTGACTTTTATAAATATCAAGAAAAAGTACGGGAGGGTGAAAACTACCCTCACCCCTACATAAGTTTTAGTATAAAAATATAAATTATAAATATTTTCCCACTCCACCGATGACAGATTTTCTTTTCGTAAAATGGTCGCACTAGTATTTACTACACTTCTCGTCTCTTGGAAAAAAACGACCAGCAAACCTACAAAATATACAGGGAATTCCCATATTCCGTAAAAATAGAACAAATACGTGTTTTTTATAATCAAAATAAGTTAATTGCACATAATTTATCTTTATAGAGGGCATCAGTCATATATAAACCTGAACGCTAATTAATTTAAAATGTAATATTTATGTTGTTAAGCTTTTTATGAAGCTTATTGTCAAATATCATTTGTGATACAAACATAAATTCCATATTTTTGACAACTAGATTATTAGGGCATAATATATTTTATACACCTCCATAGCTCGATGTGAGAAAACCGATTTTTGTCAGCTTTGAAAAAATATTTTTCCCTTAAACAGTATGTGCTGCGGCGTTTTCTTACAAGAGACAAAATATATAGTAAATGCTAGAAGGACCATTTTACGAAAAAAAACATCAGTCGTCTGTGGAGTTGGTTTTCACCACGTACTTTTTCTTGATTTTTGTGAAACTCAAATGTTAAAGCAAAACAGAGACTTAGCAAAACATAGACACCTAAAATCTCATTCAAACCGGAATGAAGGTCTTTAAAATACCTAACTGAAAAAATGTGTTTATTTTTTAAAAAGTTTGATGCCCTCTAATTACGGGTAAAGGAAGCACTTTTGTATAGAGGTAAATTGCATCCAATGAACTTATTTTTATTCCAAAAGTGCGTAGTAGCTCTATCTTCACGGAATATGGGGATGCCCTGTATAAAAAAGATTTTAAATATATTGTTGAATAATAGTAATTTTTAGATTATTGTATGTAATAAAAATACTAAATATAAAAGTAAAAGCAAATTTATACAAAATATTTAAAAAAAAATGTTAATACATATTACCTTCTTTAACTTGATATTTTCCTTCCTTCAAATACCCTTGTTCCTCAGCGAATATTTGATTTTCCGTTTGAAAAGCGTATACATATGATCCGTCTGGATTGATATCAAAATACTGTCTGGTTATTGCGGCTCTAGATTCATCCAAAGGCCGGCACATTGTATAGGAAAGTGCACAGAAAAATAAAGTTATCTGAAAAATGCATTTGAAAAGTAAATTATCAATAAATACGTTTGAGGAGCAGACTTTCTAGATGCATTTTATCCATTTTTTTGAATTTTGGCAAACAGAGAAAAACTGCAACGTTTTTTGCAAGAAACTTACCGAAAAACTAACATACTTGAAAAATTGATAAAAAATTATAAAAATAGTACACATACCAGCGCTTTCAGATGGAGCGGACCGTCCGCGATGGAGCGTCCTCGCCTTCGAGCAAGTGCCATGAGTATATATGATTCAATTTCACATAGTCGCGTATGCTCCGTCCGACGACTATCTTGAAAAAACACGACGGACGGTCCATCTGAAAGCGCTGTAGAGGGTGAGTCAACGATAGAGTAAAGTCCATTATCTCATTTGTTTCGAGGTTTACAGAAAAAAATTAAATATAAAAGTTGTAGGGAAGGTTAAGATACACATTTTAAAATTATTATAGAGTATACAAGGTGCTCTAAAAAAGTGTGGCGGATATAACATATGTTTTTTTAAATGCAACACACTATTTTTTATTTTATTTTTAGATTCTGCGTAAAATTCCATAACTTTTTTATAGATAATGTTATATACGTAAAATTAATAGTTTTTGTAATATTTCAATTTGTTTAAACAAATGTTAAATTTGAGTGTGATAAAAAATTGTCAGTGGTGCCATTGTTGCTGAAGTTCGAGTACCAAAATTTGGTAGGAGAGTTTTATAGAGATGAAAAAAAATATATATATAAAGATATTTTAATTAAATGATACAAGGTGTTCAATATATATTTATGAATTTCAACTACTTAAAATTAAAAAATCTCATTTTTTAAATGGGACACCCTATATATTATTATTTTTTCTGATAGATTTTACAAAACTCTTCAACTTTTATTAAGTATGTCATATACCTGTTTTTAATAGTTTGCGATTTATTCCAATTTTTTCTATTTTTACCCATATTTTTATTACAATTACCCTATAAAATCATAGTTGCCATGACAAAACATGAACAATTTCATTATTTTAAGTAGTATTATTCAAAAAATAGAGAAGTTGTGAGTTTGTGTAGTACAAAAAAAATCAAAATCTCCATCTGGCGATGACAAACAAACCGCAGTATGTTCACAGCACACAAGAACGCATACTTCTGTTTGTTTGTCTACTGGCAATTAACCTACAGCACATAGAAAGTCTAAGGACTTTTCACCATTTAATTCAGTTGGGATAAAATGTATTTAAAACGTTGTTTCTGGCGCCATATTGTAACTCTGTGTGATGATTAAAATAATTTTTATTATCTGCTGATTAAAATCATCAATCAGTTTTCTAATCATCTGCTGTTGATGCTAACATGGTTAGGGCAACGCGCGTCTAAGTGTTTTGGTGTATTGTGGTAATTTAGTGTTTTATTTTGCTGTGTAACACCAAAGGTTGCAACTGTAATCTGTATATGTAGTTTGCAATGTTATCTTTAGTTGCAAATCTTAAAAAATGGACAAAATGCATTTAGTCTGATCCTCGTTTATTTTCATAATGCATAATATTTATGTTAAATTAATGTTTGAAGATAAAACTCTATTAACTATACTGGATGTAAATGAATTATTTGCAAGGATCCTTCATTTCTTGTTATAGTATAAAATTAAAATTTTTAATATACCTACCAGGTGTTTTCGAAAATTGTCTCACTACTTTACCCTTTTTTTTATAAAAAACGAGATTTGGTGTTCAATTGTTTTTGGTCACTTCCTGTTTCACCGGAAATTCTAAATAAAATGGCAACTTCTGGCATTCTCGCTTAAAAAGCCAATTTTGAATTTCAAACTAAAGTGCCACGACAATAAAGGCAACGACAATTTGACTCTGAAAACCCGTATGTGATATCAAATTATTCATAAAAAAGCTTTTTCCAAATATGCTAATAAGCCACCCTCGTGCCATTTAAAAAAAAATAAGTTATATTATGATTAAAAATACGATTTGGGCATCTTTTTACCGACCAGGAAAAGATAAGAAAAACATTAGACGATCAAATCAATTTTTAGAAGGCTCCTTGATGAAAAATTAGGGGTTTTATCATTTACCAGATGTTATGTCATTCTAGATTGCAATTTAAAATACTAGTTTTTTAAACAATAATATCACAAGTTGACATATGATATATCATTTTCTATCAAATAAAGTAAAGAAATATCGAAGGTACTGTTAAAAATTAAAATTTGTAGTAATTTGAAATAGGAAGGTGAAAGAGGAAGTGCCCGAAACTAATTGAATACGTCAATCAATCCTGACTTATAGTCATGTATTAACATACCAAATCTCGTTTTTGAGCCACTTTTGAAAAACACCCGGTATTCTCAAGTCCCAAAATAAGTATTTATTGGTTATTACATACAAAATACAGAAATTATCATAGAAATTTGCTTTTAATTTTCAATGACTTTAACTTGTTTCATTGACATTTACCATAGATATCACAAATTATTATAAATTAAATAATTAAAATTATCGTACATAGGTACTTCTAAATTAAAATAAATCCTTCATAATAGCATTGAACAAAAACGTGTTTATTTTAGAGAAATAACTATCAAATTATAACAAAATATATAAATTATTTATAAAATATCTAGACATAAATACATACCATAAAGACTTTCATCGTGCTTTAGAGATGGCACAGCAGGTAAAAGTTCACGCACTACTGAAAGATGTAACCATCAAAAAACTTATCTTATATAATTTATTCTAAGTGGTCCATTACTATAGTACGATGTTTTGAAATAATTTTGTGAATGGTTTGTATGATTTATAAAAAATATATTCAATATTTTTAACACTGTTTAGAACCTTGTCATTAAGGTTGCCTTTTTGTGTAATGTGATATTAGAACTAAATATTATGATAAAATTATACAATATACTACTAATGGCAAAAGAATAGATAAATAGTGATTTTGCGTAAATGTCAGCATATTGAGAAATTTTGTTTTGAATTAAGCAATAGATTACTTTGTTTTAAAATCTTCTTCTTTATGAAGAGAAGAGTAAAGAAGTATCATAAAAATACAGTCCCATCAAAAACATCATGTAAGAAATGTAAAAAATGAAGAATGCCAAGTCTCGCAATACAATTCTTCCGCTATAAAAAGTTGTTAGATCTCATGTAAAACCAAGTCAGTTGGTTTTATTTAGTTTTTTTTAAGCACCTATTCAACAGTTTCTTTACAATATTTTAGACATCTTTATTTCTGTAATAATTATAATGACTTGGCAATTGGACGATATGATATTCTATGCCAATTAAAAAACTCTATTCTTAAGGGCACTGTTTAGATTTACTTAGTAATCGAAATGGTAGGTTATTCTTTCTTTTTAATTATGGTGTAGGTGCAATTGCCAAGTCATTATAATTATTAGAGACATTAAGATGTCTAGTATTGATACTAACAATTTGTAACAAAATTATTGGATAGGTGCTTAAAGCGAAACTATATGAAATAAACTGACTTGGTTTTACGTTAGAGCTCACAATTTTTTATAGTGGAAAAATTGTTACGAGACTTGGCATTTTTTACATTCTATGTTTTTGATGGGATCTCATTTCTTTTTGTAGGTTATTCTCCTATTCTTTTCTCGGGTAATCGATCATTCAAAATAATATTAAAGAAGTTTGTCTAGGCAATCATTCATAAAACAATAATAAGATCTTTAGTAACATTTGTGCGGAAATCTACACGATATGGCAACCACTTATAATAGGCAACTGAGTGGACAACTTCAGGGTTAACTGTGTCCAACTTTTTCACAAGTAAATGCCTCTTAGTAGAAAAGCTCAGTAGTGTAGATCAAATTTTGGTTTAAGGGCGTGAAAATTAGGAAATAAAAAAATTAAACTAAAAGAACAAAATATACATATATAAAAGGAAAGTACTTACAAATAATAGAAAAACAACTAAACTAAATTAAGTGTGGGAGACCTAGATGTCGAGGTGGCTGGATGACACTACGTCTGTAAACAAGCAGAAAAACAATACCTCTTAGCAACCAATTTTACATTAATAAAGCTTATAATATTTAATGGACACTATTCATGTTAATTAGTTTAGTTTCGAGATAGGTTTGTTCGTTAGTCCAAACATTATCTGATAAATGAAACAAAAGAACCATACAAGAATAGATAATTCCTAGAAAGTAGAAAATATAAACTATAATATAATACATACATATGAATATGCATATAAAAATATACACACATACAAATATACATAAACGCAGAGACAAAATCAGAGGCAATGGATATACTATAGCTAGGGTGAAGTAATTTTGTGTGCACACCGTACGAAGGGATGATCAACATACGAGGTCAACGCGCGACGTACTAATCATAGATACTAATCTTCTACCACCAGCGCTAATTACCAGGAACGCGCAATGAGACCAAGGGAAGTCAACGAGCGAGGTCTCTGTTACAAGATAATGAGCTATAGACCTAAAATCGTACTAAAAGGCCGAGACACTGAAGGGACGTGTACGCGCGACAGTGCTGTATATCTTATGCTTTACTTACATCTCTGGTAAGTAAAAGAGTAGCCTTTAAATATTAGGTACATATCACCTTCTTCCATCAGTTCAAGACTGATTGTTACTTTGATTATCTTTTGCTTTTATTCAAATGAGTTTATTAATTAAATACTTTTAAAATACGTAAAGCTCTGCAAATAAAATAGTTCAAGACAATAAACAATATACAGTTTTAAAAGAATACGAATATAAATTAAAAAATTGAAATAAATTTGACTTCTTATTTCAACACAAGAACACCTTCGACTAACACAGGATACAGTTGCTTTGGAAATGAGAGAGGACAGTTCCTTCGGGAGTTAGAGTCATCGAGATACTATAAAGCTCTGGGAATCTCCCGCCGTAAACGACCCTAAAGGGTCACCAGGCAGCGTAAATACACGAATTTGTCTTGTTCTTAGGTTTTTTACTGAATTATTATTTAATTATTGTTTAAAATGTTATTTGAAAAATAACTGACTCTTACAGTAGTTTTAGGACTTAGATTTTAGATTAGTTTACACCTCAACGGTCAGTGATATATTATCTGACCGAAATTACAACATACAAATAAATATTAGGACACCCTGTATAGCCGAGATCTTATCTGGGCGACTTCACATAGAAAGATGGTAAAACATAGAACAATGTAAACAAAACATTTTATACTTTTATTTATAAAAAATATTATATACAGTAGAATTTAATAATATATATTTTTTAAAATCAAATATTTATTTTAATTAATTAAACACTAAAAATTAGCTCAACATCGTAAAAACATAATAAACAAATATACATTAATTATTGAATTTTACAATTAAAGTGACATTACAATTGTAATTTACAATTTTGCAAAGAATACAAATTTGAATTTTTATAATATTTTTTTTGGGGAAATTATATTAATATTTATTGTAAATATAAATGATTTTTACGTTATATTAAAACATAATGGTAGATAACAACAAGGAAATAAAGCTTTAATTCATTACGACTTCAATTCCAAGGACTGATAGTAATCTGAAATGATTTGCCACGCTTTTGGTGCCATGAATCCTTCTGGTGGCTGTTCTCCAGTTCTTGCAAACTCTAAAAGTTAAAAAAAAAGATATTAAATGTAATGATTATACTCTAGTGGAAAATTCACCAGTCAAATGAATCAATTTTCAAAATTGGGTGATATTTTTTGTATAAAATTTGACTGTGGTAAAAAAGAATTAGACTGCAATTGAATTAGATTGCAGTTATTGGTCGACGACACACTGAATCTGTCGCAAGTATTCACCGTTTAAAAGAATGTCTCATATCTTTTTAGAGAGCTTGAATTGCCATCCTTGGGATTCGTTGGATAGATGGATATAGCGATTATACCGTTGATTGGTAATACGTCTTCGGCAGCTCCTAGGTCTATTATTCAGTGAATTATTCTGGAGATAGCAATTACATTTTTGTGACAGACCACTTTGCCAAACATCAACTCTATCAGCTACCTATCTTTAAGAACCTACGACCCGACGTTCTTCGGAGGACCACACAGTCAATCTCACTTATGACGAATTATTTTCACAGTCTCAATCGTAAAATTCAACTGGCTTATCCATAAGAATAATTACACTGAAAAGGCTATATCGGATATTCTTGAAGGAGGAAACATTTTTTACAACAAATTATATGCAATGAGACAGTGAGCTATCGTGGATATGAACACACATTCCTAATGTAGTTTACAATTCGCTTCCAATTTAGAATAAATATAATTAATATACATCTCTTAGAGAGTCTTAAATAAGTACAAATATTTTCAGGGCTGGTAGATCTCGATAAAAGAAACACTTGTTTTCTTTTTATCGTTTTTCAAATAACCCCAAAATAAGCCGAGTTATTTTACTTACTAAAAATAAAAAAATATGTATTTTATGCCCATATTTTGAGAACCACTGTTTTTTTTTTTGGGTTTTCTTTTTTGTAAACATAATCTACTACCGATGTTGCCATAATATTAAGATATTATATTTTTTAATTAAAAATTTAAAAAATCCATTTTTTTTTCGAGAAATACCAAATTTAAAAAAGAATCGTGAAAGAAACCTTATAGACGTGTTTCTGGGGTCGAAATATACCACCCCTAAAATATTTGTACTAATTTAAGAACATTTTTAGAGCCCCCACAAACGCACAGTTATTTATTTTTATTTTTATTATTAAACACAGGCAGACTGTGCAGGCCAGTCTGCGCACTTTAACCTGTATTACAGCCTGTCGCACACACACCCAATTTTATAGTACAGTTTTATCTATAATGAACTGAGTTACGGAATCACTTCGGCACATTTTTTCTCAGTAAAAATGGCCTCCCGAAATACACATCTGTCTCGGATTTTATTCGCTTATGCAATAAGTAAAAAAGCAGAAAAACAACGGTTACTTAAAGGTAATAAATATTTCAATGTTAATTTGCTTGCTGATTTAACAATTGAAAAACAGGATTGATTTAACTACCTAAGAATGAACGAAGAAACTCCCTTAGAACTAAGTACTGAAATTGAGGTCTGGAATTTGGAATTGGGCTGGATGAGATGCGAGTGTCTTAGAGTTGCTAAACTGGTTAGTTTTGATGCTTATATGTCCGTGGGTGCTCCGCACCCACTAATTTTCTCTCGTGGGTGCTTGAGCACCCGAGTAGCCACGCAGTCGGCGCCCCTGGTCCCATCAAAAACATCATGTAAGAAATTAAATGTAAAAAATGAAGAATGCCAAGTCTCGCAATACAATTCTTCCGCTATAAAAAGTTGTTAGATCTCATGTAAAACCAAGTCCAGTTTGTTTTATTTAGTTTCTTTTTAAGCACCTATTCAACAGTTTTTTTACAATATTTTAGACATCTTTATTTCTGTAATAATTATAATGACTTTGCAATTGGACAATATGATATTCTCTGCTAATTAAAAAACTTTATTCTTAAGGGCACTGTTTAGATTTACTTAGTAATCGAAATGGTAGATTATTCTTTCTTTTTAGTTATGGTGTAGGTGCAATTGCCAAGTCATTATAATTATTAGAGACATTAAGATGTCTAGTATTGATACTAACAATTTGTAACAAAATTATTGGATAGGTGCTTAAAGCGAAACTATATGAAATAAACTGACTTGGTTTTACGATCTCACAACTTTTTGTAGTGGAAAAATTGTTACGAGACTTGGCATGTTTTACATTCTATGTTTTTGATGGGATCTCATTTCTTTTTGTAGGTTATTCTCCTACTCTTTTCTCGGGTAATATATCATTCAAAATAATATTAAAGAAGTTTGTTTATGCAATCATTCATAAAACAATAATAAGATCCTTAGCAACCTTTGTGCGGAACTCCACACGATATGGCAACCACTTATAAAAGGCAACTCAGTGGACAACTTCATGGTTAACTCTGTGCCTAACTTTTTCACAGGTGAATGCCTCGCTCTAGTATAAAAGCTTAGTAGTTTAGATTACTTTAAGTTTTCTTAACTAAACAGTATATTAGTTTACACCTGATAACAGTCAGTGATATATCTGACCGAAATTACAACATTCAAATAAATATTAGGACACCCTGTATCGCCGAGATCTTATCTGGGCGACTTGACATAGAAAGTAACAATGTAAACAAAACATTTTATACTTTTATTTATAAAAAAATATTATATACAGTATAAATTTAATAATATATATTTTTAATATTTTAAATCAAATATTTACTCTGTATAATTAAACACTAAAAATTAGCTTAACATTGCAACAACATAATAAACAAAAATAGATTAATTATTGAATTTTACAATTAATTAAAGTGACATTACAATTATAATTTACAATTTTGCAAAGAACAAAAATTTGAATTTTTATAGTATTTTTTTGGGAAATTATATTAATATTTATTGTAAACATAAATGATTTTTACTTTATATAAAAACATAATGGTAGATAACAACAAGAAAACGGAGCTTCAATACATTATGATTTCAATTCCAAAGACTGATAGTAATCTGAAATGATTTGCCACGCTTTTGGTGCCATGAATCCTTCTGGTGGCTGTTCTCCAGTTCTTGCAAACTCTAAAAGTTAAAAAAAAAAGATATTAAATGTAATGATTAAACTCTAGTGGAAAATCCACCAGTCAAATGAATCAATTTTCAAAATTGAGTGATATACAAAATATATCGTGTGTCGTCGATCAATAAGTGCAATACTGCAATCGAATTCAATTGCAGTCGAATTCTTTTTTACCACAGTCAAATTTTATACACACAATAAAATTTAAATATATATGAAAAATAGTTTGCTGTAAAACTACTTGGAATGTTTCTTATTGCTAAAGTTTTAGAATAATATTTTATTAAGGCTTGCCCGAAGTTTTCATCTGGTAACCCTGTTAGATGGATATAGCGATTATACAGTTGATTGGTAATACGTCTTTGACTGCTCCAGGTCTATTACTCAAGGAATTATTCTGGAGATAGCAATTAAATTTTTGAGACAGACCACTTTGTCAAACATCAACTCTATCACCTACGTATCTTTAAGAACCTACGACGTCCTTCGGAGAACCACACGGTCAATCTGACTTATGACGAATCATTGTCACACTCTCAATCGTAAAATTTGACTGGCTTGGCCATAAGAATAATTACACTGAGAAGGCTATATCGGATATTCTTGCAGGAAGTTATATTTCTCCGAACGAAGAGCGTGTTTTAAAAATAAAACTTTATTGAGAAGGTAGCTAACACGTTACTAACAGTTAACACATGATCGTGAACAAGATTGATTCTATATAAGAATTGCAAGCTTTTATATATAATTTATTGTTTACATAAGCATAAAACTATTCTAGAATATGGGGTGGCTTCGTTGGCGGCTTCCGTTCATGGGATGCCCATAACTAGGATGATTCACAATGATAAACATTGAAAAACAAGCCCCGAAAAATTGATTTCTCAGAAAAATTATTTCATAAAACAAGGTGATGCCAAACTTTAGAACCTATGTGTATTAATTCAAATACATCACTTACTTCTCATTCTAGTTCCCGAAATAAAATCAAACTCCTCCTTCCTGTGTGGCTGGAAGAAGGCCATAGCCTTTTCTTTCGTGTCGTATGCAGCAACTCTGAACGGTATGATTTCCAGACTGGATAATCCCGGAGCCATCTTTAGGACACGTCCTCCGTGGGTCGAGTCGTACATGTTTCCGTCAGGGGTGGATTTGGTTCCCTCTGGATGTGGTACTCCGGCCGGATCACGGCCTACTATGTAAAAGTTGGCGCCGGCTACCATCCTAGCTTTGGCGTGCCACTGCACCTACGAAAAAAGAATGAATGTCAATAGAGTATATTTTCTATAGTTTATTATAACAGTGTAAAGCTTCATTGAAAATTTTGGAACAAATTAGTGGTTTCAATTATCGTAGAAATTTGTTCTTCTAATTTCAATTTCAGTCAGAACCTCGCAATTAGTGGATAAATAAGTAGTTTCAATTAGCGTAGAAGTTTGTTCTATTAATTTCAATGTAAGCATTCAGAACGTCAAAATTAGTGTTAGACATTTTCAATTAGTAGAAAAAGTTAACAAACTTTTAACTTTTCCACTAATTATACTTCAAAATTTGCGAGAAATGCCATTTTGGCCTTTGATTATCTTCAGTCAAGAGAAAATGTGGTTAGAAATCAAAAGTTGATTGTTTTATAAGCTAAATATTAGAATTTCTCTTTGAATACAGCTGACTAACGCAAGCTGTTGCTAGGATATTCTATTAATTTTAATTGTGTTTTTTAAACATTGTTTGATTGAATGATCGTAAATTAAAAAGTATAAAGTGTAATTGAAACCACTAATTTATTCTCCACTAATTGCGAGGTTCTAAATCAAACTTAAGCATTCAGAACCTCAAAATAAGTGGCAGTAATTTTCATTTAGTGGAAAAAGTTAACAAACTTTTTACTTTTGGTATTAATTATACACCAAAATTTGCGAGTAGTCATTTTGGTCTGGATTTATTATACGTCAACAGAAACTTTGGTTGTAAATTAAAAAGTTTATTCTTTTATAAGGTAATAATAACGCTTTCTCTATGGATACAACGGACTATTGCAAGCAGTTAAACTTCATTCAGAACCTCGCAATTAGTGGAATAAATTAGTGGTTTCAATTACATTTTTTTTGCATTTTTACATTATATTTTAGGATCATTCACAATATTTAAAAAACACAATTAAAATTAATAGAATATCCTAGCAACAGCTTGCGGTAATCAGTGGTATCCATAGAGAAAACCTAATATTTAGCTTATAAAACAATACATTTTTGATTTCTAACCACATTTTTCTCTTGACAGATGATAATCAAAGGCCAAAATGACATTCCTCGCAAAGTTTGAAGTATGGCATTCCTCGCAAATTTTGAAGTATAATTAGTGTAAAGTTTCTTAACTTTTTCCACTAATTGACAATTCCTACCACTAATTTTCACGTTCTGAATGCTTACATTAAAATTAGAGCATCAAACTTCTACCCTAATTGAAACCACTAATTTATTCCACTAATTGCGAGGCTCTGAATGAAGCTTTACTAGGATATTGTACTAACTGTAATTTTTAGACATTGTGAACGATCGTAAGCTTTTAAGTAAATTAATAACTAAAAATAAGTTAAGAAATAATTGAAACCACTAATTTCGAGGTTCTAAATGAAGCTTAACACTTCAACACTGTTATACATAATTCTAATCAGGTCCAAATTCTTTTAGCAATAAAATTACATACCATTTTTTTGTATTTTAATGGTATAGGTATTTTACTAACCTCTGTTGGTCCAGCATAACACATTGGACTGGGAAATATAGCCAGAACTGTGGAATCCTTATCCAACACGTTATCTTCGAGCACTGCTTGGTGTTGCTGCATGCGTATGTCAAGTGGAACGTCATCATCTTTGGTCCATCCACCAAGAGGATTTAAAAGCAACACTGGTTTCTTATAACCTTTTTCAATCAATTGTCTAAAACAAAAATTATTTATACATTTTTATTAATAACTAGTTGAAGCCTGGCGCATCCGCCACGAAAAACAAAAAATTGGGCGACGACTTTTTCGTCTTTTTGACTTTTTTTAGAAGAACCAATTAGCTATCTTTTAGTAAAAAAAGCAACTTTCTAGAGCAAATCGTTACTTCTGTAGAGGCAACACAGATAAACATTAGCGTTTTATATATGTAGATTGCATGAAAGTAAAAGAAAGATATTACATAAAAAGTATAAGGAAAGAAGGAGCATATCAATCAATGTAGGTTGTAGAGCGAAGGGATAAGGAAAATTACCTTCCTGTATTGAAAAAGTTCATTAAAGAGGGAACAATTAAGATGGCGCTACCCTAGTAAAATTTCTACATTTGAAAGAAGCGCCAAAAATTGTTGAAAAAAGCACAGGAAATAATTAAAGATAAAAGATAAATAAACATCCGATTTATGAAGGCGTGTTGCAACTAGCTTTTGACTAACTTCACTTTATTTATAATCGATATGTTGAGTTCGATCTCTCATTGCTGATTAGCGCCATTGTGGTCATTTAGTAAACCCTTATTTCCCCTTTGAGATGACCGCTTTTTCCAACAAAGTCTCATAAGAAATGATTCTCCTTATTTATACCCTCCCTAGTATGAATACATGCATTATACCTACTCCTTTCTTAATCTATTTTATTCAAATGTTCTATTAGAGTTGACGGGTCGAGCCTTTGGTGTTACAACAGCAAAATAAGACACTACTTCACCAAAATACCTTACTTTTTAGTAATTCTTTCAAACATCTGTTAACATGGTTAGCAAAACGCGCGTCCAGTGCAAAAGTAAAGTGTTTTGGAGTATTCTGGTGAATTAGTGTTTTATTCAAGTATTCTATTTTTATCTGTCGGGTCTATTATTAAATTATTACCTTTTAGTGTCTGTCATTAACAAAGCGTGTCCATTGTGGATTGGATTTCGAAGTTGGAACGCGAAAACTACATCGGCACCCATAGTTTCGAATTTTTTTCGCAATTCTTTAGGAGTCATTCGATACTTGTCCAAGCCATCGTTCCACTTGACTCTTTTTACTACAGCTAGATCACCTCCTATTAGCCAATCACCAGATTCGTATATCAGCTAAAATCATATCAAAGAATACACTTCAGTCTTTTAAAAATATAAATCTCTAAATAATAAATAATAGTTATTTGTTATATAACTGTCCAGTACTCGCTCGGGGTATTTTAATACCCCACACGGTTGTTTTACTTAGATATCTTGGTGAAGGAATCTCAAAATTACATGCCGCTTTTTCTTAATCTTTAACCGTAGTGTGTAGGTGTGCGTGCTAGCAATCACGTCATTAAAATTTAAGAAATACTTCCTTTGGAGGTCGAGGAACCAACAATATCTACTAAAGTACAATATCTTGAAACATTGCATGTGTGCAAAAATTCTCCAATTCTGGCCAATGTAGGTAATATTTTTGTTCCAGAAAGCATATACCATGAAATCATGGAATGATATATGTGCACCGAATGGATAATATGTTAAATCCATCAACAAAGGCTTAACAAATAAGATCAAAGGAGATTCTGAATCCGAAAATTCAAGTTTTTTCCTATCAATGTCTACAATTGAAGGGTCCAGGGGAAAAACTTAATAAGGGTTTTTTTTAGGTGTCTTTGGTTTAGGTGTCTTTTGTTCGGGTGTTTTAGGTAGCATGGTTTGGAGCGGGGTTTGGTAGCAGGGTAGGTTTCTTATTGTGTGAGAGATGTTCGTCACGGAGTGGCATAGGGAATACGGGGGGAAGTCGGGAATGCGTTGTGGGTGTGGGACCGGTTGTGGGCGTGGGGTGGGTCCGGGTGTCTTTGGTTTAAGTACAATATCTTGAAACATTGCATGTGTGCAAAAATTCTCCAATTCTGGCCAATGTAGGTAATATTTTTGTCCCAGAAATCATATACCATGAAATCATGGAATGATCTATGTGCACCGAATGGATAATATGTTAAATCCATCAACAAAGGCTATAACAAATAAGATCAAAGGAGTTTCTGAATCCGAAAATTCAAGTTTTTTCCGATCAATGTCTACAATTGAAGGGTCCAGGGGAAAAACTTAATTAGGGTTCAGAGGAAAAACTTAACACTTTAAATGATTCATATGAGTGAAAAAGACTCTCATTTTTGCATGGTTAGGGATAACAAATTATTTATTAGCATTTCATGAAATTTAAAAACACGATACTTATAGATTGTTGTATTTTTGGTTATTGAAATTTCAATTTACCTTAACGTGTGGATGCCCTTTATGTGTAGTACCAAACTGTCTAGCCACCCTTTCTTCCTTTCTGTGGTAAAATATTTCTGGATCTCTTAAAATGGCGTACAGTTCATCGTTGTAAAACAATGCAACATCCTTCTTGCCTTCCAGCTTTTCTTTTACAGAGCTGCTTATGGGTAGTACTATGGGAACACTTTGGTTTATTCTGGCTTTATTTACAGATAGGGTATTAAAATGAAGAACCTAAAAATATATATATATTTGATATCAATTAAACTTTTCGTTATCATTAAACTTTTCGTTACGTAATCGAATTATGGACATATTTGGCTCCGGGATTTAGGTGGTAGTTCTGCTCCTCAAGTTGATACATTTATTTATTTATTTCCTGACATTGTCATTTGTTTTCACACTTTAGTTTTGTATTACGAGTTTTTGGTTTGAATAAATAGGGTTGTGATACTTTAAGCTTAAAAATGTTTACTAGCAGACCTTGCAGTCGAATATTATTCTTTTTAAAACCTCTTTTAGTGCGAAGTGTACAAGATAGCTTAATAGCCGTAAAAAACTCATCGTAACTTTATTAGAATATTTTGAACGGGAAAGCGGTAGTAATGGCCCTTTATGCCCCTTAAGTGCTGTTAAGAAGGTGAGTCTTGTTGATGTAAATAATAATTGTTTATATATTTATAATTAATTTATTTTTGTTTCCTAAAATATTTTGATTAACAGAAAATATGTGAAAATGGACAACGCTGTGCCGGTCAAGATTAATCACGTGACTAAAAGTCTATTTGATATGAACTATATGTTTGAAGTTCTATTATGTAAAAAATGTATATCTGAAGAACAATTTTACTCCAAGATGAAGATGAATGAATTAGAAAATATCCAAATGGGTATAATCTAACCGTTTGTATTTTTTGTTAAAATAAATTAACAGCACTTAGTTTAAAATATCAAAATTATTCTTAAAAAAACTTTTTCTACAAACGTCAGTAAAAATGTAATTTTTAACGCATGCTGTCAGTGCCTAAAATGTGACATTATGTCACTGATGGTAAAAGTCATTTACCTCGTCATTCACTTTTAGCACTGGTGCTAAAAGAAAGTCACGTGATTTACTTTTAACACTGAAGCGATAATATTATCTTAGCAACCATAAACTTCATAATTAATTTGATTTCAGAATGACATGTTATGAATTATTCATTAACGTAAAAAGTAATAATACCTTAATATATACGAGCATAAACTTGTTTGTAGAAAAAATAGTGTATGATATGTGTGCTAAAAGTGATTTTATTTTGTTCGAAGGCATGGGACGTCCCAAGTAGTGATGGGATAACTCGAGCGAAAATTCGCTCAAGTACTCGATTATTGAAATAACCGACATCGTTCGATTATGAACGAGCGATGCAAGTGAAGTGAACCAAGCGACGAACGCAAGCGATCCTAGAATGAAATAAATTGAAATCCGATTTTAAGGTGACATACTCGATAAAAAGCCGAGCGAATTTTCTACATACATTGCAGGTAGCAAATTTATACGACGCCGTATATACCGGGTGCGTCTAAAAGTGGCTCACCCCTATAAAAAAAACACTAATTTTTAATCAAGGAGGCTTTGGAAAAATAGATTTGATCGTCTGATGTTTTAGTGTCTTGTCCTGGCCGGTTAAAAGATGCCCAAATCATATTTTTGATCATATCTTTTCAATTGGAACGAGGGTGGCTCATTAGCATATTTCGAAAAAGATTTTTTTACGAATAATTTGATACCACACACGTGGTACTTCGAGTCAAATTGTCGTTATGAACCGCATGTTACAATTTCAAATAAACCGTATGCGAAAATGTCAAAAGTTGACATGTGATGTGTCATTCTATTCAAAGTGTCATTTTCTACCGAATAAAGTAAAAAAATACCGAGGGTGCCACTTAAAAATCATAAGTTGTAGTCATTTCCGGTGAAACCGGAAGTGACCCAAAACAATTGAATATGTCAATCAATCCTAATTTATGTCATATACTAACATACCAAATCTCGTTGTTTCATCTGAAAAAATAAAAAAGTTATAGGAGGTGAGCCACTTTTGAGACGCACCCGATATATTTATCCGTTGCGTATCTGAGGGACAAAATTTTACGACCTACATCGACAATGCTTCGAAATAAACTAAATCAAGCGATCAAGCGATCAAGCGAACTGCTCGCTGCTTACTACTTGCCGTTCATTACCGAAACAATATGTGCCCTGCGCACGCAACTTACTGCTTGGCGCTTGGCGTTAACGAGTACTTACAACATGCGACGGATGAAAACCGTATTTTTAAATACGAGTGATATATCGCTCGAGTGATCACTCGGTTATTGCAATCGCTTGATACTCGAGTACTCGATTATTGAAATTAATCGGTTTTCCCATCACTAGTCCCAAGCTTCCCTTCTCACAAAAATACCACTTTATATATCATAAATAACTATTATTTGTTGTCAGGTTACTATTGTATTAAATAACTTGTTTATAAATTGCCGGTTGTTGTCAATCGAGTTCAGTTTTTCGTAAAAATAACGCCTTTCGCACGAATTTGGCACATGTTTCCATTAAAATGGAGGAAATGTTAAAAAAAAGCTGGAGAAGCACGACACGCATTACTTTCACCTAAAAGTGAATCCAGTTACCAAAAGTGGTAAACACAATAATGACGCAAATAAGTAAATAGAGTAGTTACATTACTCAAAACATCTTGTATTTTTTGGTTGTTACCTAAAAAAGGTAGGGGAAATTATGGCATCTTAATATCCCAAGAAAATTATGACTTTATTATTTATGGTTAGCGTTAATTCATTAAGAAATAAACTATTTTTAACAATAATTAATATATCACGAAATACTAGGTGTGTTATAAATAAGTAACTATTCATTTGCATTATATTATTAAATAAACTATTATTATGCTAATACACTAACCTGAAGGTATTCATCTTCTCTCATAAATCCTTTCAAAGGCGTAGCCCATCCTTCACTAAGCACCTGCAGCCATTGCACATCTACTTTATTCATATCAATCCTAGGCATGTTATGGGAATCATTTACAATATCCTTAAGTTCATTTTCAGGTACAAACAGTTCTTTTACTGCACCAAAAGCTTCCTTTGTTGGACTTAAACCGTTCACGTTTACATTTTTTGGAATGATACCCTTAAAAAGGTAAGGAATCAGTAAAAAGTTCCCGTTTTTATTTGGAAATACTTACATTTTCTATTAACATTTCTACTACTAATTGTACTGAGTCTTCTATAGGTGTCTTGGCTGTTTTAAGAACCAATTCAGGATGCTCCGGTTTCTGGTACTCTTGATCAACTCCAGTAAATCCCTTAATCGTGCCTTCTCTAGCTTTTTTATAGAGACCTGTAATTTTTAGGATAAAAATTGATAGCTTTACTTGTTTTAAAAAAAGGATGGTTTATCCCATATTTGTATTTAGTCTTTTTGTACAGGGTCCCATTAAGAATAGCTCTCGGCTGTATCTCGGAAAGTATTAGCCGTAGAGCCTACGGGAAAAAAAATTATAACTAAAGGGGCTATGAGAAATTGTTGGAAATTATTTTCAAGTTTGTAAAACGGTCGCTAGAGGGCGCAACTGCTATAGAAAATAAGAAAATAGAATTTTTATAGAATTTTGCCAAGATAATGGGTACTATAAATAATAGCTTCATAATCTTCAATAAATTTTGGATTTTTTTCATTAGAACCATTTTCCCCTATCTGCTAAAGTAAAGTGGTGGGGGAAGGTTAGATCTATCTTTATTTAAATGTTAATTTAAATAAAGAAAAACACCGGACTGGATGATCAGAATCCAACAAACGAGGGCTCGTTTAAAAGAGCGTTTCTTACTCTACATTATACCATAATAATAATAATAAAAAAAATTTGAATATATATTTTTAGTTTGAAAATGAACTAAAAATACAAAAAGAAAGAAATAAGAAAAATAAAAAGACAATTTTTTTGCGATACTGTTGTTTATAGAGTTGTTCATTATTTTTATGTTTTATTTTTGTAAAAATTGACCGTCAATAAGCATTTATTTATTTGTCTGTAATTTCAGGTGGTGATTCCGATAGTGAGGCTGAAAACGAAAAACTCGTGGAATTTGATGAAGTTTTGAGAGCTCACGAACCCTCGGAATTAGGCGAGTCCTCAAATCCAGGAGAAACGCATCAGCTTCACATTGGAATAGAAATATTCAGGGCTCCCGAACTACTGTTTAAGCCTTACATGCTGGGCAGTCAAGAGGCCGGATTATCCGAAGTCATTTGTAAGTTCAATAAAAAAAATTAAAAAAAAATAAATCAAAATTTAAAATGAATGTTCCGTGCTATATAGGGTGTTCCAATATTAAATGGACATAGAACTACTACGTATTTTTGGAATCAAAATAAGTTCATTGGACACAATAGGCTACTTGCACATACTTTAATTTTCACCTGAAAACTACTTAAAGACCTTTATAAATACAACACGTAGCACCCCCGCGATGTTATTTCCAAAAAGAATTGCAAATTATTTCCAAAATTTGAACGTAGACGCTAGGGTGTGCTTTCTTACAATTTAACAAACTTAGCGCGTTTTTCAAAAAAATTAAATACGATAGTATATGTAATTTTACCTGATAGTAAAGAGTAGTAGAAGCTTAAAAAGTCAGCGAAAACCGCATCTTGATGTTTTTTTTCAAACCGAAGATATTAGCAAAATTATAATAAATACCTAAATATAAGCCCTTAATTACCTTAATTTTACAACACAGTATCAGTAGCCCTTTTGATTATGTCCATTTTAATAAAAGAAATAAGATAGAAACAGTTAGTTTACGAAATACCAGAATACCATAATACCAGATGTATTAATGTCTAATAATTAAGATATTAATAACAGTGAACAAGAAACGATGATTCAGTGAAGTCATGATAGGCTTTGGAAAAAAGTTGCTTTGACGTAATATATATCGTCAACAAAATAGCAAAAATTGTTATTAGATCAACATTTTGATAGCCTTAGCAGCGTTATAGATAATAGATATAGAGTAAGTAACGCTCTTTTAAACGATCCCTCGTTTGTTGGATTCTGATCATCCAGTCCGGGATTATTAACATTTAAATAAAGATAGATCTAACCTTCCCCCACCACTTTACTTTAGCAGATAGGGGAAAATAGTTCTAATGAAAAAAATCCTAAATTTACTGAAGATTATGAAGGTATTATTTATAGTACCCATTATTTAGGCAAAATTCTGTAAAAATTCTATTTTCTTATTTTCTATAGCAGTTCTCTAGCGGCCGTTTTACAAACTTGAAAATAATTTTCAGCAATTTCTCATAACCTCTTTAGTTACAGACCCCCGGTACAAACTACAGTGTATATAGGTATCTACTAATATTATATATCTACCTTTAACATCACGTTCTTCACAAACTTCTATAGGCGTATCCACAAATACTTCAAAAAATGGTAAGTTCGATTCTTCGTGAGCCTTTCTAGAGCGATCTCTGTCCTCTTTAAATGGAGAAACAAAGCTGCAAAGGCAAATGTGACCTGCATCGGCAAAAAGCTTTGAAACTTCAGAAATACGTCTAATATTCTCTTCTCTGTCTTCTTTAGAAAATCCAAGATTTTTATTTAAACCTAAAAAAGTTTATTTTTTATTTTTAAACAAAACTTATATATATTATAAATAAATATACTGAAACTGCACAGCACAAAATATTTCACTACGAGGCTCTGGATCGCTAGCGACACTGTCTATTTTGGAACGCAAGGCTAGAACCAGAAGAACTATGATCCCATCGTCTCAAGTATCTGCACAAGCAGGGTGCAGCGATAGGAAAGTAAGTGCAAATATAGAAAGGGGACAAATAGAATGGCCTTTAGAGGTCACAGCGATTTTAGCATAGAACATTTCCTTAATATTAAGGTGTAAAACATTATAAATATCTTGTTTTATCATACATTGGACAACCAAAAGACTCCAAAATCGAGCTTAAAAAGTAAGCTTAGGGTTCAATGAGATGAAAACTAAGTTTATGGAGCGCTCAGATAGGGTTTTTGACACGGGAAAATGTCTTAAATAAATTTTGAGAAAGGAAAAAGATAAAAGCTTGAAGAAGTAGATACATTCACATATCCAAGAACCGTATTTGTAAAAAAATCAAATGTAACTCAAGAAATTATGCCAAGCTTAATGGCAGGAAGTAGATGTGTAAACGCACTACAGAGTTATTAAGAGCAAGAACATCTGTAGAAGTTTAAAAGCTCGTTTAAAAGCATTCAAACAACAAAAGTCAGAATGTACCAAACCAATTGTACTACGTGCATGTGAAACGTAGACGTTCAATGCAATAAAAAATTTGAGGTTAGAGGTTTGAGAAAGGAAAATAGTGAGTAAGATTTTTGGAGGAAAGAAGACAGACAACTTGTAGACCAGAAGAATAAACAAATCAATAAAGCAACTATATCGTGCACCAAATATAACGGAAATAATTGAAAGAATGGCTGAAACAAGAGTTCCTAAAATGGTGATAAGATGTGAAATAGGCGGAAAAGAAGGACAAATAGACTGAGAACCAAGTGGAAAAGAGATGTTAAAGAAGACTTAAGAAGGATAAAACTTTATGGGTGAAGAATAGAGGCAAAGGACAGAAATAAATAAAAAAAAATAAACTAATCAAGGCATGTGCTTTTATACAATTGATGTTGTTGATCATTCTTACCTGTTCTCATATTGTCTCCGTCCAGGCTGTAAGCAGGAATGCCATTGGAGACCAGAAATTCTTCCAGAGCAAAAGAAATTGTAGTTTTTCCAGCCCCGGAAAGTCCAGTGAACCAAACTGTACAACCCCTAAAACGCCTTTCACCGGATCCTAAAATCTGAGCTCTCTTCTCCCTGCTCACGTGGCGCATCTCATACTTCACATTGGTAGCAACCTGCTGATTCTGGAAAAAGAATATAATTATTAATGTTAGTCATGGGAGAAAAATCACTACTTGTGATATTTTGACAATGAGATCAAAGTAGCAATTCACAGTTGTCTATGGCTACTTTTCGCAGTATAATTTTACATATACGTTTTAAGGTGAAAAGATCTTTTAAAAAGAGAGTTATTTCATGTAGTGAACAAGAAAGGAAACATTTTGAGTAATGTTTGATTCCTTCTAGCAAATTTTTGTCGTAGATACCTTTACTCATCGAGTTCTAATTCTAAAAATATTAAAATACGTTTCAAACGTCCACACCTTTTGCCGTTGAATATTTTACCATATTTTTACTCTACATATTCTATTTTTTGATAAATTAACATTATGCATATCATATATAGCCATCTATCTAGATTCTATGAAATAGATCTACTGACAGTAAATCATAAAAATGAAAATATCTAGTAAGTTCTGTGTGAAATAGACAATCTTAATAGTATTTTGAAAAAAAAACTGGAATTCTCCATTAAATATAGGAATATTACAGAGTGATTCAGGCTTCCGAAAAAGCTCTATTTTAGGTTTTTGGTTTGTGAATTTCATTCCAATTTTTTTGCATAGTATGGAGGCAATGGTAGCGCACATTTTGAAAATATTTTTGTCAGCAAACAGATTTATTTAAACATATTTTCAAACCAAAGTTGTATATTTTTAAATGGAATACTATAAATTTTTAACTCAATGGATTTGCCACTAAATCTCCGTTCCAAAAATACCATAATGTCTTATACTATACCAAATGGTTTTAAAAGCCCTTTTACAATTCTGAATTTGAAGAATTTAAAAAAATTTAACAGGAAGTACTGTATAATAGTGTCTTCTTTAAAAGTTGGTTTACCAAAATTTGCAATCTTGTTTGCAGAATACAGGACGAGTCAAAACTAAATTTATTTTTCTCTACTATTTTAAATGGAATACCCTGTATTTTGTATCATAATCGAACAAGGTTTTGTTTAATCTTTTAGTTTTATTAAGCAGTTTCTATACCTAAAATCGATATTTAATGAGGAAATTGTGTTTTCTTAAAAATATAAGACAATATCTGACTTTCGCCCTTTAAATAGTAAGTGTTTATTATTAATAGTGCCATACTTATCTGGGCTCAAGTTTCGTTTAGCCGAAATCAGTTATATAGAATATCGGTTTATAGGATGATTCTATACAAGAAAACTAGCACTACATAATTTGATTTTTGCCGCGGAAATTCTTTGCTTTTGAGTAAACTCGAATTTTTAATTTTTCTATTATTAACTAAAATTTAAAACTTTACGGTGTTTTTAATAGTTTTTCATTATAGAATGACGTAAAAACATTTAATATAACAATGTGATCTAATTTTTTCGAAAATATATTTTTATCACAATAATTTTCATTGATTTTTCCGGGTTTAGAAGTGCCGAAATGTGATAGGAAGATAAAAACTACATATTTTTGTTTGATTAATAATTTGCTATAACTTTTCTATATAACTATTTCCGCGGAAATCTATCATAAGGGCGGTGTAATGGAAAATCTTCAATATTAAGTTTTCCATAGTATTCTCAACTATTTTGCATACTTTCGGTTTGGTTTTAGTTGGTTTGGTTTAGTTGTCGTTTTTATGCTTTATTGACAATTGTTTTTAAATTTTCGCATTTGTTGACCATAGCGATATTAAGTTGATAAGAATAGATAATATTCATTGATCTGTGTCAAAGGTCGGGAAGAAGATCACTGCATAGTGGTGAAACAAGGCATTTCCGCGGATTTTCATTTTTGTATCGGTGCTTAAAAATAAGTCTACAATATAAAATAATATTAGTTTTTTATATATCTCATTTCGTTACTTGTGAACCATATTCAAAAAAATGGCAACAGCGCATTTCCGCGGAATTTCATTTTCGTATTAGTATTTACAAAGACGTCTAAAATGAAATAACGTAATTTTCATGTATGTCATTTCGTTACTTTTAAACCGCATTCAAAAAATGGTGACGCGTTTCCGCGGCAAAATTTTTTCAGTAATATACTGCCTGAGGTACCTAAATGACAAAAAAATTGTTTTTTCTTTTTTAACAGATTTCGGCTAAACGAAACTTGACCCCTTATCTGCTATAGTGTGGGCTATCTGTCATATATTATTGAATATTACATCTATTTACTAATCCGTTACTTTTATTTTACTTTGTTGTAGATAGGTATTAAAGCAGTAAACAAAACAAAAAAAAAATCTAATACATCTACTTCCGTGTCAAAGTTAATTAGCATAATTTGGTAATTTTTTGTTAAATTTATCAATTTTTTTTGAGATATTTTTTGTAGGTAATGAAAATATTGATTGAATATATTGTGACATATAAATTAAATAGACTTTAGCTATTGTTAAAAAAAATAATTCAATTCTAATCGAATAAGAAAGAATATACTTAAGAGTAAACAATTTATTAAACTAGACTCAGAAGTATACAAGAAATTGAAAATAATATACTTAAAGGAGCCCTACACGCAACGATTTGATCTGCATGCCACTGTTCAGATCTCAAAAGACCAAATCGATAGCGATCTTTTCACACGTTCAGATTTTATAAAAGATAATTTCGTCAGACTATACGTTAATATAGTATACGCTAATATACTTTCCTGAGATCTTAATTGAAACCGCCACTACATGTTGAAATTTGTACTGAATGGAAGGACTCCATTCAAGACAAGGTCAATTCAATAGTTCAAATCTCTCAAATATCGTTTCGAGTTGGGTAACATGAATAAAGTTAGTAGTAGTATACCTTTTTAGGTATATTCACAGACGTAGAAGAAGAAAATTTGGGAGCTCCTATTAAATCACAACACAACAAACTGCTATTATTCTATACAAGCGGTTTAAATATTACTCTAAAACTATAGCAATAAGAAACATTCCAAGTAGTTTTACAGCAAACTATTTTTTCTAAAATGTTTAAATAATATTATTACATGCACATCAATATTTCTGACAATGATACCATAGAAAAATCCAATATTCTTACCCATTTCGTTGACATTTTTGCAAAATAATACTATATATCACTGCTAAAAATTGCGATATCTCTTCTTGGTGTGGTACTGTCGACTCTTTCGCCGACAGTACCCATCGAATGCGGAAGATTGTAGGCCACACTTTCTCCTCTTCATCGTAAAAATTACTCAGTATCAACGAAAACATAATACCGTCACCTCCATTAAATGAATCGGTCACGTTGTACTTGGTGACATAACGAATAATATCTCTTTTGGTAATTTAAAAGTTTATTTATGTTTACTATGATTATTAACTATTTATTCCCTTCGCAAAATTTTAACTGAACGGTTTATCAATTATTAGAAAAATACAGTGATGTAATATATCTAGCATCAGTATTGTATGCAGTCTGTTCTCTCAATAACTCTATGCCTTTTTTTCTCCTTTAATGGTCACAAACCAGCTGTTACTATTTTAGAAAGATGTTTCATAAAACATTTAATCCCTAGTTGATTAGAAAAAGTATACCATGCTGTTTTAAGAACCAACTCAGGATGCTCTGGTTTCTGGTACTCTTGATCAACTCCAGTAAATCCCTTAATCGTGCCTTCTCTAGCTTTTTTATAGAGACCTGTAATTTTTAGGACAAAAATTGATAGCTTTACTTCTTTTAAAAAAAGGATGGTTTATCCCATTTTTGTATTTAGTCTTTTTGTACAGGGTGTCCCACTAAGAATAGCTCTCGGCTGTATCTCGGAAAGTATTAGCCGTAGGGCCTACGGGAAAAAATATTTATAACTAAAGGGGTTATGAGAAATTGTTGGAAATTATTTTCAAGTTTGTAAAACGGCCGCTAGAGGGCACAACTGCTATGGAAAATAAGAAAATAGAATTTTTACAGAATTTTGCCTAGATAATGGGTACTATAGATAATAGCTTCATAATATTCAGTAAATTTTGGATTTTTTTCATTAGAACCATTTTCTATCTAACTATCTTATTTTTTTATTAAAATGGACATAATCAAAAGGGCTATTGATACCGTGTTGTAAAATTAAGGTAATTAAGGGCTTATATTTAGGTATTTATTATAATTTTGCTAATATCTTCGGTTTGAAAGAAGATATCAAGATGCGGTTTTTGCTGACTTTTTAAGCTTCTACTACTCTTTACTATCAGGTAAAATTACATATACTATGTACTACTACTATGTATTTAATTTTTTTGAAAAAAACGCGCTAAGTTTGTTAAATTGTAAGAAAGCTAGCGTCTACGTTCAAGACCTTATTATTATTATTATTATTATTATGGTATAATATAGAGTAAGAAACGCTCTTTTAAACGAGCCCTCGCTTGTTGGATTCTGATCATCCAGTCCGGAGTTATTAACATTTAAATAAATATAGATCTAACCTTCCCCACCACTTTATTTTAGCAGATAGGGGAAAATAGTTCTAATGAAAAAAATTCTAAATTTACTGGAGATTCATAATCTCCAGTAAATTTAGGATTTTTTTTATTTTTATGCTATTATTTATAGTACCCATTATCTAGGCAAAATTCTGTAAAAATTGTATTTTCTTATTTTCTATAGCAGTTGCGCCCTCTAGCGGTCGTTTTACAAACTTGAAAATAATTTTCAGCAATTTCTCATAGCCTCTTTAGTTACAAATATTTTTTCCGTAGGCCCTACGGCTAATATTTTCCGAGATACAGCCGAGAGCTATTCTTAGTAGTACACCCGGTACAAACTACAGTGTATATAGGTATCTACTAATATTATATATCTACCTTTAACATCACGTTCTTCGCACACTTCTATAGGCGTATCCACAAATACTTCAAAAAATGGTAAGTTCGATTCTTCGTGAGCCTTTCTAGAGCGATCTCTGTCCTCTTTAAATGGAGAAACAAAGCTGCAAAGACAAATGTGACCTGCATCGGCAAAAAGCTTTGAAACTTCAGAAATACGTCTAATATTCTCTTCTCTGTCTTCTTTAGAAAATCCAAGATTTTTATTTAAACCTAAAAAAGTTTATTTTTATTTTTAAACCAAACTTATATATATTATAAATAAATATACTGAAACTGCACAGCACAAAATATTTCACTACGAGGCTCTGGAAGGCTAGAACCAGAAGAACTATGATCCCATCCTATCAAGTATCTGCACAAGCAGGGTGCAGGGATAGGAAAGTAAGTGCAAATATAGAAAGGGGACAAATAGAATGGCCTTTAGAGGTCGCAGCGATTTTAGCATAGAACATTTCCTTAATATTGAGGTTTAAAACATTATAAATATCTTGTTTTATCATACATTGGACAACCAAAAGACTCCAAAATCGAGCTTAAAAAGTAAGCTTAGGGTTTAATGAGATGAAAACTAAGTTTATGGAGCGCTCAGATAGGAATTTTCACACGGGAAAATGTCTTAAATAAATTTTGAGAAAAGAAAAAGATACAAGCTTGAGGAAGTAGATACATTCACATATCCAACAACCGTATTTGTAAAAAACTCAAGAAATTATGTCAAGCTTAATGCAGGAAGTAGATGTGTAGACGCACTACAGAGTTATTAAGAGCAAGAACATCTCTAGAAGTTTAAAAGTCAGAATGTAGATACCAAACAATTCATTCAAACAAGAAAAAGTCAGAATGTACCAAACCAATTGTACTACGTGCATGTGAAACGTAGACGTTCAATGCAATGGAAAATTTGAGGTTAGAGGTTTGGGAAAGGAAAATAGTGAGTAGGATTTTTGGAGGAAAGAAGACAGACAACTTGTAGACCAGAAGAATAAACAAATCAATAAAGCAACTATATCGTGCACCAAATATAACGGAAATAATTGAAAGAATGGCTGAAACAAGAGTTCCTAAAATGGTGATAAGATGTGGAGGAAAAGAAGGAGAAATAGACTGAGAACCAAAAGTGGAAAAGAGATGTTAAAGAAGACTTGAGAAGGATAAAACTTTATGGGTGAAGAATAGAGGCAAAGGACAGAAATAAATAAAAAAAAACTAATCAAGGCATGTGCTTTTATACAATTGATGTTGTTGATCATTCTTACCTGTTCTCATATTGTCTCCGTCCAGGCTGTAAGCAGGAATGCCATTGGAGACCAGAAATTCTTCCAGAGCAAAAGAAATTGTAGTTTTTCCAGCCCCGGAAAGTCCAGTGAACCAAACTGTACAACCCCTAAAACGCCTTTCACCGGATCCTAAAATCTGAGCTCTCTTCTCCCTGCTCACGTGGCGCATCTCATACTTCACATTGGTAGCAACCTGCTGATTCTGGAAAAAGAATATAATTATTAATGTTAGTCATGGGAGAAAAATCACTACTTGTGATATTTTGACAATGAGATCAAAGTAGCAATTCACACTTGTCTATGGCTACTTTTCGCAGTGTAATTTTACATATACGTTTTAAGGTGAAAAGATCTTTTAAAAAGAGAGTTATTTCATGTAGTGAACAAGAAAGGAAACATTTTGAGTAATATTTGATTCCTTCTAGCAAATTTTTGTCGTAGATACGTTTACTCATCGAGTTCTAATTCTGAAAATATTAAAATACGTTACAAACGTCCACACCTTTTGCCGTTGAATATTTTACCATATTTTTACTCTACATATTCTATTTTTTGATAAATTAACATTATGCATATCATATATAGCCATCTATCTAGACTCTATGAAATAGATCTACTGACATTAAATCATAAAAATGAAAATATCTAGTAAGTTCTGTGTGGAATAGACAATCTTAATAGTATTTTGAAAAAAAAACTGGAATTCTCCATTAAATATAGGAATATTACAGAGTGATTCAGGCTTCCGAAAAAGCTCTATTTTAGGTTTTTGGTTTGTGAATTTCATTCCAATTTTTTTGCATAGTATGGAGGCAATGGTAGCGCACATTTTGAAAATATTTTTGTCAGCAAACAGATTTATTTAAACATATTTTCAAACCAAAGTTGTATATTTTTAAATGGAATACTATATATTTTTAACTCAATGGATTTGCCACTAAATCTCCGTTCCAAAAATACCATAATGTCTTATACTATACCAAATGGTTTTAAAAGCCCTTTTACAATTCTGAATTTGAAAAATTTAAAAAAAAATTAACAGGAAGTACTGTATAATAGTGTCTTCTTTAAAATTTGGTTTACCAAAATTTGCAATCTTGTTTGCAGAATACAGGACGAGTCAAAACTAAATTTATTTTTCTCTACTATTTTAAATGGAATACCCTGTATTTTGTATCATAATCGAACAAGGTTTTGTTTAATCTTTTAGTTTTATTAAGCACTTTCTATACCTAAAATCGATATTTAATGAGGAAATTGTGTTTTTTTAAAAATATCAGACAAGATCTAACTTTCGCCCTTTAAATAGTAAGCGTTTATTATTAATAGTGCCATACTTATCTGCTATAGTGTGCGCTATCTGTCATATATTATTGAATATTACATCTATTTACTAATCCATTACTTTTATTTTACTTTGTTGTAGATAGGTATTAAAGCAGTAACTTATATTAAAGGTATTAAGACTCACCCGGTAGAGTTTTAACAACTAAATATTGATCAATTCCGTGTCAAAGTTAATTAGCATAATTTGGTGATTTTTTGATAAATTTATCAATTTTTTGAGATATTTTTTGTAGGTAATGAAAATATTGATGCGGAATATGAATATATTGTGACATATAAATTAAATAGACTTTAGCTATTGTTAAAAAAAATAATTCAATTCTAATTGAAAAAGAAAGAATATACTTAAGAGTAAACAATTTATTAAACTAGACTCAAAAGTATACAAGAAATTGAAAATAATATACTTAAAGGAGCCCTACACGCAACGATTTGATCTGCATGCCACTGTTCAGATCTCAAAAGACCAAATCGATAGCGATCTTTTCACACGTTCAGATTTTATAAAAGATAATTTCGTCAGTCTATACGTTAATATAGTATACGCTAATATACTTTCCTGAGATCTTAATCGAAACCGCCACTACATGTTGAAATTTGGACTGAATGGAAGGACTCCATTCAAGACAAGGTCAATTCAATAGTTCAAATCTCTCAAATATCGTTACGAGTTGGGTAACATTAATAAAGTTAGTAGTAGTATACCTTTTTAGGTATATTCATAGACGGAAGAAGAAGAAAATTTGGGAGCTCCTATTAAATCACAACACAACAAACTGCTATTATTCTATACAAGCGGTTTAAATATTACTCTAAGAAACATTCCAAGTAGTTTTACAGCAAACAATTTTTTCTAAAATGTTTAAATAATATTATTACATGCACATCAGTATTTCTGACAATGATACCATAGAAAAATACAATATTCTTACCCATTTTGTTGACATTTTTGAAAAATAATACTATCTATCACTGCTAAAAATTGCGATATCTCTTCTTGGTGTGGTACTGTCGACTCTTTCGCCGACAGTACCCATCGAATGCGGAAGATTGTAGGCCACACTTTCTCCTCTTCATCGTAAAAATTACTCAGTATCAACGAAAACATAATACCGTCAACTCCATTAAATGAATCGGTCACGTTATACTTGGTGACATAACGAATAATATCTCTTTTGGTAATTTAAAAGTTTATTTATGTTTACTATGATTATTAACTATTTATTTCCTTCGCAAAATTTTAATTGAACGGTTTATCAATTATTAGAAAAATACAGTGATGTAATATATCTAGCATCAGTATTGTATGCAGTCTGTTCTCTCAATAACTCATCTTTGTTTTTTTTTCTCACTTTAGTATAGTCACAAACCAGCTGTTACTATTTTAGAAGATGTTCATAAAACATTTCATCACTAGTTGATTAGAAAAAGTATACCATTAATATTGTAAATTATATTTTATGCTCTCTAGTATATGTCTTCTTAATTTTTTGATTATGTAATGAGCACTTTGTTTATTCACTTGTTTCGTGGACCTGACTGAATCCTTTTTTGCTTTGGACCAAATCGGTGTGAGAAACTATGAAGCTATAAAATGTTGTTTCGGAAGAGTTGAATATCCGGCAAACTTGAGTTATTGAATGTTATTGCACCCAACAATGCCCTAATTAAGCTCTCCTTTACGTGTTAACATTTTTTCAGCAATTTTATTATCATTTGAATTTGTCACAACACAACACAACACGACGCGCGACGCCTAGTTCGAATTCTTTTTTACTTATTTTTTACCTGAAACAGCGTTACATCACACAAACCTCGTACCTGAGTGTTATATAGTCTCAATAACTACACTAGCAAAAACTAAAATACTTAAAAATACTTAAATATCATGACAAAGCCACGACTTCAATATTATTTTATTGTGATCAACATGTACTGTAACACGAACGGCGTGAAATACATCGCAAAAATTTCTGATTCCTGCCGTATACAGCGCTGCGGTCGGAATTTTTCGAAAAAAAATTATTTAAAGATTTTCTATATAAGAAGTGCTTCTACTAAAAACCTATTAAAAAAGTGCAAGATTTGCAAGAGTCTATTGTCAAGACCAAAACCAAGATTGGATCCTGCAAGACCAAGAGCAAGATCAAGGATATCTTGGTTTTGGTCTTCGTTTTGCTCAATACTGTTTCTGGTTCTAGTAAACTTTAGGTACCTCGGAATTTCACACTTTTCTTTGTTTTCTTAGAAAGATTACTGTAAATAGAGCATATTAAGACAAAAAAATTGTTGGATCATACAGTTTTTTTTGAGCATTTGAGTTGCTTTGGTTAGCTTTTCTTTGTGGAGGGTGTTAAGCTGTGGTTTTTATATTTTAATAATTAACTGTGATTTTGCAAAAATATTAGATTGGTTAGGATTTGGGTTGCTTTGGTCAGCTTTTCTTTGTGGACGGTGTTAAGCTGTGGGTTTTATATTTTAATAATTTACTGTGATAGATTGGTTAGCATTTTAGACACTTTTAAATGATTTTTTTTGGTTCAAAAGTGATTCATCCAAGGATTTTTTTCTTTTAAACTGTTCTATAGCAATAGAGCTTTCGACTGAAAAAATAAAAATTGCGAAAGTCTGAGGTACTTAATGTTTACCAGACCCCTGTTTCTTATATAGCTAGCCAAAATTTTACCCCCTCAATTTTGTTGAACGTTACTAACTAACTTGGTATGTTATACTAGCTATATGTTATATTATTATAAATAATATCAATAAAATAAAAATTCCTATTTTTCCCAAATCTTACCCTCATTTTTAAGGTAAATCTTTGTCACAGAACCAATAAAACACTGATGCAATGGATCTACCTCAAAATGTTTAAATACCATAGTCTCGTTATGGTCCTTTGAGCACGCAGAATAACAAGGAAAAGCAGAAAATAATAATCACACATCGGCATACATTAAGAAAAAACCATCACAATCTAGACCGTGACTTTGATATTGACGTTATATAAGTAAAAATTAGTTGTATATCCATGTTTTGCAAACTTTTCGCTAGGTTTTCAATCAAAATAGTTCTTGCAAAAACTTCCCTGATTACTTTTTCAAGGTCAGGCTATACATCATTCCACGTATTTTTGCTAGATACGTAATAGAGTAAGAGTTTTATGAGAAATATTATGTTATAAATTAATAAATTTTATCAAGCCTAGATCTGTTGCTATTATTTTGTATTATTTTTATGAAAATTCTGTAGAGAGTGTTCCATTTTCGCGCGTGTGTTTTACAGGGTTACTTGTTTATGAGTACAGATACAAAGATGTGGTTTTCACATCACACTGCAACTTCTTTATGAAACTGAATTTGCTACGCACAGATTTGTTCCAGCCTTCTTATTTCTTCAAATAAAGGGGAATTTGAAAATTTTGCAATTTTCGATCCCCTTTGTATCTCGGATGTCTTATAACTTATCGAAAAGGTAAAAACTGAGTTCAGTAGAGTTTATCTTTATATTTTTAGAAATCTCACAACAGGGCAAATAAAATAAAAACATATGTGCAAGTTACCCCATTTAAAAAAAAGTATAACTTTGGGACATATTTAAAGAATGACAGCTTACAATTGAGGGTTGAAACCTTTGGTGTTACAACAGCAAAATATAACACTAATTCACCACAATACACCAAAATACTTTACTTTTGCACTGAACGCGCATTTTGCTAACACAGTTAGCACAACGCGTGTCCGAAAATCTAGTTACGCCACTGAATTCTAAGTGAAAAACTCTATGGGGCTCAATTTTCACTTTTTCGATAAGTTATAACCTAACCGAAATACAAATAAAAAGTCGTGAAATGCAATGAAATGACCAGCCTCTTTAAAAATAAACACAATGGGCGTCTCAAAAGTGGCTCACCCCTATAACTTTTTTATTTTTTCAGATAAAATAACCAGATTTGGTATGGTAGTATATAACATAAATTACAGCGCTTTCAGATGGAGCGGACCGTCCGCGCCTTCGAGCAAGCACCTTTGGTTTATATGAACAATTTCACATGGTCGCGTGTGCTCCGTTAGACGGAGTTTGTCCGACGGCTATCTTGAAAAAACACGAGGGACCAGGGGGTAAGTGCATGACGAATTTCTGTACAACAAAAGGCAATGAATGCTCGATTACTCGAATATTGCCCCGCAATGCCCCTTTCCTACTCAATCATGCCCGACAATGCCCCATATTTCTCAACAATGCCCCGTATTGCCCAATAATGTCTCGTATTGTCCAACAATGCCCCGTATTGCCCAACAGTGCCTGGCAATGCCCCTTAATGCAATATATAACTACCTCTTTTCATTGCATATGTTGAAAAGAGACAAATAACATTAAAAAGGGTAAACAATTTTTTATATAGCCCCTAGATAGTTCTTATGTATTTTATTTTCATAATAAATTACCTAAAGGCACAAAAACCATAATATTTATATTTTTTATTAAAAAACTACACATAACAGAAATAAACTCCCTTTCGCAGAAACAACTTAGGATTAATAACAGACGAACAGTTTATATTTTTAGGTAGGTATACATTATGATAACAAGTTATTCCCAGAAGAATAATAATTGGCTTAGGCTGTATCACAATAATTCAGACATCACCGTTACGTAATACGTACTAGAGTATAGACATAATAACTTCAGATATACCTACCTAAGTAGATAAATAATAAAAAGAAACAAAAACTTTAATACTTATATGTTATATGTTTTTAAAATTTCCATTAAACTAACACAAAGTAAAGTTTTTTAAAACTAAAACAAAATCTGGCAAAAACTTAAAAACAAAAATCTGGCAAAAACTTAAAAAACAAAAGATTTTTTTATTATTTCTTACAAATAAAACTAATTTCTGGCCTAATTTATTCTATAAACTAAAATAAATTAAGCATTTTCTTGGATCAAAATAGATTAAAACTAAAAGAACATAATATTTTTAACACAAAGTAAAGTTTTTTAAAACTACAACAAAGTTAAACCTTTCTTAAACTAAAGACCTGGCAAAAACTTGCCCAAACTTGCTTTATACCTAAAAGACATAAGATATTTTTTTATATTTTTTACATTTTCTCGGATATACATTTAAGTATTTTTTTAATAAACAAAATTCCTAATTAGTTACTCTACAGGGTATCCCTTTTAAACGATACCACTATTGCACTTATTGCAGTCTCCGAAATGAATCGGTTAAATTATATAGAAGTTGCCTTTTTCGAGGCCAAAAAACACGTTAAAGTGTAAACGTTAATCCTGTAGTGCGTTCACAGTAGGCAACTTTTCCCTAATTTAACCGACTCCGACCTATAGCTCTTTCCATTTTGGAGATAGCAATAGTGGTATCGCTTAAAATGAACTCCCATATACATACTGCGACAATAACTCAACAACTACATACTCCGAAACAATAAACAAGCTGGCTGGAGCTAGAGCGTTGACCCGTTGTGCTGACCACTCAAGCCGTTTGAGTGTTTGTGACGTAATCAAAGTGATGGCGGGAGGATGCGCGCGCAATATATTTAGCTTAAATATTGCACCACATTGCCCTTTCAATGCCTCATATTGCCCAACAATGCCTCACAATACCTTGTATTTCCCAACAATGCCTCATAATGCCCCCGCAATGCCCCACAATGCCTCGCAATACCCGACAATGCCCAATGCCCCGCAATGCCTGACATTGCCCCGCACTGCCCGACAATGCCCCTAGGTTGTACACCACATTGCATTGCCTCATGTACTTACCCCCTGCGGTCCGTCGCGGACGTTCCGCTCCATCTGAAAGCGCTGTTAGGATTGATTGACGTATTCAATTGTTTTTCGTCACTTCCTGTTTCACCGGAAATGACTACAACTTTTGATTTTTAAATGACACCCCCGGTATATTTTTACATTATTCGATAGAAAATTACACTCTGAATAGAATGACATATCATATGTCAATTTTTGATATTTTTGCATATGGTTTATTTGAAATTGTAGCATGCGGTTCAATACCAAGTTCAGAAATACCAAGTGACCATTTTTATTACCATTTTTAAAATTTACATGGGATTTGCTGTGAATGCAAGTTCAGTTGAGCGAAATATAAATATAAAATGTAAATCTTACTAATTTAACAGTATACCGCATGTTCGAAAAAAATATAAAGATATAAAGAAATATATAAAGAAAAGTACAAGCCAAGTAAATGACGTCTAGGCCTTGACCTCGGCAAAATTCATCGATTGTCATTCCCCAGCCGTCTTCGCCGCCGTTTTTTTTCGATCGTGTAGTATAATTATATAAAAGATAATTGACAACTTAATTAAAAAGATTAACAAAGAATCAGAACAATTTAAATAAAATTTCGTTTCAATCATTATTTGTCAATATCAATATTCATATTATCGGGGTTAAAGATCACCGAATAATTATTAAAACAATCATGTCAGAAAATGTTGGTTAAATTTTAAGAATGTGGTGTTATATTAGCGGTTTAATTTATAAGTGAATAAAAAAGAAAACAATCTGTGCCACAGTTGATTAAGTAAGTAACGGAAAATGTTTATAATAGATTTTTCAATAAAAATATTGAGTTTCTGTAATAAACCATCGATAAATAGGGAATACCCGTTGTTTCATTTCAAGGTTATTTTGTAATTGAGTACCGGCAGTACATAATGGTATTTTATTTGGGATAGTACTCAAAAAAAGTGTTTACGAAAACAACGGATATACAGAGGTAAATGGAATAAGGGCGCAAAAATTAGAAACTTATCATTAATCTACTGTTTAGATTTGGATACTAATCTGTTTCAATACTTTATTATAATCCTTTGTCATTTATACCCGTTTATACCGCTAAAACCGCTACCGTTTTGAAAATATTAGTTGTCTAGTGTATAACAGTCAATTCAGATACTTTTTTTTAAAAGATACTGGGTGTTTTTCAATAGTGGCTTACATCTCTACATTTTATTTTTTTTTCGGATAAAAAACGAGATTTGCTATGTTAGTAATAGCTTACTTCCGTTTTCTCATATTACCGATTCTGAACCGTCGTAGAACTGTGATGCGTATGCGCAGAAGGAAATATGAAGACATTATTTGATTTGCGCATGCGCTGCAGAGTTCTAGGACGGTTCAGAATCGGCAATAACAAGAACCCGAACAAAGCTAATATGGCATAAATTGGGATTGATTGGTGTAGGTATTCAATTATTTTCGATCACTTCCTGTATCACCGACCGGAAATTACTATAACTTTTTTACTTTATTTGACATAAAATGCATTCCGAATTAAATGACATACTGTATGTCAACTTTTGATATTTTTAATTAAAAAAATTAAGCTTCATTCAGAGCCTCGCAATTAGTGGAATAAATTAGTGGTTTCAATTACACTTTATACTTTTTAGTTTACGATCATTCACAATATTTAAAAAACACAATTAAAATTAATCCTAGCAATAGCTTGCGTTAGTCAGTTATATCTATAGGGAAAGCCTAATATTTAGCTTATAAAACAATCAACTTTTGATTTCTAACCACAAGTTTCCTTGACGGAATATCCTCAAAGGCCAAAATAACATTTCTCGCAAATTTTGAAGTATAATTAGTGGAAAAGTTAAAAGTTTGATAACTTTTTTTACTACTTGAAAATGTAATTACCACTAATTTTGACGTTCTGAATGCTTACATTGAAAGTAAAGGAACAAACTTCTACGCTAATTGAAACCACCAATTTATTCCACTAATTGTCAGGTTCTGAATGAAACTTTAGTATTTTAAATTTCAATTTAGAGTGTTATTTTATTAAAACCACTAATTTTTATTAAAGGAGCCTTAGAAACATAGATTTGAACATATAACGGTTTTCGTGTCTTTTCCTGGCTCAGGGCCGTTCCTGGCGAGCGTGCAGTGCGTCCACGCACGTAGGCGCAACATTTTCGGGGCGCAAAATCGAAGTGTCAATCAGTAGGTAGTTTGTAGCAAAAAACCGATACGCTTTCTTGTTAATAAAGAAATACTTAAACATACATCATATAGGATAAAGTTTGCTTAGCGTCTTTTTTGCGTTGGCCGCACCGAATAAACAAGTCTATGGCAATCTGCCGGCAACACATTGACTACATCTATTTATTTTTCACTTTATTCATTTTATGGAAAGCACTGTTCATTAAAATGTTGTATCCTATGTTATAGGGCTTGTTTCTCTCTACATTTCCTGTCTCACAATATACCGTTTGTTTCGGGGAAGGGATCACAGTTTCATAGTTGTCGATTTTACAGAAATCAGTGCATGTATATTATTTCGTATATTTTTAGTTTTATTGATTTTTTGGAAAGCACTGTTCATTGAAATGTTTTATGCTATGTTATAGGGCTTGTTTCGCTCTACAATTTCCTGTCTGACAATATACCGTTTGTGTCGGGGAAGGGATCATAGTTTCATAGTTCTCGATTTTCGAAAGAAATCAGTACATGTATATTATTTCGTATATTTTTCATTTTGTTGATTTTATGGAAAGCACTGTTCATTAAAATGTTGTATCCTATGTTATGGGGCTTGTTTCTCTCTACAATTTCCTGTCTCACAATATACCGTTTGTGTCGGGGAAGAGATCATAGTTTCATAGCACGACAGAAATCAGTGCATGTATATTATTTCGTATATTTTTCATTTTATTGATTTTATGGAAAGCACTGTTCATTAAAATGTTCTATCCTATGTTATAGGGCTTGTTTCGCTCTACAATTTCCTGTCTCGCAATGAACCGTTTGTGTCGGGGACGGGATTATAGTTTCATAGTTGTCGATTTTCGAAATAAATCAATACATGTATATTATTTCGTATATTTTTCATTTTATTGATTTTATGGAAAGCACTGTTCATTAAAATGTTCTATCCTATGTTATAGGGCTTGTTTCTCTCTACAATTTCCTGTCTCACAATGTACCATTTGTGTCCGGGAAGGGTTCACAGTTTCATAGTTGTCGATTTTCGAAAGAAATCAGTACATGTATATTATTTCTGATTTTTAGTTTATTGTTTTTATGTATTGCATATAAAATGGGTCAGTTTTTTTCTTTAGGGTACTATTTTTGTTACTAAATATTTGTGTGGTTTTGTTTGTTTTCTTTATTTAATAAATGTTTTTATACTTTAATTAGAATAGTTTTTTTACATTTCCAATTACATATTGCTCGTTTGTCGCAGAATATGAATTCTTTAAATTTTTGAGATTAAGATTAAAATATATAATTGATTTAAAAAAAAGGGGCGCACCAAAGAATGCTGCAAGTAGGCGCCAGATACCCCAGGAACGGGCCTGTCCTGGCTGGTTAAAATATAAACAAAATGGTATTTCTAATCATAACTCAATTCTTTCAAATGAAATGAAGGTGGATAATACGAATATTTGGAAAAAGTAGTTATTTACGAATTGTATATATTATATACAAACATACCAAATCTCATTTTTTTATTTGAAAAATAAGTAAGTAACTTTTGAAAAACACCCGGTATTATTTCAACATTGAGAAACCGAATTTTTAGAATTATAAATGACTTCTTTTCAAGATTTATGAATAATAATGACCTCAAATACATCCAGTGAGTTACTATGTCTTTCTGAAGATATGAACGATATGCTTTCCTATATGGGACAATATGGAAGTGGAGAAATATTCATATCAAAGGAGTTTTGGCAGGAAGGAATAGCAGTAATAAATATCAGTAATCCAGAAAAACGAAATGCCATAAGTGGTAAGTACTATACGTTAAAGTACCTGTCAGTTTGACCAAAGCAGTCTTAAATGACTTAGGATTACTGAACCATGTATGTGGGTTCAAAAGAGATCAATATATACTGTGTGACATAGATATTGGAACATCCAGTATATGCTCTCATATATTTATAATGTTTTGTCGGTTGATTGCCAGAATAAAGTGTTGTAAACGATAACATTTTTATCCCAGACTGTTTACAAATAGACTTTTCTTTCAAAGATTAATTTTTGCTGCGTGACTGACAATGCAAAAATTCATTTTAGTGCCTAGGCATAAAAGTAAAGCACTTTTACGCCTAAGCATAAAAGTACGAAAATATATTATTAAACTGATATAAAGTGTCAACGAGCGTAACCATAATTCAACGAGCGTAACCATAATTTCTCGATATAACTACTTACAAGCAGAGCTGCAACAAGTCAGTTTTGAAAAGACTTAAGTCATTTTTAAAATCAAAATGATGTAAATCTTAAGTCAAATTCAACATAAAATTCAAATGATTTAAGTATTAAGTCTTTGAATTAAATCATTTTATTTCAAGTCGAGTCATTTTTGTAAAGACTCAAATCAATATAACGTTATTTAAGTCGTTTTTATGACTTGAGTGTATATTTTCTACTTAAGTTTTTATGATCTTCAAGTTAAATCAGTAAAATGACTTAAATCAATATCATTACCCTCAAGTTAAGACTAATATAATAATTCAATTTAAGTACCTTTTTCAAATGTTGGTATTAATTTTCTTGTATATTGGGCTATTTTCTTATTAAGTATCATATTATCAATTTACTGTAGGTACAGATGACAATAAAACCACTTAAAACGATTTATTTTCAGAATAACTAATTGAACCCTATGCTGGAACAACGTTGTAAACGCCAAATTGTGTTTTTGTGGGAAATCGAAAAAAACGAAATATGCTCGTTTGCTTTATCAAGTTAAATGTTTATATTTTATTTATATTTAATTAAATAAATTTTTGACAATGTACAATTTCTATAATTGTATAAAGTATTGTTTTAGTTTTGTATGTTTGCTGTTAGTTTTATATGTTTTTTTATTGTTAAGTGAAGTTTTGTATGTTTTTTATATTCTTTTTTTTAAGCTTTGTCAACAAAATTGTAAAATTTTTTTTATGACAATAAAGCAATTTCTTTCTTTCTTTCTTAAAAACAGTATCAGTCAATATCAAAAAGGTATTTTTATTAAACAAATGAACGAAAAATTAAATACATTACATATTATAGTTTTAAGCGTGACTCAAATTTTGATAGAAATGAATATATATTAGTGGAATATAATCACACATATGTAACAAGTTTTCATGCTTTTACTTTTTGATTGGAAGAGGTTCTGTATACGCCTCCCTTAGGTCGTCTAGGGTTAAATCGATCGTCTAATTCCTGGGTGATCTTAGCGAATATGTTGTCCATAGTTGAACTATATTGTGGCATTTTCTTATCCGGACACTGTTTGGGTCATCCAATGTTATTTATATCCACAATCCCTGTGTAATTTTGCATTTAGGGTCCTTCCATAATGAATTTTCTGCTTCAGTAAAATCTTTAAAAACGATTGATGCATATAGATAACTTTGAAGGGATTGTGTACTTTTGCTTTGGCGATTACCTCTTTCCATTGAAAAGGCACATAAACTTTAGAAAGTTTTTTTACTCGTTCCATGAGAGTAAAATTTCTGTCACACGGCAAGAAGCTGTGCCCACTAACCAAAAACTTCTGCTCCACTGTAGTAAAGTATTTTTCTTTCACTAATAGTCGAAGCAAAGTGACCATTTTCTAATTATTATTTTGTCCCACACATCTGTCCGACCAAACAAGTTTTCTTTCCTCTCCTAGACCAAGTCGTTGGAAATTTTGGGTGACATAATCAGTGGAGCCTAGATGTGCTATTCCTTCATGCCATAACATCATTGTAGATATATTATTTCCCACGTTATTAACACAATAGTTATAGGTAGAAAATTGCCTCTGATAAAATGTGGACGAATGAGTTAAGTTTGGACAAAAAAGTACTTGCTGTAAATCGGTGCACAGAACTACATAATCTCAGTGGAGCAAAGCTTCATAAACAATTTATCGCAGTATGAGCAGGTGTCTGATCTGGAGTCCAAACCGCAAATTAAAATTACTTTTAAATACGTCATGATACGTCCTTAATGAGGTTTGACTATGTGGGTATTTTTCCAAAAATAGTCTATGCGTTTTTGAGATGCTGAGATCGGGAGAAAGGCAATTCTTTGAGGATGCATTCCTACTGTAATGATTTTCCTGCTGTGGAAATGATCCAATATGATGGCATATGTTATCCTTTTCAGTTGCCTTAAGCTTTTTTAGGCGATTCATATGCTTCCCGCGTTTGTCTCTTACATCGATGCCGGATTTTATTTTATCCACAAGGTATTGAATTCGTCTCTGTGTAACTGAGAATATGTAGCAGAGTGTTGATTTGCACACCTTTGTGTTATTTATGGTGTATTTTACAGTCGTTTGGCGGCGGGATATTGCCTATTCAACCCTCCTTCTCTTCGGCTCTTCGATGGAAATAGCTGCCGCGAGGTATTGTGATTGTTTATCATAACTAAGTTCTCTGAACTTTCTAAATAACGTTTGGTGTTTACCCAACAATAATTCGGCAGAGCATCCATTAGGGGACTGCAAACACTTGCATATACGTCTCTATAAATAAAACTGAGTAGCAAAATCTATAATAGTGTATATTTTGTAATAACTTACCTCATCTGGTCGTTTTAAAGCTTTTTTAGGGATATTCCTAGACGAAACATAAGGGTCCCCACTATCTCTACTACGTTTCCTGACAGTCTGCTTCCATTTGTCAATATGCATCTTACGTTTTTTGCCTCTATTTAGCTGTGTCTTAATGGCGTCTGTCAAAGTAACATCCATTTTTGCTTAAAACAACAAATGTTGCATTAACACGTGTAAACAAGGCAAGCGCTCGCGAAATTAAATCGAAATGACGGCGCTGTTCCACGAAATTACCAATTCGACTAATCAAAATGACGCTAGAAAGGCGGCCAAAAATTTACCTGCGCCGCAAATATCGCGTTAGCAGGTTATTTATGGCGCATACAACGTTGTTCCACGGAAATAGTGCTTTAGCATAAACTGTCGGTTAGAACGTTGTTCCAGCATAGGGTTCAATTATAATCAACAATAAAGAAATAAAAATAAAAGCACAGAGAACATAAAAACACAACTTAATATATATTTAATTAAATTTTGTGGAACTTTATACAGGATGATCCATTTTCGCGTGTTTTACATGATTTCTCGTTTATGAGCAGAAGTACAAAGATGCGACTTTCACATTACTGCTACTTTTTTATGAAACTATAAGTGATACACAGATGCTAAAATTTCAGAATAAACAAATTTCAAGTTGCCTAAAGAATGTTTTTTGGATTTATTTTTTTGCAAATGTTATGGGTTGCGCAGTAGCGAAATACCCCCAACCCCCAGCCAGACTTAGGATTCTGGGTTCACCAGTTAATAAACTATACATTTTTAGTTATTCTAGCTTGCCTGAAATATGTTCTCTAAATATGTCGTCAGCTCTTAGGCTATAATTTTACACATAAAATAACAGCGATCTTCATTTCGTAGCAATCGCTGACACCGTTTTTTTTTTTCTGTCATACGGTATTATTCATTGTGCATACTTTTCATAGCTCAAACTTTTTTTCAGGTAAAATGCTGGTAGACTTCCACTCCTGTATATCCGAACTAGAACACTGGCCAAAAGGCAAAGCAGTCATACTACAAGGTCTTCATACAAATTTCTGTTCGGGTTGTGATCTGGACTTTGCCAGGACCTGTAATACACCAAAAGATGCTTTCTATCTCAGTTACTTAATGGGTAATATCTTGGAGAGGTTAACCAAGCTTCCCCTCATCAGCGTTGCTCTTCTTCATGGGCCTGCATTGGGTGGTGGGGGTGAAATCGCTTTGGCTTGTGACCATTTGGTTGTGGCCGAAGATGTGAAGTTTGGATTGGTCCAAGGGAAGATGGGTATTATAACGGTGTGGGGAGGAACAACTAGGTACTAGAATACAGACTCTTTTGTTACAACATCTTTATGTTATGTTGTCTGGGCAACACACGGTCTATAATAATACTAGAGTTTATTATTTCACCTCTTTATACATGTTTTGTTTACGTTCACTAAGACTTGACACACACAGAAAGAACAAAATTGTTTTAGTCGAAATCGTAATATACAGGGTAGTCCAAATTGTATTCGGGAAGCTATGGCAGCATGCTCTACCGATTAAAATAATTAAAAAAAATTCGTATAAATGTATGTCCTGAAATGCTTGGTTTTGAAGATACAGTGTCATTTTTATTTAGATTTTTTCCAAATAATTTCTGAAGTAATGACAATCCCAAGCAACACAGATAGTAGCAGGTACGTTCCTGGGACTACAAAAGCGACCATCAAGTAGACTGCGACGACTGCGAAGATCGACGGCTACGTTGCCGCCACGTAGCCGCCACGTAACTGTTACTAAAATGGGGAAGAATTTAGGGTAACTGGGTAGTATACCGGGTGGTCCCAGGGACTAACGCTGCCACTATATTTCGTAACTATAAAGTGAAAGGGTAGTAGCGGCCACTATCCTGCTACGTAGCGGCCTGGTCGCCCCTAGGTGGCCGCCTGGTAACTGCTACTATATAGTAGTAAAACATTCTTCTAGCGACCTCTACTTTTGAAAAACGTTTTGAAATAAAATAATAATATGATATGACAGCCGCGGTGCATGGCCATGTTAAAGTTAAGTTAATAATGGCGTATTATGTTTATGATGAAAATAATGGTTTTTAATCGCGTATTTCGGACACTTTCAGGGACTAATATAACGCACGTCACTGACGCACGTCACTTTACTGACAAAGATTACCGAGTTAGATGGAAATATTTTAACGCGCCTTCGAATTAATTCAATTTTGTAGATATTTAAGGACAAAAAATAATATCAAAAAATATTAAAATAGTATTTCGTAATGCACGAAAGTATGTTCGAGTTCTAATTGGAAAAATAAATGCTTAAAGCACTATAAAACTTGGGAAAATAAAGAAAAAATGAAAATATATTAAAAAATAAATTTAATTAAAAAATGTCTGACAGTAAAAAATGGCTGACGCACACTTCGCTACGATAAAGTTAGGCTCTTCCCTATGAAGTAGCAGGGACTACCCGTTTTTTACTTTAAAAGATCTAAGCTACTTCCAGTGATTAAGTTGTTACTACGCAAAAATTACTTTGTAGTATCGGTTACTACTTTGGAACTTTATTATTCTTAAATGTATTTAAATTTTGTTCACTATGGTAACTACTGGGACTAGAAAGTTACTTTGAACACCCAAAAAGTCGGACAATCAGGCATTTTGTGACAATATAGTTCCATATGTTTCTATAAAGTTCCGCCTACCTCTCATCTCAAAACAATTTAAGAACACTATGATGTGTCTTGTCCTGACTGGTTAAAAGACGCCTAAATTGTATTTTTAATCATATCTCAATTTTTTCAAATGGAACGAGGATGACTTATTGGCATATTTGAAAAAAAAAATTTCGGAATAATTTGGTACCACACACTTGGTATTTCGAGACAAATTGCCGTTATGAACCGATGTTACAATTTCAAATAAACCATATGAGAAAATGTCATATTATGATATGTCATTCTATTCAGAGTGTCATTTTCTATTGAATTAAGCAAAAAATATTGAGGGTGCCATTTAAAATCAAAAGTTGTCTTTTCCGGTGAAACATGAAGTGACCAAAAACAATTGAATAAAAAAAATGATGAATGAGAAAATCGAATTTTTACTTTCACCCTAATCTGATTTACATCAATTCCAGTCTCCAAAATTTCATTTAATTCTGTTACAAAATCATGTAAAAAATCTTGTAATGGAGGTTTTGACTCGTCACAATAAATAGCTGCCACCATGGGTTGATCGCAAGGATATTCATGCATTTTTTGGAGCATTGGCCAAAATTCTAATGGAGAACTCTTAAATGGAGGCAAGCCGTCAACATTAAAAATTAGAGACACCGATGCTAGGTTGGTCTCTTTGGATAAACGTCGTGCTACTAACAATGGCACAATATCTCGGTGTACTCAATAAAGTCCTGCTCTTTCCTGGCAATGATGTTAAGCCTTCATTTTTTGGTATACCAAGTAAATCTGTTAAAGCAATGTGGCTAATTTGGTGTTTTAAGGCCCATTGCCTTAGTTCCTGACTGATGTTACTTTTTTCTCTGAGCTCTGTTTTATCTTTAAATTCATCAGTAGTCACCAACTCGACATTCCTAGAAAAATGCAGCTACAAGAACTTTACAAATATATAGAAAATACGACAATTATACATAATAATATGTATATGAATTTCCAAAAATAGATTTAAAATAATTTATTGTCATATCAAAGCCCAGTCATACTTCTCTAAATTTAATCCAATAAACCCTTTATACTGGTGAACTTGTCTAGGAAGTTCCACTAGCAGCGCAGTGAACAAATAATCTTACTGATCTTTATTTTTGTGGTAACGGACAGGATGGGTAAATACGCGATCTGCTACTATAAAGAAATATTTTTTAGTTTCCACAACTTTATAGTAGCAAGACGCCAATAGGAGTATAGTACCCGTTACTTTATAGTAATAAACCATAGTCGCAGCTACTATTTTGGGACCAACAATATTTTGGTACCCAAATGCCTCGTAACTTTAAGACCCAAAATAAAATATAGGATACTGCGACTATTCTGCGACTAAGCATGGGACTATATAGTAACAAGTACTTCATACACCCATTTCAGTAGCACAGGCTGGTAGCCGTTCCGTATTTATTGTCACTATGTAGATTTTGCCACTTAGTGGTAACAATGAAAGGATTTGCGTAGTCCCAGTTACTAGTCGCAACAATCCATTTGCTACTTTAATTTTGGGTGTTTAAATTCCAAATGACTAGTAACAGGGTGGTAACAGATACTATCCAAAAATACTTTGCAGTGGTATTACCGGATATAGTGACAAATTTGGTAACAGGGTGCACCCAGGAACTATGTTTTGGTAGCCAGTCTTAAACCGAAAAGATTTGGAACTATCTGTGTTGCTTGGGATATTTGGATGAAAATTGGGGTCTGTTTTTTTTAAATGAGAAATTTGATTTCGATGTTAATATGACTCCTATGTAAGGAGCGCTACCTACATATTTTTTAACTGCGGTTTGAAGAGTAATAACACGTCGTTTGTACCTTCATAAAACTATTGAGTAAAAATTATACAGGGTGGTCCGAACTGTTTTTCTGAGAGTTTCTGGCAACATATATTCTGCAGATAAAAATAAGTAAAATAGTTCGTATAAATGTATGTCCTAAAATGCTCAGTTTCGGAAATACGGGGTTGGGTTTTGGAGATATAGGGTGTAGAAATTTTACTTTTATTTCGATTTTTTCCAAATAATTTCTGAAATAACGTTAATATTTCGATGAAAATTGTTGTACCGGAAGTTTTTTGACATGAGAAATTTGATTTTGATGTCAATACGACTCCTATTAGGGGGCGCCACCACATACATGTGTTGTAACGGTTTTGAAGAGTAATAACTTTTTGTCCATACCTGTATAAAACTGTTGAATAAAAAATATACATTTTCGTAATTTTTTACGTAAAAAATGTCTCTTGGTAAAAATCGCTACGAACAACCGTTCTCAAGATATGATAGTTATTTGCCTGAAATGATAAATTTGGGACATTTTTAATTTATTAAATTAATCATAATTTTTTTTTCGAAAAAAATGATGATAAAACAGTTTCTCTTGAACTTTTGGCACAAAAACATTTCAATTTTATGATTTCAATCTAATAACTATTTAGTCAACGTGTTTAATTTATGTCAATGATGACAAGTATTGATAATTTCGATTCCAGATATCTCCAGAACAATAATTACTCGTTCCGATTTTACCAGATACCTTTTTCGTAAAAAAACGTCGTAATAAATGTATGTATATTTTTACTCAGTAGTTTTATACAGGTACAGACGAAGATATACTACCCTTCAAACCAGTTAAAAAATATGCTACCTTTATAAGTAGGAGTAATCATATTGAAATCAAAATCAAATTTGTCATGTCAAAAAACTGCACCAATATTCATCCAAATATTGACGTAACTCCAGAAATGATTTGGAAAAAATCGAAATAAGAATGAAACCTCAACACCCTGTATTTCCGAAAGTAAGCATTTTAGTACATACACTTATACGAACTTTTTTACTTATTTTATCGGCAGCATATGCTACCGAAATTTCCGGAATACAGTTGGAACCGCCCTGTATATTTCCACCAATTTCTAAGTAAAAAAGACATCTTGGTAAAAATCGCTACGACTAACCATTCTCGAACAAAAATATTAACCGATAGACTAACAACAAAATTTGACGGATACCAAGCAAAAGAACAAGCAAGCTTCAGAAAAGGATACAGTACAGTTGATCACTTATTAACTATGAAAATACTAATAGAACGAGCCAATGAATACAACATCCCACTATATATTGCATTTGTAGATTTTGAAAAGGCTTTTGATAGTGTTGAGCACTGGGCAGTAAAAGCTTCCTTAATAAATAGCAGGAAAGACTACAGATACGCAGACTTAATAGCCAACATATATAGCGAAGCAACAACAACAATTAAAATCCACGAAGGAACAAAGCCAATTGGCATAGGAAGGGGTGTCAAACAGGGTGACACAATATCCCCTAAACTCTTTAACCAGGCATTAGAAGACGTTTTCAAAAATTTAGACTAGGAAGAAAAAGGTATCAAAATATGTGGACAATACTTGAATCGCCCAAGATATGCGGATGACATTGCCTTAATAACAGAAAAGAAAGAAGAACTGGTAGAAATGCTGGAAGAACTGGATACATCAGCTAGAAGAATAGGCCTAAATATGAACTACACTAAAACTAAAATCATAACAAACACAGATGAAAACATAACAACCAGAATAAACCAAGAAAAAATAGAAGTTGAAGAGTATATATATCTGGGACAAATGATTAAACTGAAAAAAGAAAACCAAACAGCTAAAATAAAGAGACGAGGAAGACTGGCTTGGGCAGCATTTGGAAAATTAAGTTACATATTAAAAAACAAAAGATATCCACAGTACCTCAAAACCAAAGTATATAATCAATGTGTAGGTGTACTTACTTACGGATCCCAGACCTGGACACTGACAAAATCAAATAGGTATGGATAAGGTAACAAAATCTCAAAGATCTATGGAAAGACAAATGCTACATATAAGGTTGGCAGATAGAAAAAAGGAATGAATGGATCAGAGGAAAAACTAAAGTAAGGGATGTTAGAAGTGAAGTAGCAAAATTGAAATGGAAGTTTGCCGGTCACAATGTCAGACAGAAGGATGATCGATGGAACAAATGCATCGTAAACTGGAGGCCCTGAGAGAATAGAAAAAGTAGAGGAAGACCCCAGATGAGATGGACGGACGGTCTGAGGAAACATGCAGGCACAAGATGGATGAGCACGGCGACAAAGAGGGAAGAGTGGAAGAGATTGGGGGAGGCCTATATCCACGATCGACCGAAGAGGCTGAATAGATAGATAGAGAACCATTCTCAAGATATTAGGAATATGCATCATCAATACATGTCATTACTGACGAAAAATAAATATGTTGACTAAATAGTTAATTGAGTGAAATAATAAATCTAGGAACTTTTTATTTTTATAAATTAATTATATTTTTTCTAGACAAAATTATGCTAAAACAGTTTCTGTTGAACCTTTCACACAAAAGATTCAAAATCTGTGATTTTGGTAGTAACAATCTAGTCAACATGTTCAATTTTTGGTAATGCGATGACATATGTGTTGATTATTTCGATTCCAAATATCTCCAAACCCATTAGTCGTAGCAATTTTTTTCAAGAGACATTTTTTACGTAAAGGCGGGGGAAATGTATATTTTTTCACTCAGTAGTTTTAAACAGGCAAAGACAAAAAATATTAGGTACTCATCAAACCAGTTAAAAAATATGTAGATGGCGCCCTCTACAAGTAAGAGTATAAATCAAAATTTTCATGTCAATAAACTTTCAGGTACCAATTTTCATCAAAATATAGACCTTAGTTCAGAAATCATTAGGAAAAAATCGAATTAAAAATTAAGTTTCTACCCCCTGTATCTATAAAACGAAGCATTTTACGACATAAATTTATACGAACTTGTTTACTTCTTTTTATCCGAATACAATTCGGACCACCCTGTATTCTACTTATATTCTTGATTTTCTCTTGCTCTTTTAGACTAGTAAACAAAATAGGACAACAAAAAGCCCTTCATCTGCTCCTATCAGCCAGAATACTCAACGCCAAAGAATGCATCGATATAGGACTAGCTATCAAATCTGTCAAATCCGAAGACAGATTTGACGAAGTTCTACGTTGGACAAGAGAACACACCCATCTTGATGTTTCAGTGGTGCGAGCTTACAAAAAGGCATCAGTTTTGAATTTGGAAAATATTGACAGTTTATTGGTTAAAGAAAGAAAGTTAGGTGTACCGCTTTGGGGCGGTCCAGTTAATAAAGAGGCACTTGAGAGACGTATAAAGCATATTCCTAATAAAAGCTAAAAGTTTTTTTGTATAGAAGTTTTTAAAATATTAATCTTAAGAAAACTTTACATAACACTCTAAAAGCTATTACTTGTACTTGTAAATACTATTTATTTGAAGATTTTCTATGTAGAAAGTGCCTCTAATAAAAATCTTTTTAAAAAAATGCAATATTTGCAAGAGTCGATGATTAGTGAGCACAGGTAATTTGTATTTTCATCTGTTGGAATCTTCCCTCACTCGTTGGATACTATACTACTATACCATTGTCCAACTATGCTTATACAACTACGAAATAATTACACACCCTCAGAAATTTCACAAACGAAAACAGCAGTGGGATTCTGTAAGCTCCGTAGCAAGAAATTTCCTGTCTAGCCTATGATATTTGTATACGATTGATGAGTCACTAGACAAGAGAAGTGTTTACAGAATCGGGCCTCAGAATTTTTAGCAAGTTATGAGTTGCTAGATAAACTCAAGTTAGGGCACGAAACACGTTTTTTTGACAATATGTGGCCAAGCTTTCCAGTAATAGCCGGAGAGCTGGCGACATATTATTTAGAGAACATATTTTAGGCAAGTTAAAATAACAAATTAAAGTTTATTAGCTATAGTGAACTCAGAACCCTAAGTCGGGCAGGGGGTTTGCGGTTATTTTGCTACTGCTCCACACATTACATTTGCAACAAAGTAAATCCAAAAAATATCTTTTTTGGCAACTTGAAATTTGTTTATTCTTAAATTTTAGCATCTATTTAACCCAGAAATAAGTATACTAGACTTTTATTTCGATTTTAAAGTGTAACCCGACCGATATGTTTAATTATTATACCTGGAAAATATACTTTAGGCATTCTAAAATGTTTACAGCGTGTTTATTAGGTAATACTAAAAGATATGTGTTAATTGCCAGACGAAACTTGTATTTATCTATAATTTAGATTAGTAAACGTTATTTTTGACAATTTTTGACTTGTTTTCATTTTCTAAAAAAAAAAAAAAGAAGTAACTCCAGTAATCCAGGCACCTCGATAATCCGTGTATATGCCGGAACGATATCTGCCCGGACTACTTATATATAACTATATTATATACTAAGTTATATTGCAATTCGGTTATTTTAGACTCATTTGAAAAAGGGTAAAGAGAAAATATATTTCTTTTACCCAGATCTACCAGCCCTGAAAATATTTGCATTTATTTAAGACTCATCCTGTATATCGAACGCCGAATACCCGTTATATTAAAAATCAATTAATATTAAATATTTGCAAAAGAAAATAATGTGTCACCAAAATATTAAGTATTTTAGTTGAGTTACTTAAATATCATAAACTTTAACTAGCTATTGTTGGAAAATTTAAATAAAATGTTATTTACATAACGTAAGCCCATTAAATAATAGTTATGGTCAGTAAAACTTTACTGATGTTTCGAAAAGGCAGTAGAGAATGTTTATTTCTTGTTTTTGATGAAGAACACTCTTCATGTCCTTTAAAATGAATATTTATTTATTCTTAATCTATTATTGTGTTCAATTATGTGGTTCGACCCCCATTTCCAACTATTTACGTCAAAGAGAAAATTTAATCAGAAAATCACAGAGTTTTGCTATAGGATCTCATCTCAAGCTCGATGAAAACGAAGTAGTAGTGAACGAAATTCTGATGGAATACAAGAAACAAGAACTGTGGCATGGTTTTAATCCCAAAAGTTATCTGGCTGGTAAATATTTTACTGAAGCAAAGGAAGGAATAGAACGGTCATGTGTCTATAAGATAATTCAAAAGTTACCCAAAGGTGCAAATTTACATTGCCACGATGAGGGAATGGTATCCGCAGATTATATATTCAACAATTTAACACACAGGTAGAAAACATTTCTTTTAATGTACAGGGTGTACCATTTTTGCATGTTTTACGGGGTTACGTTACTATCCTACTTTTTATCAAACTAAAATTGCAGATATATCAAATATATACTACTGTATTTCGGTTAACCCTTAACGGTTACAGATTGGTCTGTCAGACACCTCGTGCTGAACCATTTCCCTATATTTCGTAAATGCCTGCAATTGTAGTAGAATCTAGTGAATGTAGAATGTTTAGGAGGGGAGTTAATCACCGCGATCTTACAGATCAACTCATAACTCATCAGTTTCAGGGCTTTAACAAAAGCCAGTATCTGAGACGTCTCCACAGAGGCCAGCTCTCCGTCCTCGACATCAGCCGTACCAAAGTTCATGGGCACGAATGGTCGTCGTCTCGGCGCACTCAGTAATAAGGTGTTCTGGGGTGTTCCCATTTTCCCAGCAGAATCTGCATTCGCCGTTGTTTCCCAGCTTCAGCCTACTGAGGTGTCCGTTGAGGAGACAGTGTCCTGTTAAGGGGCGTCCAGACCAGATGAGCGAGCAGTAACGAGCGCGAGCAAACATTTATTCAAATTCGCTCGTGATTTCTGCTGCTCTCGAGCACATGATCAGCATCCGTCCAGACCTAGCGATTATTTGTATGTTCGGCGTTGATCGGTGTATGGCACTTCATGTTCATAATGTCCGAAAAAATTATTGCTTGTGCGTCTTTCATTGTATTTTATAAATTGTTGAAACGTCAAAAGAGAAAACGACTGCAGAGGAGATGGTGGAACATAACTCTTTTTAAAAATCGAGTTTCTCATGGTGGTAACAATTTACTAAATGATGTTGAAACAGAAGATTCTGGAAAATTTAAGAACTTTTGTCGGATGTCACTTACAGATTTTTTAACAATTACCGAAAACAATTTTAGCTAGAGAAAGGCTAGCTATAACCTTACGGGTCTTGGCAATTTTTGTACTCCTCTATTAGTTCTAAAACAACTTCATTCGGCTATTCCATTTTTGATATTCGATCGCAAACCTGGTAAACAAAATCCCGTCCAAACCGAACGTGCAATAGAGCGAATTTTCTTTGATATACCGACACGGCGTGGAACAGCGTCGAGCGCGAGCCAGCAATCATTCGCTCGCTCGCAGAGCCGTCCACACCAGTTAAGCGTTCCCATAGAACACACCCGAATTCTTGCTCGCTCCTGCTCGCTCATCCGGTCTGGACGCCTCTTTAGAAACCCCATGACAATCCAAAGATTGTTTTTACTTAAATCAAGGAAAACCTTTGATTTTTCTCGGTCGTAAGTTCAGAGGAACTTTTTCCAGTGACTTAGACCGTTGGAGGACACACATTCCAGGTTACAGATGGAGTCTTCCAGATTCTTCAGCTCCGCTTTCAGTTGGTTCCCGCTTGAAAACAGAACGGTTTTGGTCCAGTGAGTGGAGTGTTTGCTCCTTTTCTAGCTAGATCATTTGCCTTCTATCCCTTGGTGAGCAGGCACCCAGAGTAGGGGGACTTTATTGTATTGGCCTAATTTGTTGAGCTTCTCTAAGTATTCTTTGACCAACTTCAAATTGATGGTTACTGAGTTGATCGAGTTTAGTGCTGCTTGACTATCGGATAGGATGGCAATTTCCTGTTTTCGATAGTTCCTATCTAAGATAAATTGTAGCATCTTTCGACAGCGTAAATTTCTGCCTGAAGGATGCTGGGGTAGGTCCCATTGGTTCGGAGTTGCAATTGTATTAATGAAGATGCATATTATACCTTCAAGTCGATAGGTAAAAAAACCATTTGTCTACAGTGCTCAAGAAATATATATTTAAATTGCTGCGAGTATAAAAATATGTAAAAATATTATTTTTTTATGTGTTTACCACCGATTTTTTAAAATAATGTTTGATTGCCGATTTACAATTGTTGCTGTCAATCAGAGTTATTAATATTTTTGATGCACTTGTGCAATAATTTATCATTAAGAAACTAATAGCGTGGAATTCGCCTTGTATTTCACGAACTACCCATACAGCACATCAAATCACATTTACGATGTGTTTACATTATTAGATGTAGACACAGGGCGATACAATTCCCCCGATGTAAATATGATACGTTTACACATTGTAGTTCAACACGTATGCACAAAGGTTAAACGTCCGCCTCACAATGTAGCCACAGTATAGCATTTACGTATACACAAAGTAAGGGATAAGTAGTATTTACAAAGAGTGCCGCCGGGGAAAGAACGTTCCTGGAGAGAGGACAGAGGTGTAGGTTAGGTTTTAGTGAGGTAAAAATCCCACATAACTCGTCTGGCACATAGGAGGTTTTACCAGGCGAGTACCTGTTGCAGGTTTCCCCCTTCACCTCTTAAAGGATACACAGTGCTTGTGTATTACGTTTAAACTCTGTTTACACACTGCAGTTGTGACTAAAATACTGCGTGTATACGTATGTATTTTGCTTCGTATATACATTTTGTGCTAGATAAAACTACTTCTTATGAACGAATTTAGGAAATAATACAAGTTTTGATGCCTAACATTCCGTTCTTATCAAGAAATATTTATTCAATAATACCAATTATATCTTTTTAGAACGAAAATTAGGAAGGCAAAACTTTGTATTTTCCAAAAGTTTCTCGATCGTAAGTTCAAGAGAAATCGCCTTAAAATAGTTCCATTTTTGTTTCGTATTAAATGTACCATTTTCTTTCCTTAAAATGGATTAAGTAAAAATAAAATTCTTATATTTCTTTATATCATGGAACGCATTAGCGCAAATAACACAATAATAATAATTATTTACACTGCAGAAACCAGAAGTAAGAAAACACTATAAAAGAACAGAATTTGTATCAAAATGTATTCAAAATATAAGTACCTAGTATAACAAAATACTAAAATGGTATATCGCCACGATTTGGTGGACCTCGTTTAGTCATTTTTTGTTAGCATACTCATTCATCGAGATTAACAATCTCAGATTGACAATCTCACCCTTAAATTTATATGAAACTGATTATTGAATATTAAACATACCTGTATATTGATCCATCAATAACTTACCGAATATCAGTGTAAGAAGTTCTTTGAAGTATTTAAATCTTTCTTTCTCTGGTCCATTTAGATCTTTATTATTTCTAAATTAAAAAAAATTATATTGCAGAGCTAACCTCTTTATCATTATACGAGAATATTTGGAGTTTTCATTCATTGGAGTCAAAATTTGGTAAATTGGGTATCGAGTAGGGGAAGAGTTGCTGCTATAATATTAATAATACTCTTAGAAAGGTGTAACAAGGTAATTAAAAACTTGTGCTTACCTTAAAATCTCTTTGAAACTACACACAAACAGAACATTTATATAGAGCTTCCGAATGATAAAACAATAATGGCTGCTAACACATACCACTCCTAGAAAGGAGAAAGGAGAGAGAACACATAAGATACACTTGGTCGGTGTATCTACGCTGAGGCTGTCCGCGCGTGCGCACACCTTCATTTCATGCTAGAATGTAGACACAACAGTACACTATTACAAAGTGTCTATAATATAGAAATTTATATTATGTGTATACGTCACATATTTACAAGGCGTGTACTACAGGCACAACTATGATACGAAGTATCACACATACATATGACATATACATTGTATGTCTCATATACCGACGTCAGATTTCATCATTTTAATAATTATTTGTTACGTTACAAAAAACTTTTTAGAATCTTGAGTGCATACGGTATACAACTAGTAAACAGTGTATCACACAATTCTATCAATATAAACTTGCGTGTATATCATATGTATATGTTAGAACTAGATGAACACTTAGGTTCACTTTAACATATTTGGTTTATCATGTGCCTCCCTTGTAGAAACGTAACTTCATTTGAACGTGCTGTATGGGTAAGAGGTCTAGAACAAACCTGTGTCTACCATCCTTTGTTTAATAAAAAATCGCATCTTTGTATCTCAACTCATAAACGAGAAACCCTGTAAAACACGAAAATGAGACACTCTGTACAAAATTTATAGATAATGTAATTTCAGTTTTTTAGTTTTAAATATTTTAAACAAAAAGTGACATTTCAGATCTAATCTATACGTGAATTATAAACCAAACCATCCAAATATCAAATTAAGGTTCTTGAAAACAAATCCAGGTCCACCATGGTTTCCTATAGAAACATTTAGGACAATTTCTGACTCATTTGACGTTAGACTGAAGGAGAGTCTAACAATCGCTAGAAACAACTCTAGAGTTTTATATAGCGATATTGATTCAGTCTGGAAAGCGTTTCAGGATATATTTCCTCTTATCCAGTCTATGATAAATTATAAATCAGCGTATGAAGATTTCTTATATCAGGTATAAACAATAATAACTTTTGAGAATAGCATTTAAAGAGAATTTAGAATTTTTATGGACCCTAGAATATATACCAGTAACCACATACGATACGGAGTATTGTAGCTAAACGATTAGATTTTTAAAAATTGTAAATTTTGGGTTCGTTGAAGAACTATTAGAGCTATAATTTAAAAATATTTTTACAAGATGCAGAGTGTCCCAAATCCATAAAAAATATCAAAGTTGTATTTTTTTAAATAGAACACCCTGTATATTATTACATTTTTAGTTTCTACGATTAAAATAAAGGTAAATTTGATCAAGGTAAGGTTTATCACACTTAAACCTTACCATTTTTGAAATATTTTGAATTTTATGAAATTGCAGTAAAAATTTTAAGGCTTCATTTCTCCAAGGGTATCAAAGTTTTTAATACTAAATATTTACTGAAGTTTACTTATTGATCATTTATTGTGCTGCAATAATAAAAATAATACTACCTCATACAGAAAAATAAAAAAATCTAAATAATTCCTAGCTTTAAACGGCAATTACTTCTTTAATTTAAATAGAACACCCTATATATTTTAGGAGAATCAGATGCACAATTTAATTGTCTATCAAATTGTATTATACCATTTCTTAACTATCCTTTCTAGTTTTCGTAGAAAATGCATTTTCTTATAATTTATACCTCATTTATCAATATCCCATGGGATATTGACATTTTAGATTGCTTTTAAAGCAACAAATGTACAGAATGTACAAGTGCTAAAAACGATAATATTACTAGTCCATTTGTATACAAAAAGAAAATTATTTAAATCTTTATAAAAGAGTATACCATTAAATGAATATGTATACTACCGTTATTTCCGCCCAAATATTAATTAATTACATACTTAATTGTGTTAGTTAATAAATTATTGTAAATAAATGTGGATTTCAATCAGAAATCAATATAATAATAAGTTATGAAAATGAACGTCTCTGTTGTTAAAAATAAGCATTTCTCAAAAAATGAAATAAAATTTTTAAGTTGTTACTTTTTACCACATTGTCTAATACACATAGAAAATTCAGTTTTTTAGTATTTGGAGCAATTATTATTAATCAACGCAAACAGTCAATTAATGTAGTTTGAATACTGGAATCATATTAATTGGTCCTCTTTAACAAATATTTAAACAGTTTTTTTTTTATTTTTTAATTAAATAAACGAACTATATCGACAATATTAGTATCTGTACTCTTTAAAAATTTGTTACATCTTTAAAAATAATCTAATATGTCAATATTCCATGGGTATATTGATAAATGAGGCCTAAATTATAAGAAAACGCATTTTCTACGAAAATTTGAAGAGATAGGTAAAAAATGGTATAATACAATTTAATAGACAATTAAATTTTGAATCTGATTCTCATAAAATATACAGGGTGTTCCATTTAAATTAAACAAGTTATTGCCGTTTAAAGCTAGTAATTTAGTAATTATTTAAAATAATTTTTTTGACGCTCTGTATAAGGTAGTAAAAATGTTATTACTGCAACACAAAATTTAGTAAATAGAAATACTTCAATACAATATTTACCAACTTTACCAAACCAAACTAAAAATAATATACAGGGTGTTCCATTTAAAAAAATACAACTTTGATATTTTTTATTTATTTGGGACACGTTGTATCTTGTAAAAATATTTTTACATTGTAGCTCTAATGTCCTTCAACGGACCCAAAATTTACAATTTGTAGAAATCTAATCGTTTAGCTACAATACTCCGTGCCGTATGGCAAACAACCCTGTAGAATAAGTGGAATACTTAAATTAAAATTTTCATTTCATATTTTGTTAGGCACTCTTGGAACAATATGAGGATAATATCAAATACGTCGAGGTTCGTTTGGACTTATCGCCATTATATGACCTGAAAGGAACCAAATATACTATCGAGGATAAAGTTAAAGTAGTTCTTCAAGTTGTACGGAACTTTCAAAGAGACCATCTCGATTTTTGGGGAGCCAAACTAATCCTATCCATTATGCGAGGTAGTGATTTTGACGATATTCAGCACAAGTTGGAGATTATAAAAACTATAGCTCAAAAGTATCCCGGATTTGTGGTTGGTATTGATCTGATTGGACAAAAAGACCTTGGTAAGCATTTTTGATTTTTTTAACACACTGACAAAACAACCGCCTGCTGTATTGTGAGTGTATATGTTACAGTGAAAGTCGGAAATTCAATGATTGTTAACATTCACTAGGAAATGTGGTATCTTCTTATCACTCCCTCTCCTGCCGAAGGTTGGCGATCCAAATGGCAATTGTGGCTCTGGAAACTGCAGCCCGGAAGATTTCCGCAGACGAGCGTTCAAACCATCTCCTCAAATATTTCAGCCGTGAGTTCTGGCGTCTTCCTACTGATCTTTTCCCTTGCACTTTGCCCTCTATTATGAGGCGCAGTATTTCCTATCTACCACCTCTCATCACAGGACCCAGGTATTGAATTTTTCTTTCCTTGATGGTGTTCAGTATCTCTTTTTGTTTCTGCATGCGCTGGAGTACTTCATTGTTGGTGATCCTTTGTACCCATGAGATTCGCAGCATCCCTCTGTATATATACATTTCGAAGGCTTCTATTCTCTTCTCGGTCTGTGAATCCAGTGTCCAGCTCTCACATCCATAGAGTAACACAGAGAAGACGTAGCATCTGGCCATTCGAGTTCTGAGATCCGCACTGAGGTCTCTTCTTGTAAAAAATGATTTCATTTTCACGCAGATTTCTCTCGCTTGCTCAATTCTTGAAAATATTTCTCTTTTCGGGTCGCACTGACTATTGATGTTAGCTCCTAAATACTTTATTGAGGTCACTTGTTTGATTGTTTGTCCCTTGACACGCAGGTGTGCATTTATTGGAGTCTTAGAAATGACCAATAGTTTGGTCTTGGAGACATTGAGATGCAGTCCAAACATCCCACTATATGCTTTGCAGTTCTTGTATATCGTTGGCTATTATAACCGTATCATCGGCATATCTGATATTGTTTATTGGGATTCCATTGAACTTGATTCCGCCCTGGATTCGATCCAGTGCTTCTCTAAATATAGTCTCCGAGTACAGGTTAAACAGGAGCGGAGACAAGACGCAACCCTGCCGAACACCCCGTCTGATTTGTATATCTTCCGATGTTGACTACTTTATCTCAAATACCGCCGTTTGATGCCAATAAAGTTCTGATATGAAACGTCGTCAACTCCGGTTGTTCTTAGAATTTTGATCATCTTCTGATGATTAACACAGTCGAATGCCTTACGATAGTCTATGAAGCATGCAAATACATTCACATTCATGTCTCTACACCTCTGTGTCATTACATTTAGGGAGAAGAGTGCTTCACGCGTTCCGAGTCCGTTTCTGAAGCCAAACTGGGTGTTGTCCATCTGATTTTCGCACTTCTTGTAGATTCGAGTGTGGATGATTCTAAGAAAGGTTTTGAGGACATGGGACATAAGAATTATCATCCGATAGTCATCACATTGTGAGGCGTTGGGTTTCTTTGGCAGGGTTACGAATGTTGATTTAAGCCAATCTGACGGTATTTTGCTTGAGCTATATAATTTGTTAAATAATGCTGTTACCAAATCTAGACTTCTGCTTTCGTTATCTGCAATGAGTTTAAGTATTTCAACGTTTATTTTATCGGGACCGGTAGCTTTTCCGCTTTTCTGCGCTTTTATTGCATGAACAACTTCGTCTTTGGTTATTGCTGGAGCCTTTTCATTCAGTATGTGATCTATCGGTGGTGGGGAACAGGGTCTGTCATCATTAAAAAGTGTTTTGATATATTCTTTCCATCTCAACACCACGGCCAATTTTGGCATTGAAGTCTCCAATTATCATCGTTGTCTCTCCTTTCTTTGTGAGCCGCATTACTTCATCTATTTTTGTGGTCTACAAGTATGGTATAGGAATGTGGTATTTTGAAGACATTTGTTGGCTTTTCCTAGTAATTTCTAACATTCACTATATAGTGAAAGTAACATTTACTAAAGGTTGCCAGTAAAAGTTATTCTATTGTACAGGGCGAGTGTGGTGATGAAGAATGTTGGTTTGGGCAGTTAGATCAAATAAAACTTAAGAATATTGGATCACCTCAATATTCAAGCTGATCCACAAATCTTAAAACTAGAATTACATTCTTTAGTATATTTATTAAAAATTATAGTAAATATCGACATAACCTTCTAAATATTAAAAGAGTAAATATAGTAAACATTTTAAAGCGTACAATACAATTAAAAAAAACATTCATAAACATAAGATTACTTATTAATACAAGGTTTTTTTTAAATATGGTACGTTACTAATAGCAAGAGCCAACTTTGATCCGGGCGCTGCAAATGGACAAATGTTGTATAGCAACATTAGTCTTGTATGACCTGGCTATCGAGATGACCTACCTGCAATTAAAGAAAAAGCATGGTGTGAGCAACAAGGTTACCAGTTATTATTAAAATAAAGTAAATTTAAAATTAAACAGTTACTTGAATAATTTATTAATAGTCCAACTTAAAAATACAAGTTTAAATAAAATATTAAAATGCCACACAGGCTAGTCACACAGACTATTAAAAAAATATGCCACACAGGCTATAAAAATGCCATACAGGCTATCAAAATGCCACACAGGCTAAAAAATGCCACACTGGCTAAAAACATGCCACACAGGCTATCAAAATGCCACACAGGCTATCAAAGTGCCATACAGACTAAAAAAATTACACAAGCTAATAGTCAAACTACGCTACGGGGCTAACTACTCTTCAAGGCGAATTACGCTACGGGACTGACTACCTTTTAAGGCTAACTACGATACGGTACGAACTACTCTTCAAGGCTAACTACGCCACAAAGGCTAACTGTAGAAAATAATAAAGCTAAACATAATTAAATCAAATCAATTTGATTATACTATTACCCAAAAATATTCTTATTTTCTATTAAAGTCACATAGACAAATTTAAATAAATCACTATAAAGAAACATCTGCAAAACATCTTTTCTTATTATTCAATCAAATATTTTAAAATTTACCTGAGATTCAGAAACATAATATATCACAATAAAAACAATAAACGGTAACCAACTATAGTTGCTCAGTGAGATAAAATAAACTCACCTTAATTAAACTTCTTATTCGGTACGGCAATGGAACTCAGAACTGCCACAAAACCTTAATTACAAGCTCTTAGAAACTTTAATAAATTTAATTTAATAAGTGCGTACCACTTCTTTCTCTGACGCTGTCTAATACTTTATTGACTGTTATTTGAAACCTTTTTGAAAAGTACACGTACCATGAATTTTAGGCTTGTTTTTGTTTACATTCAGAATTCCATCGCGTCTCGACTTTTGAAATGTGTGTTTATTTTACGTCAGATAAAGAAAACGTAGCATAGGAAAATAGAGTTTAATAAAATTAAAATAAAAAAAATAAAAAATAGAGTTCTTACAATAAGAAAAATATCGCACAACACTTTTTACAGCGATAAGAAAACAATTCTACATAATCCCAAAAAACAAAGCGAATTTACACCAGATGTCTGTCAACATTGCCAATGTTTAGCCCATTTTAATGTTATCTGTATATTGCCTATTATTATACTTATCCTTATTTATCCTTATATTTTACATAGCGCTAGCTGAAGCTTTCAAACTCACTGCTATCGTCCAGGGAATGCTAGTAATGCATTCACTAGTAAAAGTTGGTTTTAAAAATAGCTGTTGAGCTTTTACTGGCGTAGTCTTAGCAAATCAGTGAATGTGAGCTTTTACTAGTAATAATTGTTAACAATCACTGATTTCCAACTTTTACTGTAACATATACAAAAAAATACTGGCGTTGGCGGCATGATATTTCTATAACTATAAATACAGATATAGAAAAAAAATACAACATAAAATTTGGTACGCTACTATTTTTTACATCCTGTATTATTGATGTTACAGGTAAACCTTTGATAAACTTCTTACCTCAACTAATGGACCTACAAAAGCAAGGTATTAAATTCTTCTTTCACGCTGGCGAAACACTATGGAATGGAGAAGCATCAGACCAGAATTTGTATGACGCCATATTGCTAAACACCAGCAGAATTGGTCACGGTTATGCTGTGACAAAACATCCAGAAATTTTAAGGCTAATCAAGGAAAAATCTATCCCTCTGGAAATAAGCCCTATATCAAATCAGGTAAGAAACCCATTTTTACAACCTTTTGTTGAAACTTGAAGAGAAACTATAATCTTGAATAAAACTGTTGTGGATAAAGGATCAGGAATTTGAATTTTTATAACCAACTCTAAGGCCCAGCGCCCACGATGCGACTGTTTTCTGACAAATATGCAAATTGATTGAGCTTGCAACTATTTTGCAACCTCGGTAACATATACTTAGTAGTGTGGAGCCACACACGAATCCATTCGAATGAAACTAGTTTGCAATCGCTCACAAATCTGTTATTCGCTACCATATGTTCCCACTGTCATGTAATTTTAAAGTTGTCCGTATTCAAGTGATTTCTACGTGGTTATTTCATATATTTTAAAATTCAAAGCCGTGTGTCACGGCCTTGAAATTTTACCCCCAACGCATATAAAAAAGTTTCACTTCAATAATAATTATACTTATTTTAGATACTTGGCTTGGTGAAAGACTTACGTAACCATCCTGCAAATTTTTTGATAGCCAATAACTATCCTTTAGTTATAACGTCAGACGATCCAGCAATATGGAACGCCCAGGGACTTAGTTTTGATTGGTACATGACATTTATGGCGATGACAGGCAGTGACGTCGATCTAAAATTTCTCAAACAACTCGCCATGAACTCGATTATCTACAGCTCTATGACGCCGAACTTTAAGCAAGAAGTACTGAAATCATGGAATGACGATTGGGAGTTCTTCCTACGAGAAGTTATGTATAATAATGTATGTTAATTTATTGTAAACGCGTTTAAAAGGAGTCAAGTGAATTGGTCAAGTCACAGGAACCGATTTGAAAGTAGGGTTACCAGATGAAAACTTGTCCACTCCGGGCAAACTTTCCCAAAATCCGGACGTCATAGTTTTTAACAAAGTAGCATTTTTTACATTACCACTGATTGGTGATAGTTATCATTTTTAATTTATTTATAAAATAAGAGCAAAATATACATTTATAACTTTCAAAACTTAAAACTTACGAAGTAAAACAATGAATTTACACTGCTGCATTGGCTCCCTAACTGGCACAAAAAGCTTTGTACATTCTGCGTATGCCAAAAAATTATTGATATAGAGTGTATCTAAAAGCAGATAACTAACACAAGTTAAAAAAAACTTCAACATCAGAATAATATCTTTATTTATAAAATAAGTAGATAAATTATAATAAAATTTAAGTTTATTTAATATTAAATATATTTTTTGAACACTCTGTATACATCGTTCCAAATTTCTGTTTAAAATACACGCTATATCAATAAATTGTGGGCCTATGCAAAATGTGCAATGCCTTTTGTACCATTCAATTTAGGACCAAATGTATGACTATTGTTTACAGTTCCGCAATTTTGCGGATCCGCGGGATTAATTGCTTTAATCCCGCGGGTTTGCGGGATTGAGATTTTGGTGCGGGATTGCATTCCCTAGTTCCCATGCATCGATTTTAGCATCAGCTAAATCAGGAGATTAATTTATTTATAATTTCTTTACATTTTATCATTTTACTAATAGCAAAATCGATGCATCGTAATCTTTAAACACAAAGATATCTTAAAAACCGTTCACCTTTTCGAGCTAAACAAAGAGCACCTGTTTTACGTAAAAATGTCCTAGCTTTTTTTATCATTAGTTAAAATTACTTTATCTATAAAAGAAGTACCATCAGTAGTACTCCCTATCCTAATGGAAAGTACCCTATCACGGCTATTACGGAAATTTTCACAGTAATTGCCATTCGCTCTGACATTAAAATGTCTGTAAGAGTACCAAATTTCATGAAAAACGGTTTGCCAATGTTCTTAAAAATATCCAAAATATATTATTTTTATTAAACCTTTCCAGGGCTGTAACTTCTTCTAGGAGCATTTTAGGGCATATATGTTTATAGGAACTTTTTGTTTTATTTTTATCTGTAGAATCACCTTGTATACATTTTTTTGACACCCTGTATACATATTTTGAACTGATAGCCCAGACAGCACAGTGACATTTTAAAGACATCTATAAGACAACTTGTTTCAACATTAGGGACATCTCAAAGACGTCTATTTTCGCCTTTAGACGTATTAAAGGCATCTTACCAACGTCTGATGTTAAAAAACCCAACATCATTAAGACGTCTTGAGTACAATGTCTTTAAGATATATTTTAACAATGTACTTAAGATGTCTTTTAATATGAATGGAAATGGGAGATAATGGTGAATTATAAAATAAAACATCTTCTTGGACTGGCATTGTCTTTAATTTTTAAATTAAGCATGTTTCTCTCAGATGTTACACTGACCAATATGAAGTGAACAGTTAACATTTTATAATAGTGATATATCTGACCTAAACGTTATGTATTGGCATTTTCTTCCTGGACAACCACTGGAGGGACATCTTAAGATGTGTTATCATCTAAAATATGAATCATAGAAATAAGATAATTGTTCAAATATATCTAGCAACCTAAATGTTTTAAACTTACCTGGCTTACCTACAATATCAGCTTTAACTTCTTTGATCAGCTTTAATGATGAAATTTTCGTAAATTCTCTGATGAAACTTTATATCACGTCCCTTTGCCAAACGGTTTTGCGCGCCTTTTTACAATTACAACAACGACAAGAACAAACATTTTCCGCGAGGTTTTCCAGAGATTTTCGATCACATAACCTCACATCAACATCAACCACAACCACAGAAGATAATTACAGTTGAGGGTTGGAACCTTTGGTGTTGCACAGCAAAATAAAACACTAAATCACCACAATACACCAAAACACTTTTACACTGGACGCGCGTTTCGCTAAGCATGTTAGCATCATCAGCAGATAACTGTCACGCCTGTCAATCGTCATATTTGCGCCTATAAATTAAATCAGGATAATGTTTTTATTTCTGTTAAGATTATACCATATTTCTGTCATATTATACCAGATTATACTATCCTTTTTTTATGATTATCGCCTACTCGAGAAAAAAAACGAGATAAATAGAAAAAATTAAATTTAAAATTCCTAATCATTTCTAATGTCATTTTAGAGACGTCCGGCGCGTCCTAAAGATGTTTTATTTCGTCATCTTATGAATATCTTTAAAATGATGTCCAAAAGTTGTCTTATTTTAGTCTTTAGGCGTTAAGATCTAATTAAGATATAAAAAAGACGTCTTTAAGATATTATGTGCTGTCTGGGAGGTAATATCACAGGTAATATCATATGATATGTTTTATTTATAATTTCAGAAAAAATCCTGAAATGTGTTTTATTTATAAGATCTAAAATTTGTATATTTTAAATTAAACTCTACTTTCTATATTTTATCTATTTATTCTATTTCTCTACTCTACCGGGTGCGTCTCAAAAGTGGCTCAGCCCCTATAACTTTTTTATTTTTTCAGATAAAAAAACGAAATGTCATCGATCGTATACATACGGTATATGACATACATTAGGATTGATTGTCGTATTCAATTGTTTTCGGTCACTTCCTCTTTCACCGGAAACGACTACAACTTTTGATTTTTAAATGGTACCCTCGGTATTTTTTTACCTCAATCTTTAGAAAATTATATTCTGAATAGAATGACACATATCATATGTCAACTTTTGACATTTCCGCATATGGTTTATTTGAAATTGTAACATGCGGTTCATAACGACAATTTGACTCGAAATACCAAGTGTGTGGTAGGTATCAAATTATTCGTAAAACATGATTTTTCTAATTATGCTAATGAGCCACCCTCGTTTCATTTGAAAAAATCGAGATATGATTAAAAATAGGATTTGGGCATCTTTTAACCGGCCAGGACAAAACACTAAAAACACTAAACGACCAAATCTATTTTTCCAAGGCTTTTTGATTAAAAATTAGCGTTTTTAGCGTAGTCATGGCACTCTAGATTGAAATTTAAAATACGATGTTTTATTAAGCGAGAATGTCAAAAGTTGACATATGATATGTCATTCTATTGAGAATGTCATTTTCTATTGAATAAAGTAAAAAATACCGAGGGTGCCATTTTAAATTCAAAAGTTGTAGTCATTTCCGGTGAAACAGGAAGTGACTGATACAATTGAATACGTCAATCAATCCTAATTTATGTCATATACTAACATACCAAATCTCGTTAATCAATCCTAATTTATGTCATATACTAACATACCAAATCTCGTTTTTTTATCTAAAAAAATAAAAAAGTTATAGGGGTGAGCCACTTTTGAGACACCCTCTATATCTATAGTTTTCCAATAAAAAAAATAACACAAATGCTTTAAAATTGAAAATTTATTAGTCAAATAAATAGTAAACACAATTTTCTCAGGTTTTAATTAAACTTCAACGATTGCCTTTCCAGTATTAGCTCCTTTGAGCATATCCACGAATGCCTTGAACGTATTGTCAAATCCTTTAGTGACTGTTTCTTTGTACTTCAATTTACCTTCTTGGATCCATTTCAGGTTTTGTTCGATACCTTCTTGCCAACGATCTATCCATCTACGTACCACAAATCCTTCAATTTTAAGTTGTTTGCCAACTATTGCTGGTTGGACAGTACTAGCTATAAAGCAAAGTTGGCAATATATTTTATTTTGTCTATATGTCGCACCCACTTAGTGTAATTGTCCGTTTCATGAAATGGATATTCACTTCGCAAACTGGTTAGATTAACCTAAGTAGCATTTTCACGACTTGCGACAACATGTTTACTAAACACAACGTTGGATAAGTTACAAAAAATAGTTAGTTCCGTATCTTGGGTATTAAAATAAATGTAGACGTTGTTGTGCCGACGTTGAACTAGTACTACAACAAAGTAAACGCTTCTGCGACGTCGAATAAACGTTGTCTTGTAACCTTTTTTGTTTAAGTGAGTTTTAGGTGATTCGGACAACGTAGTTACAATGTTGGGCAATAAAGAATTTTCCGACGTCACTTTCAGGATCTATTCCAACGTTATGCAAACGTCGTCTGTTTTACTAATTCCAACGTTGTTTAGATTTCCTTATTCTTACGTTGGTAGGACGTCGAGCCACTACCTTTTTGCAGCTGTATTGAACCATAACCTTAAATCTTAAATTTTCACTTCATTGTTCTGTTCAGTCAGACAGTTCAATGCTGTTTTTGTTTTTATAAAAAAAAAATTCATTAAAATGGGACGTAAGAAAGGCACATATAAAACTAAATTTAAATATACATCGACATATTACCGATACTTTATCCACTCCCACGTTTATTTAGAATATAGAGGACGGCGCAAGCTAGATTCTAGGATGACTAGATTAGGCAATCTTGCGACTAGTATACTACCTGTTAAGGCTGAACTCCGACTTTATTAGTCCAGTATGCGACTACTCGAACTACTCCATCTTAATCTCCCAAACAACAAAGTGAAAGCCGCCATGTTGCCGCCATTGTTGAATAAGAAAATGTTTCGTTCCTAAAATAGCAATTCCTGCTTTTTGAATACATTAACTTGAAATATTTGACCCTAAACAACACGCGGAAACAATTTTTGTTTCGATTGCGAATAAATTATTCTCATTTTACTAAAAAAAATTCAAGAAATTTTTTAAAACTTCTTTAATTTTAAGGCCCATTAGTATTTTTCAAAGTAGAAACAATACATTTATCAATAAAGTTGTTTGCGTTTAACTTTTTTTTTGCCTTGGGTAACGAGTTACAGAGTTGTAACTCGCTGCCATCGCCAGATTTACTGCCATCTGGCATATGTCTCTAACTAAATCATAAAAATAATATTTTTACTATAATTATCCCAATTTAGGATAAAAGGTGACTTAGACGCCATATTATTATAGTTTTGTATTTCTGTGAATTAGGATTTTAAACAACGTTGCAGTTTGTACTAAATTAGGCTGCTAGCCAACGTCGGTATCTAACGTCGTTTCGACCCAAAAATTATTCTCCAAACTAGTGCAGACTAGGGTTGGCACGAGGTTGTGCCGACTTTGCGCCCCGACGTTTGGTCGCGTGACACAACGTTGTCCCGATGCCCAAATGCTGCTTGGGAAATTAGGTTAGGTTCGCGAACTGGTTAGGTTTCAGTTCGCGAAGTAGATATCCATTTCATGAAACGAACAATTACACTAAGTGGGTGCGAGATATATAAAGATTAACTATTTTTGGTATTGAGGGTGAATCTCAAATAAGTGTGTTGGTGTATTATAAGGGTAGGCCAAATTGGGCGCTTTTAAAGGGAGACCCCTTTTTCTATAGGAGATAGATGAAAACAACTAATATCGGTGTCTGGAGCTCAATTTTTGTTAAAAACATGATGGTGAAAACCGCACATCGTTACCGTTTCGGAGTTAGTTTTCAAAAATTTTTGTGCATTTTTAAGAAATCGCTGTAACTTTTTTTGCTATGGAAAATGTTGTATTTTTATGAAAACATTTTCAAAGCACCTTTTTACGTAGAATTTAATGGTTTAAGTATATTTTTTTAAAATTAATAATTTAAGAGTTATCAACAGAAAAAATTGGCACCGGGAGGCACGTATATCCGCCCATACTTTGTTAATAAAAAGTTGGTAGGCAGTTCTTTTAGTTTCAAAGTAAAGGAATTTTTCCATTTTTTTTATCTCAAAAACTGCGACTTTGACTGATTCTGATGTTATTACAAATTTTGTTGCAAATATTATTTAAACATACCTTTAGGATTTATTTCATTATATGCGGAAATTGATCCGCAAACGGATACTCTGCCATACAAATTCATGTTGTTCAATACTATCGTACTTATTTCTCCACCAACCTGTCCAAAACATAATGTGAAAAAATAATTATAAGGAATACAAATATATAAATATATAGCATGATACAAAGAATACAAGGTATGATATTGCGCAGGTTGGTCACTACGTCACAGATGATAAACGGCACCATTGGTCGGCAAGCTCGGCGTGCCAATTTCAAATTGTCAAACAGATGACACATAATGAATGTGAAAATAATTTTTCAAATGTCAAGCTCGATGATTTGACATAACTTTTGGGGTTTTGTCCTAATTCTTCCCTATTTTAGTTCTTTTTTTATTAGTGACAATCAAAGGTGGCAATTGAACAATATGGATATTTTTTCTGTGGCGTATGACGTCACAGGTGGTATGCGCAAACTTAACGAAACTAGAGATGCTATCGATCATACCTTGTTTTCTTTGTACCATGGAATAAAGGGTTACAAACTTTAATCGTAAGTATAACTACTAATTAGAATGGGCTTTAAATATAAAAAGTAAGGAAGAAGAATATTGCTATCCCCAAGAATATTGCTATCCCCATACGTTACAGACGAAATCGACATCATAAATCTCCATTTTTCACAGTTTGACGTTTCAATTGACACATTTGAATTTGATTTGAAATTTTGAGGTTTTTTTGTGCTTTTCTAAGTTTATTTCATATTATTTATTAATAATATCTAAAGATAAATGGAATAAATCTAGAAGGATATTGTGTCAGAAATTAAATTTGCAGTGACATTACTGCGAATACCAGGAAAAGACTCTAAAATAGTCAGTTGTGTAGCTTTTGATAGATCTTAGGCAAAAATCGAGATAAATAAAAGAATAATTTTCACTGATAAGTATTGTGCTAATATACAGATAATTTACCTGTAGTAAGCCAATCAAAATAAATAAAATACGTCAATATGACTTACGAGTTTCAATAGCGAATCTGATATTTTTATTTTCAATAAATTCAACAAAATGATTAAGTCTGTCCTACGTTATATTTTTACACTAATAAGAATTTAAGTCAGCCATGCTAATGCCCCCATCATACTCACAACCTAAATATGTTGATACACTCCTTCCTTAATCTTTTTATTCAAAGATTGTAGTGTAGTGAATGTTACAAACAATTTACTAAAAAAATTAAACTAAAGTATTTTCTCTTACGTTATCGAAGTAGCAATCAACTCCTTTGGGAGCAAGCTTCGGAAGAACTTCAGCAACGTTCTGAGTTTTGTAGTTAATAACCTCATCGAAACCCAACTCCTCCTTCAACCATTTGATTTTGTCATCGGAACCGGCTATCCCAATGACTTTCAAGCCTTTTATTTTAGCTATTTGACCTACGTGCGAGCCCACCGCACCGGCAGCTCCACTCACAACAACGGTTTCGCCGGATTTTGGCTGGCATAGTTCTAGAAAGCCGAAGTATGCCGTATTCCTAAAAATAAGAATCGTTAATTAAGCTTGGTTAACACGGTCAAAATGTACTTGGACCAAGTCAACCGGTAAAGCGATCAACTCAGTAACACCCCTAAAGGTAAAAAAATTAACCTAATTTAATCTTACCCTGGCATGCCCAAAACTCCCAAAGCTAAAGATAATGGTAGTCCTTGAAAATCCGGAAGTATCGATATTGGTAATGCTACTGGTGTTTCCGATTTTCCGTTTGATACTGTGTGACTTCTCCATCCAAAGTTGCTAATAATGTGCTTACCAACCGGATAGTCTGCATTTTTACTCTCAATGATTCTAAAAACAAAACAAAAATTGGCACCAGGAGGCACGTATAGCCGCCCATACTAAAATATATTAATAAAAAGTTCGTAGGCAGTTCTTTTAGTTTCAATTATCTCAAAAACTGCGACTGTGACTGATTTTGATGTTATTACACATTTTGTTGCAAATATTATTCCTAATCTTAAATTGAAAACCGCCTTTCGCTAGTTACTGTAATTTTGGAGTTATGATTTTTTAAGTTTTTTAACACCCTCCTATACCTCCTTACTAACCCCCCACTTCCACTAAAAACTAATGGCCAGATTCTCGGGTGCCACAGTATATTTGTGCCAAATTTGGTTAAAATCGGTTTAACGGTTTTTGAGTTATCGTGTTAGAGACAGACGGATAGACGGACAGATGGACAGACACCATGAAAATATTTTGTATTTAGGTCATTTATGGCCCAAATAACTCATTTTGAGTAAAATTAAAAAAACCTTTTTTTGCCGATCTTAATAGCCTACCATACCTGTTGGTATGGTCGGCTAATAACCAACATGAACCATATCATATGTCAACTTTTAACACTTTTGCTTAAAAAATAATATATTAAATTTCAATTTAGAGTGCGTTGGCTTTGTTAAAACCACTAATATTTAATCAAGGAGCCTTGGGAAAATATATTTTGATAGTCTAATGTTTTACGTGACTTTTCCTGACTGGTTAAAAGATGCCCAAATCGTATGCTTAATCATATCTCAATTTTCTTAAACGGAACGAGAGTGGCTCGTTAACAAATTTGGAAAAGGCATTTCTTTACGTGAGGGGTGTAGTAACAAAACGTACAATCTCCACTTTTTATAAAAAATGCGGTAAAATATGATTCGGAACTACATTTCGAGCTGCATTAGAATAAGATGCTATTTAGCATTAAACTGGGCAATATCCTATTGTATTTTACGTTCAAATGTTGGCTTTAGTTTCAAAACGTGCAATCTCCACTGACAAGGGAATATCAAAGCGTGCAATCTCCAAACAACCAATAGGAGAAACCACAACAAGACCACGTGATTTGGTTAGTTATATTAATCTAATAATATTAGCGAATAATAATTACCAAAGAATTGAGGCACGGAATCTAGGTACGTGGAGAAGTTACCTATAAGAGTGACTTAGGTGCTGATAAACCTATTTGCAAGAGGTAAACGTTTAGGTGATATGGTCCCAAATATTATTGAAAAACAAAATGCGATAAAGGAAAAAAAATCGCACCATCACTGCTTTGCTGAAAGGTCATTATGGTGAAAACTGGAAAGAAGATAAAGATTTGGAATTTTATAAGTTCGTTCTAGATGAGGCCGAAAAACAGTCTGAGGAGGATAAAGGAGAAGGCGAAACTTGCGAGTATTTTGATGAGGGACCCAGCGTGAGAGTTTAAAGATTTACTTAATTAGATAAGAAAAGATAGTTTGAATCCTAAACAATAAGATTTTTTGTATTTGCATAAACTACTTTATTTTTGTCGATATTATTTTTTGCTGTTAAGTCGGTCAATTACTACAGTCTACTTTCAAAATGTACAATCTCCACAGTTTAGCTTCAAAATGTACAATCTCCACAGTTTAGTTTCAAAATAATCAATCTTAATTAACAATAATAAGTTAATCCGCAATATTTTTTATTTTTCTTGTAGCATGATATAGTAAGTACTTATCTTAAACTGCAGAGCCATAGAAAATTATGTTTGCATCTATATTTTGATTTATAAGAGTTTTTCGTGATTTTCTCAAAATTGACACAGAAGGAGATTGTACGTTTTGTTACTACACCCCTCACGTATAATTTGGTACCACATACTTGGTATTTTGATTTAAATCATCTTCACTTTCGAAAACTACCCGGTAGAATAGACATTCAAAGCAAAATAGTGGAAAAATAGCATATTCAAATATAGAAGTAATGAAATATAGAGAAAATAGTTTAATTGAAATGTAAACAACAATGTAGAGAACAAATGACAACAAGTGTCATGTATATTGGTCACAATCATTCCATATCATTAGTTCAATCAGTTATCCATACCACGAGATTGGCAAAAAACTCTCACTTCACTGTTAGGCGGTACGAAGCCGAATCACCGCTAATCTATACTAATATACAGGGTGTTTGGAAAAATCTGGTCATTGATTAATCACGATCCTGCTTAAACCGCTTGACGTAAAAAGCTGATTTTTGGAAAACAGAGTGACTTTATGGTATAGAGGTTCGATAAGAAGGGATTTTTCGAAACTCGAATTCTAAGGGGGTTAAACTATCCCTCAAATATTACAATATTTTTTATTTAAAAAACGGTCAAGTTTCCGAAAAAACGCTTAAACAAGTATATTTTATTTTGTTTTTTTACATATTTTAAGATTTTTTAAAAACGTATACAGGGTGTTTCGAAAAATCTGGTCATTGATTAATCACGATCCTGCTTAAAGCGCTTGACGTGAAAAGCTGATTTTTGGAAAACAGATTGACTTTAGGGTGTAGAGGTTCGATAAGAGGATTTTTCGTAACTCGAATTTTAAGGGTGTGAAACTATCCCTCAAATATCAAAATATTTTTTATTTAAAAACCGGTGAGTTTTTCGGAAAAACTCTTATTTTATTTTGTTGTTTTACATATTTTAAGATTTTTTATAAATTTATATAGGGGGTTTCATCAAATATGACCATTGAGTAATCACTTTTCTGCTTAAACTGCTTGACCTGCTTTAAAGCTGATTTTTGGCAAACGAATTGATTGTGGGGTGTAGAGGTTCGATAAGGAGTGATTTCTCGAATCTCAAATTCCAAGAGGGTGAAAACGCCCTTCAAATATTACAATATTTGTTATTTAAAAAACGGTTAGTCTTTCGGGAAAACGCTTGGACAAGCATAATTTATTTGTTTTTTTTACAAATTTTGATTTTTTTTTAAAAATCATTCAGGGTGTTCCAAAAAGTTGGGTAATTGATTAACCACGATTCTGCTTAAACTGCTTGATGTAAAAAGCTTATTTTTGGCAAACGGATTTTTCGGAAGTCAAATTCCAACGAGATGAAACATATAGATATAAATGTGAGAAAATTTTATCCAGTTTGTATGTTAATGGAAATTCTTGCTTTGCTTTATCATCACCAAAACAAATAATTAAATCGACGCGAACGAAGTCGCTGGTACACGCTAGTATCTCATATAAAATAACTTACTTTGCAACCTGCTGTCCAATACAAGTACTACCTAATGATGCCCTGGCTGCGTACGGTCTCATATACGGATCTACGCTAAGATATACAGCCTCAGCTAAGAATTCTAAAGAAATAAGTAATTTTTTATTGATCTGGCAGAAAGAATCAAAGAAAATACACCTACCTCCATCTTTAATAGTTGGTAAATCCTCTTCTAGCACTTTTAAGTCACCCTCTTTCGGGAAACCATTAAACCTTTTTTCGTAAATGAATCGTTTTGCTTTAACCATTTTTCTGTTTTGAAGCGCTTGACTGAATCCACTTAACTGAAATTACTCAGCAAAATGATCGAATATAATTAGATCATAAGAGAGATAACATAGATTAAAACAATCTTTAAAGATATATACAGTCAGGAAAAATAAAATCGATATTTAAAAATTCGATATAACAATTTTTTACGATTACAGAAAAATGCTTAGAGTGTTATTTTTTTCTTACTTTAAAAAAAATATATTAAGATCCACTTAACTAAAATTACTCAGCAAAATGATCGAATATAATCAGATCATTAGAGAGATAACACACATTAAAACTATCCTTAAAAATATATATAGTCAAAATAAATAAAATCGATATTTAATAATTCGCTGGATAATTCGATATATCAATTTTTCACAATTACAGAAAAATGCTGTTACTTTTTTATTACTTTAAAAAAAATATTAATTAAAATACCTATTTTAATTAATATTTTATAAATAAGTATTTTGGTGTATTGTGGTGATTTAGTGTTTTATTTTGCTCTTGTAATACCGAAGGTTCTAACCCCCCAACTGTAATAATGACAGCGTTACTTAAATCATTGAAAATCTCATGTGTGTCTTTAAGTTCTCAGAAATTTCTTCGAGTGTCTTAAACCGTGGGGGATTTTCCAGGTTACGGATGGAGTCTTCCAGGTTCTTGAGTTCCGCTTTATGTCGGTTTCCACTTGAGAAGCAGAACGGTTCTGATTCAGTTAGTGGAGTGTTCGCTCCCTTTCTAGCTAGATCCTTTGCTTTTTCATTAGTTTTTATCCCTCTGTAGGCTGGTACCCAGAGTAGGAGTACTTTGTTTGGAGTACTTTGTTTTGTTTTTTTTTTGTGGGGAAAACAATCTGCAGACCAAAGAGCCTATGCGGTACTGTCGGGGTGGTTGGTAAGGTACCGACCTTACCGACTAAAAAAAAACTCCACAAGCAGCTTTGAGTATCTCCTCGAGGAACTACCTTTCGGCATTACTTATCGAGGAGGCAGTTTTACTGTGATGTTTTAGTTACTTCCTCTAGCTTCTTCCTCTTTTATAATATATTAGTGTCTTCATAAAAGTGTGAACACTATTCCAGTTTTCTCGGGATCGCATCATCTCTGGAACTAGATCGGAAATCTTAATTTTATCGACTCTTAGTTTTTTGTATAGCACTCTTCGTTCAGCGGTCCATCGGTTATATTCCAAAAGGGTATACTCCACCGTATCAGCATTTGAGTCGCCATAGAGGCATCTCGGGCTATCAATTAACTCTATTTTATATAGGTAATACCTGAAACAACAGTGACCGGAAAAAAATTGACTCATGGCATAGCTCAGTTCTCCATATTCTCTATTTATCCAACATTCTAGGTCCTTTATAAGTGTTCTAGTCTATTTACCTTTCCCATTTCTGTTTTCGCTCCCATCTTTTACATTATATTTCCAATGCTCTATTATTACTTTCTTCCGCTGTTCTTCCTGAATGTTCTTGCCTTTCCATTCTTTCTTCAATTACTATGTCTATTGGGGCTATTGAGCTCAGAACTTGTGCAGCCTCCGCAGATATTGTCCTGTATCCACGACATACTGTTATGGCCAATCTTCGTTGTACTGCAAGACGTTGCTCTCTATGTCTCCGAATCTTGTAGGTTTCTCCCCAAATTTCCGATCCATAGTTTCGTTTGCCCCAAGGTAGACCAGTTTGGTATAATTCTGGATAAAATGGCACCCTGTTTTTCTGTTTTCAAAACTGAATGTCGGATATGCTCAGAAAAGCCTCCGCCTGCTTGGAAAACAGTCCCCAAATATTTTATTATTTTCTTTGGTACAATTATATTTTGTTTCACATGAAAACGTACACTGGGTGTTTTTCGGTTGCCAACCAAGGAGTACTTTGGTTAGAGTGGAGTACATTGTCATAAGAAGGTACAGTAGATATCAAATATCTAGTGATTATTACAAATAAAATAGCATACACCATTCGACAGTACATTATTCTATATAGGATATAGGATATCTATCTATACTATCTAATTTATCACTTTGAAACTTCCAGCTTTGTAATACTAACATATGAAAATAAATAGAACGACTTTTTACCGTAATATTTTTATTAAAAATATAAATATATTAATTACATGATATTTTTAAGCTTCCACAACTGCTTTGCCAATATTTCCACCTTTCAACATATCAGTAAAAGCGCTAAACATATTTTCGAAGCCTTTTGTCACAGTTTCTCTGTACTTCAGCTTGCCTTCTTTGATCCATTTTAAGTTTTGTTCAAAAGCTTCAGGCCATCTATCTATGTAGCTGGATACTAGGAACCCTTGCAGCCTAAGTTGTTGCGTTGTTATAGTTCCCTGAATAATACTTGCTGAAAACAAAAATTAAATGGAAGAATTCTTTAGTAAATTATAGAAAAAAAAAATTGGCGCCGGGAGGGCACGTATAGCCGCCCATACTAAAATATGTTAATAAAAAGTTGATAGGCAGTTCTTTTAGTTTCAATTACCTCAAAAACTGCGATTTTGACTGATTTTGATGTTATTAAAAATTTTGTTGCAAATATTCGCTAGCTACTGTATTTTTGGAGTTACGATTTTTTAAAATTTTTAACCCCCTCATTACCTTTAGGTCATTTTTGACCCAAATAACTCATTTTGAGTGAAATTAAAAAAACTTTTTTTTGCCGATCTAATAGCCTACCATACCTATTGGTATGGTCGGCTAATAAGGAAAATAACTATACAGGGTGTGCCTTAATGACAAGATGTATAAGTTAAATTACCTTTAGCATTTGAATCATTGTATCCAGAAATGGATCCACATACTGATACCCTTCCGAAAACTTTCATATTTTTCAAGACAATAGCACTTATTTCTCCACCAACCTAAAAATACAAAAAATACTTATGAGAGTTTTTTTTAGAATATATTATTTTTTAAATCTAAAACTATGCATACAGGGTGTCCGAATTGGTAGGCAGCATATTTTGCAGATAAAAATAAGTAAAAAAGTTTATACATAAATATATGTAATAAAATGCTTCGTTTCGGAAATACATGGTGTGGAAGATTCATTTTTATTTCGATTTTTTCCAAATAATAATAACTAACGTCGTTATTTCGATGAAATGGGTGTCCGGAAGTTTTTTGATATTAGAAGTTTAATTTTGATGAGAGACAATATGACTCCTACTTGTAGGGGGCGCCACCTACATATTTTTTAAATGGTTTGAACGGTCATAACTTTTTGTCCGCGCCTATAATTTTTAAAAATTACTAGAAACTTAAAAAGAACTAAAGCTTAAAAATTTTCTAGAAAAAATTATTATTAATTTAAAAGAAATAAAAAGTTCCAAAATTAATCATTTAAATCAAATGTCTATATAGTAAACATGTTCATTTTTTGTCAATGATGACATGTATTGATCATTTTCATTTCAAATATCTTGAAAACGGTTCAATCGAGGACTCCTAACAGTTTTTCAAACAAATTCCTTGATTTAAGTAATAACAATCTTCGAATTGTCACCGGGCTTTTACCAGGACAATATTTCCTCAATTAACACCTAGTAGATTAAAGCTAAGAAACAAAAGCCAATACAGATTCTGCATGTGGGGACGTGGTGCGCCGAGACGACAACCATTCATGCCATACATTGCGTTATTGGTACGGTTCATATCGGAGATGGAGAACTAACCTCTGTAAAACCGTCTCAGATACTGGCGTGGATGCACAGATTGGCGAATGTTCTAGCTACAAACATTTTGGACAAATGTTGAATCCAACATTCTAAAAGATTTGACGCATAGGTTGGAAATATTTCCAGCGATTAAAAAAACCTAACTATTAATTTTTTTATTCCTTACATTATCGAAATAAACATCGATTTTCTCAGGTGCAATCTCCGGTAAAACTTTGGCAACGTCTTGTGTTTTGTAGTTTATCACCGCATCGAAACCTAGTTCATCCTTGAGCCATTTGATTTTCTCATCCGATCCGGCTATACCAATCACCCTACATCCTAAAATTTTGGCTATTTGACCTGCGTGATGGCCCACTGCTCCAGCCGCTCCACTCACCACGACAGTCTCGCCTGCTTTGGGTTGACAGATGTCAATCAGACCAAAGTAAGCGGTGTTCCTGGAATACAAACAAGACACATAATGAGGAGAACCGCTTGATTTTAAAATAAAAATTTATTATTTTTAATTTATTACTTTTAAAGCACTCTGTATAAAAAATTAGGGGGCCGCCCAATAATTAAATCAAAATAAATATCTAGACTATATGTCGATATCTGACACAATTCTTCTGTATATTAAAACCCATAAATAGATGTAAAGTTATTTAGTATTGATATATAGAAAATGTGGTCCTCACTCCTCGTTATTGGGTAAAAAAATATGACGCGCAGTTTAAATTTCACAAGAGGAGCTACTGACTTGTGTGCGCAAGTAACAATGGTTTACGAGTAGTTAAATCAGAATAAAGGAGCAGATAATTTTACTGAAAATCAAATGGAAAATAATAAAACAAATTGTGATTTTTAAGTCAATACAACGCATTTAAATTCAAAATGCTAATTTTAAAAGATCTGACGTAAGGATAGCGGGGGTCGAGTCAAATCCCACATTATCTCACCAGTAGAAGAGGGGGTAAAAAAATCCACAAAAACTATAATTTATGGACGCCCCCTAAACTGTTATACATGTTGTCCAAAAATCTTTCTCTTCGACATTGTTGAAGAACCTTGGTATGTAAATACCATAATGTGTTTTGGAATTTGTTAATGAACTTACCCTGGCATACCTAAAACACCTAATCCCAACGACAATGGTAAGCCTTGGAAATCTGGCAATAATTTGACTGGAAAATTTAAAGGTTTATCCTCGAAAACTCCACTGGATATTGTATGGGTTCTCCAGCCAAAATTTCCAAAAACATGCCGTCCTACCGGAAAATTTGGATTTTTGCTTTCAATTATTCTAAAAAGCGATAAAAAATTATACAGCAAAGATATTTGTAAAACTTGGAGAATAAGTTTTGAAAGACTTGCACTCGTCGGTCTTGCGGTATTTGTCTTGCTTTTGTCTTGCGTGCAAAAGCAAGACCGATTAGTAAGACCGATTAGTGCAAGACCAAGCATGCGAGAGTCTTGCAGTCTTGATTTTTTAATAAAAATAAATGAAATCTGGCAACTGGTAATAACTTACTTTGCTATTTGTCGCCCAATAAATGGTTGCCCTAAAGTCAAATTTTCCGCATACTTCCTCATGTAAGGATCCACGCTTAAATATACAGCTTGGCTCAAAAATTCTAAACAAACATCAGACATTAAAAAATCCATTAAATGTAAATACCGTATGACTGAAAAAAGAACCGCGTCAAAAACAGCTGGGGAATGACCACCGATGATAATTTTAGCAAGGCCAATCTCTCAAGCGTCATTTATTACTAAAAATTGACAAAAAACTTAACACTTTAACAGTAATTATTAAAAGATTAAAAAAGGATAGAACGTTTTCAGAAACATAAATCTATTTCCAAAATTTTTTTTCGAATTTTAAACTAAACCATTTAAAAATAATTTTTATTCTGTTTAAAGTATAAAAATAAATTACAACCTTCTTAAACCACCTAGCAGTAAGCGCTGTTAAAAATTAAGAATACGGGACAAGTAAATGACGTTTAAGGCTTGACCTCGTCAAAATTATCATCGATTTTCATTCCTCAGCCGTCTTTGACGCCGTTTTTTTTCGATCGTATAGTTTTAGCGGCATACCTCCATCCTTAATTGGGGGTAATTCTTCTTCTACCAATTTCAAATCACCCTCCTTGGGAAAACCGTTGAACTGTCGTTGAAAAATATAAACTTTTGCTTTAACCATTGTACTATCACTTAATTTAGAACACCCGCGTGCTAGGTCAAGACGAAGACTAAATTTCAGCATAAACAAATACTAATGATAAGAATACTTAAGAATGTAGCAGGATATCGACTAATATATTGATATATCGTTATAAGATTCCACGATATTAACAGTAATCACAGTAACTATTTGGTACTTTAACTTTTATCAATGTTTATATTCTTATCTTTATTTGTCTTATTAGTTAATTAGCTTTATGTAAAATTGCACAGTCATTGAGATAGAAGTGATATTTTAGTAGAAAAAGTATTATAACATTTAATGTAATAGAAATTTACTGGTTATATACAAGGGGAGTCTTAAATAAGTGCAAATATTTTCAGGGCTGGTAGATATCGATAAAAGAAACATATTTTCTCTTTACCGTTTTTCAAATACCCAAGTCCAAAATAACCGAGTTATTTTACTTTGAAAATTAACAATAAAAAATGATTTTTTGCTTACATTTAGGTAAGGGCGTTTGACAATATACCACATAAGGTGGTCAGGCGATCTCTGGAAACAAGAGGGATGAACAGAACTATTATGCGCTGGTTTTGGGAAACGCTGTCAACACGAACAGCAGAGGCTTAGATGGGCACCAAAACTGTAGCTGTTAAAACAACGCAAGGAACTCCACAAGGTGGAGTAACCTCCCCTTTGCTGTGGAGCTTGGTAGTGGATGAACTACTAGACGAATTAACTCTAGCGGGAATACACTACATTGGGTATGCAGATGACATAGTCATGATCGCTCGGGGGAAACATGAAGGCACCCTGTGTGATATTATCCAAAGAGGACTCCGTATTACTGAGAGATGGTGCAGGACTATCGGGCTGAGTATCAACTCAGACAAAACCGCGATAGTGCTATTCACCAGAAAGCGAAGTCTGAAAAACTTGAAAAGAATCCAACTAGATGGAAAGGAAGGAACAGGCATATTAAGAACCCTACCAGCAAAGCCACAAAGGCTCTCATGATATTCAGAAGACTGGCCGGAAATAGATGGGGCTGCTCCCCTAACATTTTGCGCTGGATGTATACCATGATAGTAAGACCCATGATTACTTATGGAGCACTTGCCTGGTACACAAAACTAGAGCAACGGACCTGTGCAAAGTCCAGAGACTAGCATGCGTTTGCATCACAGGAGCCATGAGAACCTGTCCAACAGCAGCAATGGAGGTCATTCTAGATCTAACACCACTGCACATTGTCATTGGTAGATATGCCAATGCGACAATGATTAGAATGGTCATTAACGGAATTAGTACTGGGAGAACCTTCAGATCAGGGGCTTGGAACATCCTCAAAAAGGAAATACCACTCCTGCAACTCCCAGTGGACGATATGCCAAGAACGTACAACTTTGAAAAACATCTCAATGTAGTATTGAGCAATAAAAAGGATTGGAAGAGAGAAACGTCTGCCCAGCAGTTGAAAGACCATACCATAACTTGGTATACTAATGCTTCCAAAACCAATACGGGAACAGGGATCGGAGTATTTGGGTCGAGAACTAAATACTCCGAACCAATGGGCACTTACCCTAGCATCCTACAGGCAGAAATCTACGCTATCGAAAGATGCGTACAACTTATCTTAGATAGGAACTATCGGAAACAAGAAATAGCCATCTTATCTGATAGTCAAGCAGCGTTAAAAGCGATCAACTCAGTATCAATCAACTCGAAATTGGTCAAAGAATGCATAGAGAAGCTAAATAAATTAGGTAAAAAAAACAAAGTCCTCCTACTCTAGGTGCCTGCTCACCAAGGGATAGAAGGCAATGAAAATGCAAATGATCTAGCTAGAAAAGGAGCGAACACTTCACTAACTGGACCAGAACCGTTCTGCTTTCCAAGTGGTTACCAACTCAAGGCGGAACTCAAGAACTTGGAAGATTCCGTCCGCAACCTGGAATGGGAATCTTGCAACGGTCTAAGATACTCGAAGAAGTTTCTAAGGGCTTATGATCAAGAAAAATCACAGATCTTCCTGGGTTTAAGTAAGAACAATCTTCGGATTGTCACGCGGTTTTTAACAGGACACTGTCTCCTCAATGAACACCTCAGTAGATTGAAACTAAGAAGAAAGGGCGAATGCAGATTCTGTGGGGAAAATGGGGAAACACCAGTACACCTCATTATTGAGTGCGCCGAGACGACAACCATTCGTGCCGTGAACTTTGGTACGACTGATATTGGAGATGGAGAACTACCCTCTATAAAACCGTCCCAGATACTGGCTTTTGTCAAAGCCCTGGGACTGTATGATGAGTTATAATTCAAGAAAGGGGGACACAATAGATCTGTAAGGTCGCAGTGATTTACCCCCCTCCCACTCATTCAAAATTCTAAAATTCTAACAGTATTCTTCATCGCTACCGATCGCTATTTCGTTACAGAGTTCAAAGTTGCTACAGAGACACCTGACTGAGATAACCTTTAAGAATCAAGTTGTAATAACAAGTAGTGTATACCTCAAACGTAGCGGCTCTAGAAAAATCTTGCTGCGGGAGCGCTAAAGAAATGCTAAAGATGGGCTGGTCACGAATGCAGGATGCAATAAAACCATCTAACGAAAGCTCTTCTTTACAGTGAGCTTGTAGACGGTAAGAAGAAACCAGCTGGACAACTCAAAAGGTACAAGATATTTTCCATGAAAACTTATAGGGGGATAAGCATGCAGAATCAGTGCATGGGAGGAAGCACAGCAGAATAGAACGCAATGGAGAAGAATTGTAAACTCGATAACGACAACCAAAAAGTAAAGAGCCAACAAAGTAATGAGAGTGCGGAAAAGAGAAAAGCTCAAAGAGAAAGAGAAAAAGAGAAAGAAAACGCCTTGTGTAACCATCTTGTGATGCGTGTCAAATAATCGTCAGCTAGTAATGGTAGTAAGTAAGTAAGTATATAAGAAATATTAACGCATTTAATATAATTAACAGAATAAATTAATTGAATTTTATATCGGAGATACCGTATGATTTCAACTAAAATGGGACACCCTGTACGTGTGCTCCTATACCTTAAAGCATTGTGTCTAGCCCCAGCAAGGCAACTATTAAGCTTTGGTTAGCGTGGTTATTTGGAGGGTGTTAATTCATTGGTTAGTTGGTTATTTGGTGGGGTTGGTTGGTTTTTACTAATTTATATTTGTTTTTTAGATATTCATTGATTTTCTTTATTTGTTTGTAATAAATTATATAGTACGCCACAGCTGTTCTGCATCCGCTTTTGTCAAAAACTCTAACGTGATTGGTCAAGTTTAATAGTTGCCTTGCTGGGGCTAGACACAAGTCCTTAAACTGACTAGGCATATTTCTGTTATCAAATATTAAGTCAATTACATTAACATATTCCAGATATTTTTAAATTTTCAATAGAAAATATCACACAATTCTTTACTTATATTGAATTTTGATAGCAATCACTCAAATAAGTGGCACATTGTTTAAACCAAAATTGATTAATCATTGTTTAGAGGCTTATTTAGATTATAGTAAAATTACCTGTAAATACACAGTATGGCTGATATTTGTTAAATTAAAATCATATTATAAAAATAACAAAATCTGATGTCACTTCGATAAATGGGATAGTCATTTGTAGATTACATCACTTAAGTCAATTTTTTTACCTTACATTGTTATAAAAAAACTATGATTTTTTAAATATTAAACTATATACCTATGGGCATCCGATAAATATTTGATTGGCAAACGGACTAGAACGCATTTATTTTTGCTTTTACTACGAGAATCGCTTGTGCTTTTGTTAAAAAAAATGTTTCATCTAGACTAGATGGCTGAATATTGGTATAAAGCGTAGTTTACACGGGATAGAAAATTGCTATAGAACTTGCTAGAGTAACTTGCGATAGTGTTTACATTTAAGCAAATTTTAAAGCAATTTCTTGCAACAAGTACTTTCTAGGCATATGCTTTGAGCAAAAAATTGCATGCACGTATACACGGTATGGTGTATATTGCACAAGTATATTGTTTAGTAGAAAAATGTCGCGCCGTAAAAAGAGAGCTGCAGCCACTGCTCTTCTTGTTGCAATTTTACGCAAACAGTCAAGAAAATCTAGAAAAAGAATATGGGTTAAAGAATGGATTGCCAGAAGGCCTAGTCTTGGAGCTTACGCGATGTTATTAAAAAAAATAAGAAATGAAGACCCAAAGCATTTAAACAATTTTCTGCGAATGTCAGAAGTCGATTATACTTTTTCTTTTTATAATTTTGTTCCACTTCTGGTTTGCTTGGGTACGAATATCATGTAGCTTCCGCTGAATCTCAGCCTCAGTTGTGTTGAATTTGTCGGCTATAAATTTGATTGCTTTTTGCTTTTTAGCTCTATCTCTGTAAATTTTCGATTTTTTTTACCACAATTCCGGAAATCCTTCAAATAAATTAATCAAAGAGGTATCTTCTTTCGACCACATACTCCATTTTAATATCGTTATTTAACAGGCCTTCGAAAATCACTTGCACCAAAAACTTTCAACAAGACGGAAATAAATTTTAACTTGCCAGAGCACTCTCCCAACCTGTTTACACTTGCAAGCGACTTTCGTCGCAACCACTTCCCCGCCAGTTTTGTGACCTGCTGAGAGAGTGCCTTTGGATACTGTTTACATTATGCAAGTTTGGTAGAAGTGCTCTCAGACATATACTTGCAATTTACGAAATTTACTTGCCCGTGTAAACTACGCTTAAAAGTACGAACCAACTGTGAAAGTGCCACAGTTGATTCAAATCAAACTACTTGAAACAGCAAAAAAATAGTCACATAACAAAAAACTTTATTTAAAAATATAATTGATAACGTTATAATACAATACTAATAAACATAATGTAAAACATTATACTTAGTAAAATGGACCTTAAATTTCTAATTGTGCATATGCGTCTTAAACTTCTACAATCGCCTTTCCAATGTTGCCCCCTTTCAACATGTCCGTAAAGGCTTTAAACATGTTTTCAAATCCTTTCGTTCGTGTTTCTTTGTATTTTATTTTGCCATCTAGGACCCATTGGAGATTCTGTTGGATACCCTCCAACCATCTGTCAGTCCATCTGCCTACCAGAAATCCTTGGATAGACAATTGTTTGAACACGATGTTTAATTGGATAACGTTTCCTGAAAAAAAAAACGCCAACATAAATTAAAAACAAAATCTACACACATGGCCAAAATTATTGCGTAATATATACGTATATAAAAATATACGGAAAAGAATTTAAAGATTTTTTTTATTCATAGCTTTGATAATCTGTAATAAACATTCTTTTGTTAAAATGGATAGGTAAACAATGTTCATCGTTCAGACCCAATGTTATTACAAATTCTTGCACAATTCGATTTGTGGTCTCTTGGGTTTCAGAAGAAATTTGACCATTGTTTTGGCCTTAAAATGCCTAGAAACAGTATTTCTCAGTTTAATAGAGTCAGAATAGTAAAACTGCCTCAACAGGGCTACCGGCAAGTTGCAATAGCTGAAATTGTAGGAGTTAACCAAAGCGATGTTTCGCGAATATTAAAAAAATTCAGGGAGACAAACGAGGTTACAGACCGGCCTGGAAGAGGTAGAAAGAGAGTTACTACTGCTATGCAAGACCGTCAAGTATCCCTAATTGCACGACGCAATCCCCTGCTTTCTAGTACTGCTATTAAAAATGAGTTAGCTCGCCTTGAAGGAGTAAATGTTTCAAGAAAGACCATAGCAAGAAGACTCCATGACAGGGGATTACATTTCAGGAAGCCTCTACGTGTTTCGAAGCTTAATTTATAGCACAAAATTACTCGACTACAATTGGAATTTCGTCATGTTTAGTGATGTAACAAGAATAGGCCTAGTGGAAGACTCGCGACGAACTTTGGTCTGGAGAGCATCTGGAAGACGAGCACGCTTGAATGCAGCTCAATCCCCATTCCGTTTCAAGGGGGAAGCATTATGGTATGGTATGGGCAGGTATAATGCACGGAGCTCGAACTCCTCTTGTTTTTACTGATGGCACAATGACAAGTGGCTCATATCTTAGAGATGTTTTAGAGCCTATTGTGCGTCCATTTCGAGGGGCAATAGGGGATGAATTTGTTTACATGAACGATAATGCTCCTTCCCATCGCACTTTAGCGGTTCGCGAATTTCATGGGGAAGAGGGTATAAGGGAAAACTGGTGGCTACCCATGTCTCCAAATATGAATGTGATCTAGCATGCTTGGGGACATACTAAAATGCCATATTGCCAAAAGGAATGATCCCCCCGTACCTTAAATGTATTGAAAATTGCTGCGCGCGAAACATGGAAAACCATTCCTCAACATCTTCTGGACAACTTAATTGAGAGCATGCCACGTCGCCTCACAGTTTGCATTGAGGCTCGAGGAGGCACTACAGACTATTAGTTGTGAGAAATAATTAAAATTGTTTTCAATATTTTCTGTTTAAAATGAAATTTGTTTATGTTGATTTTCACTCATTATGAAATAAAATTATAATAACAGCTTAGTTGCACTTAGATTTTTAATTTTATATTAGTTAGTCGTGTAGTAAACCAATATCTCTTTTAGGTCCAAAATAAAATAAAAATATCGTTATATGCAATAATTTTGGCCATGTGTGTATTTTGTTTTTATTTAGATCATCAATCGTCGATAACGTATTAATTTTTTGTAATCCCCCATTTGTTGCTGATGACTTTAAAAAAGAATTATTATTTATTACAGTTGAGGGTTGGAACCTTTGGTGTTACACAGCAAAATAAAAACACTAAATCACCACAGTACACCAAAACACTTTTACTTTTACACTGGACGCGCGTTTCGCTAACCATGTTAGCATCATCAGCAGATGATTATAAACTGAATTATTTGTTAAAATTTCTGTGAATACCTTTTGCTTTTTCACCATTATATCCAGAAATACCTCCGCACACTGATATTCTGCCAAAATCGTTCATGTTGTCAAAAACTATATCACTGATTTCTCCACCAACCTAGAAGATATTAATAAAAAAATATTACCTATTTTAATTTACACAAAAAACACATATAAGTCAAGTAAGTATCAATTGATAAATCTATATACAGGATGGTCCGAATTGTATTCCGGAAACTTCGGTAGCATATTCTGCAGATAAAAATAAATAAAAAAGTTCGTATAAATGTATGTCCTAAAATGCTTAGTTTCGGAAATACAGGGTGTAGAAGTTTCATTTTTATTTCGATTTTTCCAAATAATTTATAAACTAACATCAATATTTGGATGAAAATTGGTGTCTAGAAGTTTTTTGATATGAGAAATTTGATTTTGATGTCAATACGACTCTTACTTGTAGAGGGCGTCACTTACATATTTTTTAACAGCTTTTGAGATTAACAACTTTTCGTCCGTACCTGTATAAAACTATTGAGTATGAAAATATACATTTACAAAGTTTTTTACGTAAAAAATATCTCTTGGTAAAAATCGCTACGAGTAATGGTTCTCAAGATATTTGGAATCGAATTTATCAAACCTATCATCATTGACATAATTAAACATGTTAACTAAATAATTATTAGAATGAAATCATAAATTTGAAATGTTTTTGTGTCAAAAGTTGACAGAAACTGTCTTATCATCATTTTTTCGCAGAAAAGTTTATATTTAAAGATTAATATTTTAAGTTTATATTATATAATAAGTTTATATTTAAAGATTAATTTAAAAAAAATAAAAATTTCCTAGATTTGTTATTTCAGTCAAGTAACTATATTTACTCAACGAGTTTATTTTTTGTCAATAATGACATGTATTGACTATTTTCATTCTAAATATCTTGAGAACGGTTGCTCGTTGCGATTTTTACCAAGAGATATTTTTTACGTAAAAAGTCACGGAAATGTATATTTTTTACTCAGGCAGGGGGGTAGTTTTATACAGGTACGGTCGACGTGTTGAACTACAATGTGTAAACGTAGCATATTTACATCGGGGGAATTGTGTCACCCTGTGTCTACATCTAATAATGTAAACACATCGTAAATGTGATTTGATGTGCTGTATGGGTAATATCAATATTTGGATGAAAATTGGTGTCTAGGAGTTTTTTGATATGAGAAATGATGTTGATTTTGATGTCAATACGACTCCTACTTGTAGATGGCGTCACCTACATATTTTTTAACTGCTTTTGAGAGTAACAACTTTTCGTCCGTACCTGTATAAAACTATTGAGTATGAAAATATACATTTACAAAGCTTTTACAATACATATATACATTACAAAGTTTCCGGAATACAGTTCGGACCACCATGTTTATGTTTAAAACACAAAAAACAAAAGATGTTATCGTGGAGACTATAATAAAAAGAAGAAAGAATTTATTTGGCAAGTCTACAATAAGATTAGTCAAGAAACATGACTAAAACAACGAATTTCAAGAATAATTTTCTTGTAAAAAGATATAAAATAAGTACCTAAGTCTGTTAACTATTGTTGTGATATTACAGCTATTTTATCTACTAGAAACATTTTGTGTTTATTTAAATAGTATCATTATTTTATTTCCTGTACAAGCTGCAAATTTTTAAATAAGACATTTGTTTTTTTGTTGGGGACCATTTACATTAATGCATGATAATGCTTGGCATAACCGTTTCTCAAGTAATAAACGAATATCTGGATAATGTTTGGACTTTAAGATTGAAATAATTCACCTGCCGGGATATCAATCCTTTGGGATGAAATTAAAACACTATTTTGTGCAACCACAAACTTTCCAGGAGTTAGATGCAAGAAGTATGTTTCCTCTAGATCAACTCTGTAACCATCAATTCGAACTTGGCCAAAGAATGCCTAGAGAAGCTGAACAAATTAGGCTAAAAAATAAAGTAATCCTAGTCTGGGTGCCGTCCCACCAAGGGATAGAAAGTAATGAAACAGCAAACAATCCAGACGTTGTGTGCCAAGACGACAATCAGTGGTGCCATAAACTTTGATACGACTGATATCGGAGATAGAGAACAAACTACTGTAAAACCCTCTCAGAGTCATAACTCATCATACACTCTCAGGGCTTTGACAAAAGAAAGGGGGACACAATAGATCTATAAGGTCGCGGTGATTAACTTCCTCCATCCCATTCAATCTACAATCTATTCTTGTAGAAAAAATAACTAACTAACACTATTCATTTAATTCCTTGAAACTTCCTACTATTCTCATTGCTAGAGCAAGAAATACAGTCTAATAAGTTCTTGGCGTTATTTTACAATTAAAAAATACGCTTCAAATAAACGATCCTTTTAAAAATTTGCAGCTCGTACAAGAAATAAAGTAATGATAGAATTCAAAAAGTAAATTGTTTTAAATCCATCTAAAATTACAGGAATTACTCTGCTCAATTTTTTTAAGTGTTTTTAAAATTACGACATAACTCAAAAATCTTAATGTGAAGAATTTTTCTGCCGGTGTGTATTTGCATAGTTTATAATCTACTCACATTGTCAAAATAGATGTCAACGCCTTTGGGAGCTAATTTCGGAAGAACCTTAGCTACATCCTCCGTTTTGTAATTAATAACTTCATCGAAACCTAGTTCATCCTTGAGCCATTTCAGTTTTTTATCTGATCCAGCAATTCCTATAACTTTTAAGCCCTTTATTTTGCCTATTTGACCTACATGGGAGCCCACTGCACCCGCAGCTCCACTAACAACCAATGTTTCCCCAGCTTTTGGATGGGTAATTTCTAGGAGACCAAAATAGGCGGTATTTCTGGAAAAATAAAGTAAAGAATCATTGTAAATAAAATTAAAAGCAATATTATTTGTGTTACAGAAAATTAGTAAAGTTATTAAAAAATAGTTGATTAAGAGTTATCCATTATTTCCATTTTTGCCCAATTTATTTATGATGTTGAAGCAAAGGCTTAAAATATACAAGGTACTGCAAAAAGTTAAATATAGAAATTATAGGGTTTTTAAATGTTTATTAGCGAGTAATAAACTTAAGTATACAGGGTCGGTCATAAAGTCGTCGCCCATCAAAGTTCATTTTTTTTTAAATGGAATCCCCTGTATATTGTTGCATATTTCAATTAACCTAACCTTTTCGGAGTTATTGAGTTTTGAAAATATCATTTAAACCATTCGATTTAATCAATTTTGATGTGTTCGGTTTGATTTAACGATGCCATTCTGCGGAAACTGTAATACTTAATAATATTTAACATTAGCTTTCAAGTCTGGAAATTACAAAATTTTCGTTTAACAATTCATAAAAAAAATTGTATTTAAGTTTTTTTTTAAATAATTTAATCTGTGATATGGTTTAGGAATATGGTATGGTTTATGAATATAAATGATATTATACAGGGTGGTCCGAAGTCCGAATTGCATTCGGGAAAGTTTAGCAACATATTTCGCAGACAAAAATAAGATAAAAAAGTTTGTATAAATTTATGACCTAAAATTTTCCGTTTCGAAGATACAGGGTTGAAGTTTCATTTTTATTTCGGGTTTTTACAAATAATTTCTGAACTAACGTCAATATTTGGATGAAAATTGATGGCTAGATGTTTGTTGACATGAGAAATTTGGTTTCAGTGCTAATATGACTCCTACTTGCAAGGGGCACCATCTACAAATTTTTAAATGCTTTCAAAAGTGATAACTTTTCGTCCGTACCCATAGACTTAAAATAAAATATAGACTGAGCATCTCATTCATTAATAGCTGGAACATGTGGTCAGACAATGTCTTGTTATTGTTGTGTTATTGTTTTAGGCTCTAACGAGTCAGACACGAGCGATAGATAGGTTGTCTCCGTCGTAACGGTCCCTGATGACTCTGACGAAGAATGCAACACTGTCTTTCGTTCCTCAGTAAACCTGAACTCTCCGTACCATAGCCGGGTAACTTTTGTATTTTAATGAAGCTATAATTCAATTAAAAATATATCGTGTTTAACTTTTTTATATTTTATTACGATTTAGGAGAGTTTTTTTAAATAAAAATTTAGAAAAAAACGTCTAAAAACGATAAAAATAATAAAAAAATTAATAATCGAAATTACGTATTACATTTTTAGTCAAACATTATCTAAAAATAAAAACAGGATCTATTCTATAGATATAATAGAATCGGCGGCATGGAAAGGAGAAAAAACTTCATAATTGTTGTAATTTTTTTTCCGGTAAGTGATATCTTATTATGTAAATTAGGGAAAACAGAAATCTGTTCCATTACAGCAAGCTTTTAGGAAGTGGATAAAATGAAGACTACATTTATTTAACTCGCTACTGTCTTTATTATACCGGCTGCGTCCCAAAAGTGGCTTACCCCCATATTTTGTCAAATAAAAAAACAAGATTTGGTATGTTAGTATATGACATAAATTAGGATTGATTGACGCATTCAATTGTTTTTGGTCACTTCCTGTTTCACCGGAAATGACTATAACTTCTGATTTTTAAATGACACCCTAGGTATATCTCTACTTTATTCGATAGAAAATGACACTCAATAGAATGACATATCATATATCAACTTTTGACATTTTCTCATATGGTTTAATTGAAATTGTAACACGCGGTTCATAACGACAATTGGACTCGAAATACCAAGTATTAATATATTCATAAAAAATGCTTTTTCGAAATATGCTAATGAGTCACCCTTGTTCCATTTGAAAAATTGACATAATCTGATTAAAAAGATACATCTTTATAATACAAGAGACAAGGACAACATTAGACGATCAAAACTATTTTCCAAGGCTCCTTGATTAAAACTTAGTGTTTTTAACACCGCCATGGCACCCTGGATTGAAATTTATAATACGATTTGTTTTTAACCGACAATGCCAAAAGTTGACATATGATATGTCATTCTATTAATAATAATTAAAATAATTAATTTATGTCATATACTAACATACAAATCTGTTTTTTTTTTATCTGAAAAAATAAAAGTCATAGGGGTGAGCCACTTTTTGTGACGCACCCGGTATATTAAAAATAATGTTTTATAATGTAATATCATTTTAAAATTTTGTATGTTATTTTAGATTCTGAAGATAGTTTTAGAATAAACCGAATATATTTTTAATAAAAAATAATTAATTGTTTAACCGATGCCTTTTATCATTTATCTTGTATATATAATACGATGTATAATATCATTTATCTTGTATAATAGGTTGTATAACAGGTTTATAATTATGATTTTGTTACAAAAACTTTTATATAAATGATTATGTAATAGAAAAAAATTCAGATTTTACATTTTACTAAAATATTATATAAATAAGCGCCTTTTCTACAACAACGCCACTGGCTCCCAATTGGTAAATTGAGAGTTGCCTACCGGTCGAAAGTCGTATCGAGACTCAAATGGATTATTTAAGTCAAATTTCTTGCAAATTTGACACTGGTGAACCATATTTTATAGTTCTTGAATACAAAAAGTAAATAAAATAAAATAAACATTTAAGGACTACAAACTAAGAAAATGCAATAATACAACCAGAGAGAAGTAGCGGCAACAATGCTTTACTACACACGTGCGACGCGTACTACAAGTTAATAGAAGAATGAACGGGCGACCTAGCCTCTAATCGAACAGGCGATATTGTCGCCCTCTAATCTTTTTACATAGTATTCGACTTATAATTAAGTAGTATAAGGACTATTTAATACATCTATGGAATATTAAAACGTACTTTGTTAAAATGCAGTATTAATATCTCAATATATGTGTATAATAAGTAAAAAAATATTGATAATATTAAAGACGTGACAACATAGGCTGGACGAGGACGGTTTGGTCCAAGAACAGTTAACCTAATAGGACTGCTCCATTCAGCCAAAAGTGTCCGCTAGGTGTATTCGAAAACTACTCGCTTTGTGACGTACATTGTTCCTTGTCATCGTTAAAAAGGTCTATCCGACAAACAATAATATACACCTTCTCAAGATGTCATTGCTGAAAATAAAACGTTCACTATTTAGTTTATTTATTTAAACACCTTATATGTGTGCAGTATAGAAAATTAATGTATAAATCGTATTTCTACTCGGATAATGCAATTTAAGAACAGCAGTTCTCTGCATCACCTTTGCAAGCATTCTTTTAGAGTACTTCCATATTTTATTATAAATAATTAATAAACAATATCAAGTCACTTAGTGTTTACTTTGTCACAATCCACATGACAAAATTGAACGTATTTATACACTCTATAGCTCTAGAATTTTTAAGGACACCTTTTCACATTTAAAATTGACAAAATAATTAACTCAAAATTATTAGCTGTTTAAAACAGTTATAATATGAAAGTGGCAACTACAAAACATCCCCCTTTAGAACTTTTTATACACACTATCATGACAAGGGACTACAATGACGTCACAACTGTCAGCCGAAGGGCGGGAAGAGCGCGAACGTACGTCAAATGAGGATGAGCAATCCTATTAGTTTACCGTTCTTAATTTTGTCAGTTGCGGTCGAGTGTACCCAGAAGTAAACATGTGTACAAAAATGATTGTTTGACCGCATTCAGATGTAAATAGTGTAGTCTATTTTGTGATTTTAATCTATGTTTTCTGTATTAAACTATTGCGTGAAAATTTAAATTACATTTTAAATATGTTTAAGAAAGGTCTCTTATGACATATACGTCAGTTGCCGGCTAAAATGTCACCAAGATAAAAAAATAAACATGTATTGACTAGAAAGTTATTTGACTGAAATGATAAACTTGGGAACATTTTACTTTTATAATTAGATATTTTATATTATTTCAACAACAAACACACAAATAGTACACCGTAATGTTGATATGCAGGTCCAAAACAAAAAGTGCAGTTATATTTTTCAGTTTTCGTTGTCAGCTGCGGAAGTTATGATTTTAGTGTTGTCGGACATTTTTATTTGTGAAAATAGAAATATTGCGTTTGGATTGCAAAACTAAAAGTGGAAGTTTTATTGCAAATGTAAGTAAGCGTTTGTCCATTTTATATTTTACTTTTTTCATACCTGAAATTTTATAATTCGTTTTATTTAAAAAATGTTAGAGAACAAACTTATAATCCTGTAATTGAACATACTTGTTACAAACATTTATTTATTATTTAAATGTAATATATAACTATCAAAGTCAAAATGTTTAATTTTGTCACTGATGATATGTATTGATTATTTTAATTCCTACTTTTGATTTTCACGGAAAAATAGATTTTTTTTATTATTTATCACTAGTGTAATATAAGTACGCACTAAAAGTTATTACTCTTCAAAACAGTTAAAATTTGAAGGTGGCAACCAAGTAGAAGTCATAATGACATCGACACAAATTATTTGAAAAAAAACCGAAACAAAATTAAACTTCCACAACTGTATCTCCAAATTGAAGCAATATAGTACATGAATTTTTGCGAACATTTTATCTCAGGTAAATAAAATAAATAGTAGAATTCCCAAAAATTTACATAATACCTTTTAAATTCCGTAGTTTTTAAGAAATAGTAGATACATGCTGAGTACCTACTGACTGACTTACCCAGGCATTCCCAAGGTACCCACACCTAAGGATTCAGGCAAGCCTTTGAAATCCGGTAGTACTGTAGTGGGTAACGTTGCTGCTGGGTCCGGTCCTCCTTTGGAAACAGTGTGGCTTCTCCAGCCAAAACTACCAACCACGTATTTACCAACTGGAAAATCGGGATTTTTACTTTCTATTATTCTGAAAATTATTTAGGAAACTTTTAGACTTAAAATTAAAATGCACCAAAACAAATTATATATTATCATTATAGAGGGGCTGTGTATAGGGGTAGAGGGGTAGTATATTTCGACCCCAGAAACACGCAAATGAGGGTTTTCCCGCGAAATTTTTTTTTCGAAAATTTGAAATTTTTTGAAAAAATTTCTAGATTTTTTTTTTTAATTTTTAGTTAAAAAATATAATACCTTCATACTATGGCAACGTAGTAGATTAAATTTACAAGAAAGAAAACCTAGAAAAGATCCAGTGGTTCTCAAAATGTAAGAGAAAATTCAATTTATTTTGATATTTTCAAAGTAAAATATCCCGATTTTTTTGATCTTATTTGGAAAGCGGTAAAGAGAAAATATGTTTCTTTTATCGAGATCTACCAGCCCTGAAAATATTTGCTAGGACATGACTAAGACAAATCTGTGTGTAGAATCTTTCGTTTCATAAATCTTAAAAAGTGATATCTATATAGTAGCATCCCATAAAACACAGGAAAACGGGACGCTCTATACATTATAAGTAATACACCGTGTAATCCTGCCTTAGATAAATTACCAAAAAAATAGAAAAAGAAAAAAAGTCATCTAATAATAATCTCGCCCACCAGAATTCAGAATGTTTTTTTAACTAAAAAATAATAACATATAGATCTAACATAAAATGCAAATAAACCGGTACCTATTTAAAACCTGTTTATAATATTTATTAGTAGATAATTATCAAAAAAAAACTAACCTGGCAACTTGCTGTCCAATATAAGTAGCTCCCAAAGGAACCTTTGGTGCATACGCCCTCATATAAGGGTCCACACTGAGATATACAGCTTCCGCCAAATATTCTACATCAAAAAAAGTAAACAACAATTTTGAGTTTAAAAATAAACGAAAAAAAGAAATAAAGAAATACCTCCATCTTTAATTGGTGGTAATTCCTCCTCCACCAATTTTAAATCACCCTCTTTGGGAAATCCATCAAAACGTCGTTCATATTTCCAAACTTTTGCTTTCACCATTTTGCTGCCGGTTTAAACACACACGAGCAGGAAAATTCTTCACTGAATAACTAGGCGTTAATAAGACGATAAGAGTATAAATATAGAAATATTTAAGTGTATTAGAGATGGGTATTTGTATCGATTTAGTTTGTCCGATTTGACATGGCAAGAAATTAAAAACTAGTGATGGGAAAAAGCGATTAAATAATCGAGTGCTCGAGTCTCCGGCGATTTCAGTAATCGAGCGATTGCCTGAGCGAAATTTCGCTCGTAGTTAAAAATACGGTTTTTCGCCCGTCGCCTGTACTCGCAACTCGTAACGCCAAGCAGTAAGTTGCGTGCGCGGAGCACATACTCTTTCGGTGATGAATGGCAAGTGGCAAGTAGCAAGCGACAAGTCATTCGCTTGATTTAGTTTAGTTTAAAGCATTATAGATATAGGTCGTAAAATTTTGTCACTCAGATACGCAACGGATAACGTCGTATAAATTTGCTACCTGCAATGTATGAAGAAAATTCGCTAGGCTTTGTATCGAGTATGTCACATTAAAATCGGATTTCAATTTATTTCATTCTAGGATCGCTTGCGTTCGTCGCTTGTAACTCGTCACTTGCATCGCTTGTTCATAATCGAGCGATGTCGGTTATTTCAGTAATCGAGTACTCGACCGAATTTTCGCTCAAGTTATCCCATCCCTATTAAAAACTTACTTATAAGATTTTAAAAAATTATCATTTCTAGCTTATTCAACCATTTCCAATTAAGGTGTAGCCTCCCTCACATATTTCTATAATCTCTTTATAATTGGACCCATTGTTTTCTATGGTTGGCTATGCGGGTCCAAAGAGAGGCTCTGTTTAGCATAAATGTGTTAGCACAGAGGTGTATTGATATGAATCAGGACATGTATGTGTGTTTTATAGATTTTGATAAGGCTTTCCATAGAGTTCAACATCACAGACTAATTGAAATACTTAAAGGCATGAATATCGATAGCCGAGATATCAGGATAATAGCAAATCTTTATCGGGGGCAAACAGCGAAGGTTATAGTGGACGACCAACTTTCTGATAAAGTAAAGATTCTGAGCGGCGTTCGTCAAGGATGTATACTTTCTCCGCTATTGTTTAAAAATATATATAGCGAATCAATTTTTCGGGAGGCATTGACTAGTAGAAAGGAAGGCATCACTATTAATGGGCAGGTCTTAAATAATATGCAGTTCGCGGTCGATACCGTCCTTATAGCAAACAACTTGGATCAATCAATCAGCAGAAATAAAAGCTCGAATAGAAATAGCCAGAGCATCCTTTGTAAAACTCAAAAAATATCTGTGCAGTGGAGACATCAACTTAAAGCTTAGATTAAGAATGCTAAGGGGTTACATATTTGCAACTCTACTCTATGGTTCAGAGGCTTGGACACTTAAAAAGGCCGAAATGGAGAAGCTTGAGGCATTCGAAAGATGGTGTTATCGGCGTATGCTGAGGATTGCATGGACTGACAAG